CTCTGGTATACCAAAATCGAACCAATAAATGGAGTTTAACATTTCGTTCGTCATACATCCTATCATAAAAATCCAAAGGAACGATATTTTAACATTTTTAATATTTCCAAACGGCATGTATTATGTAATTTTAACATCAAATTTGTGTTTCGTTTGGCTCCGAAATTCCGAGAAGCATTTCATAGTAGGCCCTCAGGTTTGCCGTTGTTTCTTGCACTGCCGTCGTCGCTCCGTTTCCATTGTCAACAAACTGTTGAACTGTTCATGCAGAATTTTCTTTAGAATCAATATGTAAGTAAATCCTTACAGATATAACAAGTCACATTAATAGATATCACCGCAGCAAGAACTGCTGTGAATAATAAATAATAAGTCGATTGCTTGGGTACCTCTGTCCCATTCGTGTTTCAACCGTGAAGCAGTTGTGTTTGCATGGCTGTGTTTCGGTTTGAAGGGTGGGATATGGCGTGAATTTACTGGGTACAGAGGAATAACATCTGAATCCTCAGGAATGGCAACGCATGGGGGGTATAATGGGCGAAACAGTATACTCTGTTATGTCCATGGTACTGCTCATGTCTATAGGCGACGGTTACCACTTTCCATGAGGTGGGCCGTCAGTTTGTTTGCCATTGTAAGTTGCATAAAAAAAAAAGCATCCGAAGCACTATCAAAATAAATTTCGCGCGCAGGAATTAAATACGAGGTTTGTCCGGAAAGTACGTATAAAAGTTTTTTAAAAATTTTATTTTACAATTATTCAGGTAAATCAATTTTATCCCCTTCAAAGTACTCCCCCTGTGACATAATGCACTTGTGCCAACGCCGTTTCCACTGTGAGAAGGCTCCTTGAAAGTCCTCTGGTTGTAGGTTTCTCAGCTGCCCCGTCGTAGCTTTTTTTATCTCATTTATGTCCCCCAAATGCCGTCCCCGAAGTACCAATTTGGTTTTTGGGAACAAGAAGAAGTCACACGGGGCCAAATCCGGCGAATAGGGGGGGTGTTCGGTCACCGTAATGGAATTTTTACTCAAAAACTCACGGACAACAAGAGAGGTGTGGGCAGGGGCATTGTCGTGGTGAAGAATCCAACGCCCCTCTCGCGCCAATTCTGGACGAACTCGTGCCACACGAGCTTTGAGGCGTCTGAGCACATCGACGTAGAATTTTCCATCAACTGTCTGGCCTGGAGGGACGAATTCTTGATGGACAATCCCCCGAACATCGAACTCTTTCTCGGCCCTCTCTGAATCTTTTTAGCCACTTGTGGACGGTTGGTTCCTTCACAGCATCATCCCCATAAACTGTTCTGAGATCGGCAAAAATTTCACGGCCATTCTTGCCGAGTTTCGAGAGAAACTTGATTACGACGCGCTGCTCTTCAACGGAAGCGGGCTCCATGCCGACGGGGTTTCGTTAAGAGGTAACTTCACAGATGGCGTGACAAGCCAGTTCGCACCGCACGGCGGTCAGACCAGAACTGAAGCATTGTTAGGGACATAAGGAAGGGGTCCTGCGCTTACCTGGCCTCCCCACTCCTCTTTCTCGCATTCCAGAACACTTTTATACGAACTTTCCGGACAGACCTCGTATAATAATAATATAATAATAATAATAATATAATAATAATTAGTTTATTCATCTCCACAAATTACAATGTATTTATTTACTTTATACAAAATAAAAGTATCGTAATTTGTGGGAGATCTGGAGTCTAAACTAAGCTGTAACTTGTATGTTACTCACCAGAGGGCCTACCACGAAATATTTTCCGCAATTTCGGGGACGAACGTAATAGAAATTTGATGTTGAAATTACATAATACATGCCCGTTTAAAATTATTAAAAATATTAAAATATCCATCCTTAGCTTAACGTTTCATTCATCATAAATCCTATCCTAATAGTCCAAATTAGGATAGGATTTATGATGAGTGAAACGTTAAGCTCCATTCACTGTGTCGATTTAGGTACGAACAGAAACACGAAATTGAGCGCGAAAATTCGGAATTTCATTTCATGGTAGGCCCCCAGGTTCCTCCTAATAAAGTAGTGACAGTTCAAAGTAAAAGGTAGTTGCGTACAGTAAATAGCTATTAGAGACTTATGCTGTATCAAATCGCAGCTTAAGTCAACTAAGACGCTTAAGCTAAATACTCGTCTGCCAATGGCGAACCGAATAATTTTGGAAAAAAATTTTCCTTGCAGATAAGAAAAAAATCAAAGTTCTCAATTCGGTTGTTGTTGTTTTTGGTTTTATGTTTTTTTTTTTTTTACAACATAGGAGGCAAACGAGCTTACGGCTCACCTGATGGTAAGTGACTACTGCCGCCCACGATCACCCGTAACAGCAAACTTCAAAATTTTGTTCTAAAGCGGAAATTTGGAAATTGCTTTTTTAAAAGGATATACTTTAACATTAGTCCCATAGTAGTTTTATCAAAATCGGTTCAGCGGTTTGGTTTTTAGACCAAAATAACAGTGTTTTCCCACAATTGAAGTCGGTTTTATTTTTATGGAACACAACGTTTATTTAATTTAAAATAAAACGAGTCACGTGCAAGTTGAACTCACGCGCCGAGGGTTCCATTCATGCTTAAAAGATAAAATAACCCTTCTTGCATACGATATAGACACCAAATTGTTATTATTATTGATACTGTATTGATATTAAAAAAAAAAAAAAACATAATAATTTAAACTCCACACAAAAAGGACTTCAACTTTTTTTCTTTTACAACACAGGGGGCAAACGAGCATGCGGCTCACCTGATGGTAAGTGACTACCGCCGCCCATGGTCACCCACAACACCAGCGGCATTACAGATGTGCTGCCGGCCTTTTAAAAAGGAATATGCTCTTTTCTTGAAGGTTATGTTGTCGTATCGGTTTGGTGTGTGGCGAAAACGATTATGTTGACAAAAAAAAACCAATTCTTTTGATTTCAAATTAAACTGCTTAACCGATTTTGATAAACTTCTCATGGGATCAATCTGTAAGTGTACCCTTTCAGATAAAAAAATAATTTTCCAAATCGGTCCACAACTGACCGAGTTGTGAGGTGACGAACGTGAAAATATACCACCGAATTGAGACTTTTTCAAAGTCGGTTAAAAATCATTGTTCCTCAAATAATATCTGTGTATATATCTACAGTGTTTTATGTTCTCTATCACTATACGCTCACGTGATAATGTAAATGATCACTGGCCTCGATAATGAGAGATTATGAGAGATCGCGCCGAAACTGGATTTGAAGGTCACGATACACTGACGAAGTTTGGAAAATTCATACCGGTTCGTTAAAACTATGATTATTGGCATAGTGTAATACATGAAATATATACATACATACATATATATTATACATATAATTTAAAATTGTGTTCCACAAAAAGTTTACTCCCGATAGGAGTAAAATCCGTTATTTTGTTTAAAAAAAAAATATGTAAAAACGGACTTAAATTGTGACAAATCCAATTATTCTGGTCTGAAACGTCAAGTAGATAAATTCTCTTTATTGTTTAATCCAAAAGATTACAATAGTAAACTTATAGATACAAACGATTACAAGAAATGATCGAGTTCAGATCACCAGAGGGAGACTTTGTACAAAAGTCGTTTGCTTGAGTACCTCTGTCCTATTCGTGTTTCTACCGTGAAGCAGTTGTGTTTGCATGGCTGTGTTTCGGTTTGAAGGGTGGGATATGGCGTGAATTTACAGGGTACAGAGGAATAACACCTGAGTCCTCAGGAATGGCAACGCATGGAGGTATCATGGGCGAAACAGTATACTCTGTTATGTCCATGGTACTTCTCATGTCTATAGGCGACGGTTACCACTTTCCATCAGGTGGGCCGTCAGCTTGTTTGCCATTCTAAGTTGTATAAAAAAACATTAAGATAACAATAATTCAAATCGATGCAGACTCTGAAGGGTAACAAACATAAAAACAAAGTCCTTTTGTTTGAAAATTTCCACAATATTGTACACCGCTCTACCCGCTGACGTTGATGCTCCTTTCCACTTCGCGTGTTGCTGGAAGACAACTCTATTAGAGTTAAGCTCGCCTTTGTACATTTGATTCCACTCTGTAATATTTTTATGTATAATTAGTGTGTACAATAAAGTATTAAACAAATAAATAAATAAAAATACAGCCTAATTGTGTACCTTCTTGTTTTTAAAGTCGGTTAAAAAGGTAACCAATTGTTCAGTTGAACATATAACGGAAATACTATAAATCAAATTAATAGCCTATTTGCTATAACGTTCCATCTTTTATTTGTATTGAAATTTATTCGATCATTTATTTGTACAAGTGTTGGTTACAAACAGACTTTCTCTTTTGATCGCGTCGTTTATTCATTTTAGTACAATAATTACCGAACGCGTCACAGCCACTCATGACTAATAGAGTGCTGAAACAAAAGTGTAAGAGAAACATTTTTACTGATGACATTGGCGCGCGCGTAGTAGTCCATTTACATCCTATTAAAAACATATACTAATATCATCTTTGTAGGGGGGAAGGGAATGTTAGTAATGAGGAGGTTAGTCCCCATTTCTATTAATATACCCTATATGGTTGACCTCCACGCGGTTTCTAGTGGAAACTATCCTGACTAATTTATCGTTGAATTCGTCACGATGGGCTAACTGACCTGCTTTATCATCCTCACCTATCATCTCTCACTGGTGCCCCGCCAGTGTATACCGTTGGCGCAGTCGGGGTTACAATTTCATTACCATCCATTTAAAAAATATATATATAAATATCCTTACACTAAATGTAGGTAAAAATGAGTTTGTTTCTTACCTTATAACGCCTAAACTGCTTAACCGATCACTATGAAATTTGGTATCCACGTACTATATGGGATGGGGAAGGATATAGGCTACTTCTTATCCCACTCGGCGAACATATCCCAGTCACGAGAGCAAAGTCTCGGCTTACAGTTAATTGATAATAAACTAATACGAACATTTCTATCTTTACAGAAATAAGCTGCTAAGCAGCTCGCTCGCAGTAGACGACGTATACACCATGAAGGTATGGGGAGCCCATGGGGAGTTCTGCGCGAGACACCAATGGGAGGTCATCGTCGCCACATTAGCTCTGCTGGCCTGCGCAGCTAGCGTTGAAAGGCACGGCCCAGGCACCAGGTCTGAGCACTGTGCCGGCTGGGCCAGAGCATGTCCAGGGTTAGAAGCGGAATACCAAGCGGCCGACGCTGTTATCATGACCTTCGTTCGCTGTGCGGCCCTTTTGTACGCATACTACCAAATCTCTAATTTACAAAAAATCGCTTCGAAATACCTTCTCATTGTAGCCGGGGTGTTCTCAACATTCGCTAGTTTTATCTTCACATCAGCACTCGCTGGACTATTCTGGAGTGAATTGGCTAGCATAAAAGATGCGCCGTTTCTGTTTCTGCTAGTCGCTGATGTCGCCAGAGGTGCTAGGATGGCCAAAGCTGGCTGGTCCGCTGGAGAGGATCAAGGGAAAAGGGTCGGTCGGGCTTTAGCTTTATTGGGACCAACAGCGACATTGGATACCTTACTAGCCATTCTACTCGTCGGAGTTGGAGCGTTATCAGGAGTTCCAAGACTAGAACACATGTGTACATTCGCGTGTTTAGCTCTCTTAGTGGATTACGTGGTGTTTGTGACTTTCTATCCGGCCTGTTTATCTCTAGTCGCCGATTTTGCATCCGGAAGAAAAGATATGGGCTCGGACAGTCCTTTCTCTGAAGCGGACTTAAAACCCAACCCTGTAGTGCAGAGAGTGAAAATGATAATGGCTGCCGGGCTACTATGTGTCCACTTGACTAGTAGATGGCCTTGGAGTGCTGACAACGGCATAGTTGAAGGTCCCAGCGATGATCTTGCTACGGCACCACATGATAACGTATTGCTCCACTCCTATGTAAAATGGTTCTCTGTTAGCGCCGATTATATTGTAATTGCTACATTACTTTGTGCCCTAATTATCAAATTTGTATTCTTTGAAGAACAAAGAAACTGGGTAATTGACATGAATGATATGACGGTCAAGGAGGTTGTGCAAAATGATAACGAAAATGCAAACAGTGGCCGCAAACCTTTGTTCTCTGTAGGCGATGATTCCAACTCGGAAGTGTCGACCCAGACTGATGAGCTGACTTGTCCTGAAGACTCCGAGTGGCCTGTGCTCTCGCCGAGCTCTTCAGCAACTAAATTAAATGCTAAGAAACGCCCAATGGCTGAATGTCTCGAAATTTACCGGTCAGAAGGAGCGTGTAAGTCTTTGAGCGACGAGGAAGTGATTATGCTAGTCGAACAGTCACATATACCTCTGCACAGGCTGGAGACAGTTTTAGGGGATGGTTTAAGAGGTGTCAGGTTACGAAGAAGAGTTATAGGCGCAAGATTTCAAACGGAAGAAGCTATCAAACAGCTTCCATATCTAAACTATGATTACAGCAAAGTATTGAACGCTTGCTGCGAGAATGTTATCGGATATGTCGGTATACCGGTGGGATACGCCGGTCCTTTGGTTGTGGACGGTAAAGCGTATATGATCCCGATGGCAACCACAGAAGGCGCATTGGTTGCTTCAACTAACAGAGGTGCTAAAGCTATAGGAACCAAAGGTGTGACAAGTGTTGTTGAGGATGTAGGAATGACAAGAGCGCCGGCTGTTCGACTACCAAATGTGGTGAGAGCGCACGAATGCAGACAGTGGATTGACAACAAAGACAACTACGCTTTAATAAAGGAGGCTTTTGACTCGACGTCTAGATTTGCGCGACTCCAAGAGATACATGTTGGTGTTGACGGTGCTATATTATATTTACGGTTCAGAGCAACAACGGGGGATGCTATGGGAATGAATATGGTGTCCAAGGGCGCTGAGAACGCGTTGAAGCTTCTCAAAAACTATTTCCCCGACATGGAAGTCATCAGTTTATCAGGAAACTACTGTTCCGACAAGAAAGCAGCCGCAATAAATTGGGTCAAAGGTAGAGGAAAGAGGGTGGTTTGTGAGACCACAATAACGGCGGAAAACTTGAAGACTATCTTCAAGACTGACGCGAAAACTTTGGCGCGGTGTAATAAAATCAAGAATCTCTCGGGATCTGCACTGGCTGGCTCCATTGGGGGTAACAACGCTCACGCAGCGAACATGGTGACCGCCATCTTCATAGCAACCGGCCAGGATCCGGCCCAGAACGTGACCAGTAGCAATTGTTCCACGAGCATGGAGGTTTGTGGCGAGAATCGCGAAGATTTGTATGTGACTTGTACTATGCCTTCTTTAGAGGTTGGCACAATAGGCGGGGGCACAGTTTTGACTGGCCAAGGGGCCTGTTTAGATATCTTAGGCGTGAAAGGTGCCGGGGCGTATCCGGCAGAGAATTCCGCGAGATTGGCATCTTTAATATGCGCTACAGTATTAGCTGGCGAGTTGAGTTTGATGGCTGCTCTAGTGAATTCAGATTTAGTGAAATCTCACATGCGTCACAACAGATCAGCTATTAACATGCAGGCGGCGGCCACTCCTGAGATATCAACGGTCACTTTAGAAGTACCAACGTTATAACATCTTGCTTTGGAAAGAACGAAATCTTGTTATTGTTACAGTTAAACACTGAAATAACACATAATGATTATGGTCATTAAATATACTACGCTTTAAATTAAATGTGGTTTTGTAACGTGTTTGTTACAAGGAATGATGACGGATGGGCGACATGATGACTAAACGACCAACAATGATTATTATAATGAAAGAAAAAGTAGATACGTTACAAACGCGCCAAAAATGAAACCTCGATATGACTAATTAACACCACTGTGTTTTTTTATTCAACTTAGAATGGCAAACAAGCTGACTGCCCACCTGATGGAAAGTGGTAACCGTCACCTATAGACATGAGCAGTACCATGGACATAACAGAGTATACTGCGTACACCCCGCGCAAATGACAAACTCTAGCCATAACGAAAGAATAAATTCTTTCGTTTCTAACACTGCGCCCTTTTTAAATTATTTGACAATGTAGCGTAAATAAATGGAATAAAATATGTCTCTGTGTTGTCGGTGTGTTTAGAACATTTTCAATGGACTTCAAAAAGAGGGAGATTTGCAATTCAGTTGTTTTTTTTTTTTTATTACCTTATAACTGAATTGGAAAATTACTTTTTTATCTGAAAGGATATTCTTACAGATTAGTTTCATGGATTTTTTTTCAAAATCGATTCAGTGTATATTAGTTTTGATGTGTTTTGCCACGCTTGAAGTGGAAATTTTTGTGGAACACAATCTCATTATTTTTTATATCAAATGTTTTCTAAAGCACGTAACGTATCTTCTTTAAAAAAAATTGGTATCCTATAATAAATGCAACAGAATGACCGATATTAGAATTGAAACTATAATCTCTTTTTTACTCTCAGCACAATAACATCTTGACAGAGTGTACCCCAAAATTTAATGGGGTACATTCTATCAAGATGTTATTTACTTACTGTTATTATTTTAGCCATTAACTATTCACTGCTGAACGTAACATTTCCCATAAGGGGAGTAGTTGTAGGCCAGTAGTTGCCACGCTTGGCAGGCGGGTTGGCAATCGCGGTTAGGCTTTTAGAGATGTTTTAAGAGGGATGCTGCTGACCATCCCTCGCCCTTCCTTAGTCCTTTCTTACGACACCCGCGGGTAAGGAAGGGTTGGCCCATTCTATGCCGGGGCACATGGCTAAACCGTGTAACGTACCTTCTTAAAAATAATTGGTATCCTATATTAAACAGAAGCAACAGAATGACCAATATTACAGTTGGAACTATAATCTCTTTTTTTTTCTCAGCACAATAACATCTTGACAGAGTGTACCCCAATATTTAATGGGGTACACTCTATCAAGATGTTATTTATTTACTTGACAAAAATTGTCTGTCTTTTTTATGGCGCGCTTTTGAAACTGTATTAATATTGTAATTGATTGATTTTATTTTATTTTATATTTTATTTTTACACAAATCTTTATATTTATTTTTTATTGCTGTATTATTAATATTACAATAAATTTCATGGTTTCGTAAACCCTGACCATAGATTGAACATCAAAACGTTCAGTATCAAGTTAGGCTACGTCAGTACCCTACCTTTTTTTTCCTGGGGAAATGCTTCATGCGGACCCATAAGCCCCCGGGGAGGCTTATGGGTACTGCCGGACTCCTACCGGCTAAAACCAGCACGGCATCCCTCGCCGCGCCAAAGTGTTGGGGACCCGGGTTTCCTTTCGAAATCCATCAAGCCCCAACGGCGTTGGCCCGCACCGGCTTGCGGGCGCCGACTCAAATAGCGTCAGTACCCTACCTAGTCGAATGTGACGTGGGTTTTGGTTGATTTTTTTTTAATTTACTACAACCCGTCCTTATAACCTCTAATGTTATATCACATATACAATGACTTTCCTTTATTTTTAGCTTTCGTAGTATTTATACTAATATAATGAAATAGAAGTGATTGGTCGCATTTGAAAAAATCTCTTTGCATCAACCTCGCGGTACGACCACGTGCGAAGCTGCAGGTTACGCCTAGTTTTTCATAAATACCTTTATCATTTGGGCATTGTATTTATGTTCCTGTCGGTCGTTCTGTTTCATACAATAGTGAATTATGTTGTTAATGTTGCCCATATTAATGTAGATATACAGAATTGTGAATTTAATAAATTCTTGGTATGATTTATACAGGGTGTATGGGGCAGGTTGGCAAAAACTAAAACAGTTGATTCACACTATTATTCTGAACTAAACACCGGTGGAAATAAATTGTTTCCGGATAAATTTCATTTTTTTTTTCCTGTTTATTTTTTCTTTATTTATTCAAAATAATGTAATTTATGATATTATGTCATAATATAAAGAAATAATAACATGTTGTAGTGAAATACTATGAAATACCAAAAAAACAGCAATGTACAAAATAATATTAGTGTTAAAATCCTACCGCGACGCACGGAATTTTTTTTTGAAAAGTTGCCATTCCTGAGGACTCTGGTGTTATTCCTCCGTACTCAGTAAATTCACGCCATATCCCACCCTTCAAACCGAAACACAACCATGCAAACACAACTGCTTCACGGTAGAAACACTAATGGGACAGAGGTACCCAAGCAATCGACTTTTGTACAAAGTCTCCCTCCTATTCAGACCATTCATCTGAATCAGCTGTTTTCGTTTTAGCCTAATTGCCCCTGTATAATAAATCGTTCGATAACATCACAACGTTAAATAGTTCGTTCTATGATTTTGTATTTAAATGTACTTAAATATTATGGTTAAGAGGCGGTGTTAACAGTATACATACATACATACATATATATATATATATATATATATATATATATATATATATATATATATATATATATATAATTTGACTATAGCAAAGAGCTATTACGTAAATCTATTAAGATGTTTACGAACGTTTTCGATGATATAGACATGTTCTCTCGAATTAATTATTGATTTACAAAAAAACCCAAAATGTATAATTGGTGACTAAAAAAGCCACAGAAAGTAGTATGCAGTGATATTTATAGCCAAATACGCCAATAATTTTCAAATATGCGCAAATAAAACATATCGTCACCTCTATGGTAAACTTACGAAACTGAAAAAGATACATTTTACAGGGGAACGTTTCGAAACATTAGAATGCAAATAACTTTTGACAGAAGACTACTGTAAAAGATCATGCTAACATTTTAGTTTTAAAATCCTGTTTTTTTATTGAATGCGCTTAATTAATTATTATTATATTACAAGTATCAGAAATAAATGCATATTCGTTACTTTGCACCTTCATACATGAGAGTTCCCAGGTGTTGAGTTATACAACAGCAAATCTACGAAAGTGGCAATTTCGTAAGTTGCTAAAGAAAATCATTTTTTTTTAATATCTGGCAAACTAACGAAAGTGCCACTTTCGTAAATATACCAAGGTATAAATCACGTGTTTTGGAGAGAACTTCAGTTTAAATAACAACGTTATAGCAATCATTCATGTAAAATAACTAAATTAGGATTGAGAAATTGATAAAATAATTATTGAAATTTTCAAATTAAAGTGTTTATTATAGAAAATACCATAAAAATATGCTAATTAAGTTTACTTTGGGTATATCACAAAGATATGAAGATTCGAGCTACTCGATTTCTTTAACCGTTAAAGGTATACATTTGAAAATAACCTCAATAAGTAGTATGGCGCAAAATGTAGATTTTTAAAGAAATGTCAAATTTGAAAAACTGCAGATTCGTAAATTTGCCATAGAGGTGACGATATATTCACTGACGATAATTTGATGAAATTTCTGACACTTGATTTAAAGGTTATTACCCCCCTGGGGTAACGTCTATTCTACGGGGGTAATACGGTTAGTAAATATTAATGTTATTGACAATAAGTTAAGCTATTTGTTACATATTTGAGATCTTAAATTTCGAACCATTTAGGGGTGATTACGCCCGCGGGGGTAACATCTATTCTGCGGGGGGATAAAATAAATATTGACAATAAAGTCTATTGAGATATTTGTTATGTATAGAAGGTTGATATTTGTTACTCGATCACGCTGAAACAACTAAACCAATTTGACTTTTTGGTTTATATTTAGTTTGGTTTATAAACTACTTTTTTTTTAAATCGATGGTTTTTGTATTTCGTGTTTAATCTTTATTAAGTAAATTTTTGCAAAAGGAAGTTTCAGGTTATATGCCCTTTCAGTTATAGAAACTTATACCGTTGAAATTTTCAAGTGACTTCAAAATGAAAAAGTCATCTCTCAATATCATTTCTAATTCTTCATATAGTTTAATGCCTTTTTTTTGCTATAACAATATGATTGGGTTTACTACTACATTCTTTCGTGTTAAGATCATTACGTTTGATTTTTTTATTTTTTTTTTATTAAAATCTTAAATTATTATAGAGTTTCGTTTATTGTAACGAAATATGAATATGTAATTAATAATTTTGTAACAGTAATAAAAAAATATGAAAATATAATTTAATTAGAGGATTTAGTTCTGTGCGTAAACGTTGCTATAAAATTTTATACACTGTTTAGCTACTATATATTATCTAGATCCTTTTATCAATTTTTTTTTTCGCGATCTGTCAAATATAATAGTATTTTATTACTCTAGATAGATATTAATAGATACATTTACTTTCTAGAATATTTTTTCAGATCTTATGTTAATGTAAAAGTGTACAAATGTTCGCCTTATAGATGTTACTATTATACGCTGTCTACACTGTCGTGCTAATATTTTTCGTTCTCATATTACTGGATTTGGTAAATACGCTGACATAGTGTAAATATAAACATACAATTATATTATTTATTAATATTAGACACTTTAAATTAATAAAATTAAAAAGAACATTTTGAAACATTGTATTTTGTAAAAGGCGGCCTTATTATAAAAAGCAATCTCTTATAGACAAGATGGTGACAATACTGGGGGTGGTGGTGGTGGTGTCAGTCTAACTAGCATTGCAATACGGGTGGTATATGTTACACAGTATATACTGTGATGCCCGTAATACACTTCATCTCTATAAGCTATCATAGATACCATTTTCTATCAAATGGGGTATATCAGCTTCTTTATTATATCCAGTAGTATGTTTTCCATGGTAGTGTTAGGTGTATTATGCATAACATATGTATTATACGTATTATTATAGCTTATTTATTTATTTATTTATTAATGGTTAGGGACCAATATAACGAACGATATCATCCATAAATTTATTCACTCGTTATTTTTATTTTAAAGTGGATGAAGTAAGGACGCGAGAGGCTATAGGTTTTTGTTAGTCTTTCTTGGCCTACCGCGTAACGAACAGGTCCCTGGGGAGGTGAGTGTGTGATTTGTATCATCACACATTGAAATTAGTGATAAATCAACATCACGTGTATCACAGGAAGCGTGTTAAATTAAATGTAAGTGGCATTTTAGCTAACGCTCTTAAGTAAGCGTTTGTAATATCAAAAAGGAATATAGTAAATGTAAAAAATATCTAATTTCCTTGTGATTAATTCTAATAAAATATTGTTGAAATATTATATGTAGTTATGTAGCTTTCAACATAATTTTAGCAATTGTTTTGTACATTTTTTTTTAATTCGTACTGTAACGGGGTAACGATGAAATTTGAGGTTATAAGGACTACTGTTGATTAAATATATTTTATAAATGTTCTGTAACAAAGATAATCACATAATAAATTAATTTTGTGTCTGCCCATTTCGATCAAATTAATATTGCATTTTTAAACGATTCCTGCTTAATTTTCTTATTGGCAAACATTACCCCAAGTTTCAAGGTTACCCCCAACCATTTACCGAGAGTGCGTTATCAATCTCCAGATGTGTAAATCATGTATTTATTTTCAAATAATGTAATTTATTGACTGAATTATATTGGTGCTTTAAACAAAATGTTTTTTTTTTATTATTCAATAATTATCCAAAAAAAAACAACCTAAATCACCTGCTGTTTGAATGTCACGTATGTACCTATATATTTTTTTTTATACTTGGTAATTTTTAGTAAACAAACTTAACACGTCTCTCTATTGTCGTTTAAAAATAAAACAGAAAAATGGTCATAGTATACAATATCATATAAGCAATTCATATAAAAATCTGTTTATTTTATGCACTGTCATAAGAATATAATACATGTAATACATTATATTATCTGTGGTTTTTTTTATGGGTGAAAATGGTATGGTAACCCCGCCTGCGCTAACGGGATACGCTGGCGGAGCACCAGTGAAGGGTGATAGATGAGAATGAAAACAGGCCAGTTAGCCCATCATGATGAATTCATCAGGAATTAACCATGATAGTTTCCAGGGGAAACCGCGAGGACGTCGACCTGGTTGGGTATATTGCTAGCAATGGGATTCTCAGTCTCTATCACTAACAATCCCTTTCCCCCCGAGCCTCTCATTTGGGCTAATGTACGCGTGAGTCGTGGCTAATACAGCTAGTTAAGCTCCACCCAGAGGGGGAATGGGATGGTTAGTGGAACTTAATGGAACTGACCCATTGGTAATTCTTTAGTGCAGTTTACTAGACTTATTAATAATATGGATTGGTAGTTAGGTCTTTTCTAATTGTATAATTGTTAGTTAGTGTACATTAACGCTTATCTGTGAGAGCTGTATACACCTTTAATTGATATGTTCATATAGCCTTAAGTTTTGTAGTGAGGAGTGAGATTTTTTTGTTCAAACTTAGATTTATGCATTTTATAATAGTAGTTTTTCTCTTTTACTTACTAATAACATTGTATATTGTCTACCAGAGGGAGACTTTGTACAAAAGTCGATTGCTTGGGTACCTCTGTCCCATTCGTGTTTCTACCGTGAAGCAGTTGTGTTTGCATGGCTGTGTTTCGGGTTTGAAGAGTGGGATATGGCGTGAATTTACAGGGTACAGAGGAATAACACCTTAGTCCTCAGGAATGGCAACGCATGGGAGGTATCATGGGCGAAACAGTATACTCTGTTATGTATGGTACTGCTCATGTCTATAGGCGACGGTTACCACTTTCCATCAGGTGGGCCGTCAGCTTGTTTGCCATTCTAAGTTGCATAAAAAAAAATTGTCTACTTAATTATTGTGAGCATATTGTTGGTGTGTCTTTTATAAATAAATAAAAAAAAATGAGAGGCTCAGTACGGAAATGGGAATTCAATTTCTGTTACTCTTTTCCCGCTGTCTCATCAGTGAGGTAATGATATTTGGGAATCATTATTCGTTGTGTTTGAAAATGGAACGTGTTACCCGATGACTAGCTGCTTAATATTTCACTGACGATCAATACGCCGGTTTTGTCATGTTAATTTAATGAAACAAATTGTATTTACCTGACCTTGGAAACTGGTTTTTACTAGGAAATGCAAATTTTTATGTATTCGCAATATATAGGTGACTAAATTCACAATTCGTAGGTAAATAGGCAATCACCTATATTTGTCTATGGAACGTCTTTCTTACCCTACCAATTTTTTTCTTTTTTTTATACTACTATGGTGGCAAACAGGCATACGGCCTGTCTAATGGTAAACGAGATTACCGTAGCCTATGGACGCCTGTAATACCAGAGATTTACAGAGTTGCCAACTCTTAAGAAACCAATTTACGACCAGAGTGACCATTTTGGTTCTAAGATGTGAGGATGGACTCCCTGCCGTTTGCGAGCGGTGCGATGGTGAAAGGTAGCTGTAGGCATCATAACTTCCAGCAGCAGTATTCCCGAACCGATACGACAACATAAGCTTCAAGAAAAGAGCATATTCCTTTTTAAAAGGCCTGCAGCACACCTGCAATGCCGCTGGTGTTGTGGGTGATCGTGGGCGGCGGTAGTCGCTTACCATCAGGTGAGCCGCATGCTCGTTTGCCCGCTGTGTTGTAAAAAAAAATTTATGTCATAATTTAATATTGGCATTGAAGTTGTAAAAAGAACGTTGCTCAAACATGTCTTTATTTTATTTTTTAAATTCATTTCTTGGCAATTGTGTTATTGTTTTGCGTAATTTAATACACATTTTTATTTTTAGACGAATACCTCGTTTCATAGTTTTTGTGAGTCGTGTTCTTGGCAATTTCAATTTGTCTGTATTTCTCATAGCGTACCTATATATGATTGGCTGATTTTTTGCAAAAAGGTACCCCCTTTATCATATATTTCTAGTAAATAATTATATATGAACAACACTTAGATTTTATAGATAGAGTGTCTCCATACAAATGCTTCGAGAAAAACGACTCAACTTTTTCATACAATTTTGCGTGATAAATAGTTACAAGTGATTCCATTATAACTTCTATATATATTTTGTCTTATAATTTTTGCATCTTTTAAATGTATAAAAACTCATTTTATTTATTAAATAATTAAATATAGATGCGTCAAGATACATTGTGTGCGTAAGTATATAGAACACTGATAAAAACAACGAGTCAGCTAATTTGACAATTAGCTGACGAAAAGTTGACACGTTTTTGGAGCTCGATGCTCTCTATCTATATAATCTAAGGAACAACGATATATCTGAATGGATATACCTACAGATTTGTTCTATAGAAATTTTATTAGAAATCCTTTTTTTTATGCAACTTAGAATGGCAAACAAGCTGACGACCCACCTGATGGAAAGTGGTAACCGTCGCCTATAGACACGAGCAATACCATGGACATAACAGAGTATACTGTTTCGCTTATGATACATCCCATGCGTTGCCATTCCTTAGGACTCAGGTGTTATTCCTCTGTACCCAGTAAATTCACGCCATATCCCACCCTTCAAACCGAAACACAGCCATGCAAACACAACTGCTTCACGGTTGAAACGCGAATGGGACAGGGGTACCCAAGCAATCGACTTTTGTACAAAGTCCCCCTCTGGTTTAATAGTTTAGTTTTTAGTTCAAAATAACTGATTTTGTCACAATTAAAATTGGTTCTTTTATGGGACACCATCTTTAATTATGTTATTATTAGTGTGTATAATAAAATATATTACAAATGATAAAATTAAGATAACACGTAGTTTTATAGTTGTGTAAGTACATAAGTAACTATATATGGTAATAGCTCACCAAAGTTATGGTAATTATTCTACCCATGCCTTCCTGTCCAATATCCAGTTTTCAAGGTAACGAACATGCTTTACCGCGCTTTTGACGAATATGGCGGCTTTCTTCACAGACGAAACAAGTAATTTAAAGCGAATGGTATTAAGAGAATGATATTTGTAGAATGTATAATGTAAACGTTTATTAATACAATAATTCTTAAAAGTATAAATACAAATACAGAAGGAGAACAATGGAAAATATAAAAAAGGTATAATATTAAGACGATATGTGTGCCGTGGCGCCAACAACAATATTCTTCTCGCGTCCTGCGCGCGCATAGGTACAACAAACAAGCTGCGTGCGCGACCGACCGTATTACATATATATATAAAATATTTACGCTTGTCTGCGTGTTTTTACAAAATAAATAAAATATATAATTTTATATGTATGCTACAAATTATATACTACTGTTATCCGTGACTTTACTCGCTTGAATCACTATATAATGATGAATTTAACTATCCACTGCCGAATATAGGTCTTCTTCTTGGGAAATTTTGCCAGTTTGCCACCCTTTGATAGGTCAGGCTTTAGTGAAATTTTAAGAGGGACGTTGCTACCTATTCTTTGACCATTAAGTTCCCTTAGTCGCGTCTTACGACACCCATGGGAAACGAAGGTGTGGCCTATTCTATGCCGGGACTACTAGACCAGGAAATCACTATATAAAACATGCTAAATAAATTTCAAATCGCGTCTGAAGAATTATTACCTCTCACAATGCTGATGTACGTACTTATTATATTGGTGTATTATATACAATATATATCTATCTATTTATATGTATTTACTTATATATATTTTTATTTATTTATTTATACCTATCGGTATTTTCAATTGTAAAGACATTTTATTTCTTTATCTTTAACTATAACATTTAAGTCGATCGGTACACATGTATGACTGTAACTACTAATGTACTGTCAGTTTTCTCATATTGGGTTTGCTGGAAGAAATCTCTATTGGAGATAAGCTCGCCCTTGTGCACCATTATGTTTGTTTTTACATTTCAATAAACTTTTGTGTACAATAAAGAATGAAAGAAAGAAAGAATAAATATGTGTTACGGTATAAATTACCAGTGTACTATATTTCATTCAAATCCATTCGCTATTTAAGCGTGATTGAGCAACAAACATACAAATAAATGTCTTTACAATATTTCATATTTACAATATTAGTAAGATTGACTCTTGTAAAATTTATAAACTATTTAATTATACAGGGTGTAAAGGACAGGTTGACTAAAACGAAAGCGGCTGATAAATTCTTGTGGAATTCGTCACGATGGGCCTACTGACCTGCTTTCATTCTCACTTATCTTCTCTCACTGAAGCCCTACTAGTGTATAGCGCTGGCGGTGTTACCATTTCATTTTCACCCATTTAAAAAAAACATATATTGTATTTTATTATATTATATTTTTATTTACCAGAGGGAGACTTTGTATAAAAGTCGATTGCTTGGATACCTCTGTCCCATTCGTGTTTCAACCGTGAAGCAGTTGTGTTTGCATGGCTGTGTTTCGGTTTGAAGGGTGGGATATGGCGTGAATTTACTGGGTACAGAGGAATAACACCCGAGTCCTCAGGAATGGCAACGCATGGGGGGTATCATGGGCAAAACAGTATACTCTGTTATGTCCATTACACTGCTCATGTCTATAGGCGACAGTTACCACTTTCCATCAGGCGAGCGGGTTGTATAAAAAAAAAATATTTTTCTTTATTTTCATAGGTATCGGTTTAATACAATAAAATAATACATAATGAAGTACATATTTAAAACCAACATCGATTATGTTGTAAAACTTGATTTTGACGGCTTCGCAACCTTCTGTGAATCCCTTATAAAAGTTTAAGGATCCCCTAGGAGGTCACGAGCCACACTTTGAAAAACACTGTTGTTTTTCGTGATTTTGTATTACGGATAAGTATTGTTTTTTTTTTAATGGGTGACAATAGAATGGTAACCCCGCCTGCGCTATCGGTATACGATGGCGGGGCACCAGTGAGGGACGATAGGTGACGATGAAAGCAGGTCAGTTAGCCCATCGTGACGAATTCCACTAGAATTAACCACAATAGTTTTCAGGAGGAACCGCGTGGAGGTCGACCTGATAGGGTATAATACTAATAATCCCTTTCTCCCCGATAGGTATTGGTTACCGTGTGGTTCGAACATTAAATAAAGCCACTCCTTTTTTTCTTGTCTTAAAAAACGACTAAGGGCATAATTGCCAAGGGATGGACAGCAGCGTCCCTCTTAGAACATGACCAAAACTTAATTACGGGGGCTAACCCGTCTGCTAATCGTGGCAACTACTGGCAAAATCCCCTTTATGGAGGAGATCTATGTTCAGTAGTGGACAGTTAACGGTTGATATTTATGTACATTTTTTTTATACAACTTAGAATGGCAAAGTTGACGGCCCATCTGATGGAAAGTGGCAACCGTCGCCTATAGACATGAGCAGTACCGTGGACATAACAGAGTATACTGTTTCGCACATGATACCCCCCATGCGTTGCCATTCCTGAGGATTCAGATGTTATTCCTCTGTACCCTGTAAATTCACGCCATATCCCACTCTTCAAACCGAAACACAGCCATGCAAACACAACTGCTTCACGGTTGAAACACGAATGGGACAGAGGTACCCAAGCAATCGACTTATTATTTATTATTCACAGCAACGCAAGGGGAGGTCCCTTGCGTTGCCATTCTTAAGGACTCAAATGTTATTCCTCTGTACCCTGTAAATTCACTGCCATATCCCACCCTTCAAACCGAAACACAACCATGTAAACACAACTGCTTCACGATTGAAACACGAATGGAACAAAGGTGCCCAAGAAAACGACTTTTGTAGTCTCCCTCTGGCTTCAGGTTCATCATGTGGTGCGGCGAATCGTATTGTGATCTCCATGGTGTTATTACTTTCCCATGATTTATTAATGAAGATCGCCTTTACACATGTACAATATTGTGGACACCATTTTCTGTGGGTTTCCAATATTTGAAATAAAATAACATATCACAGAAATTATGAATTTTGATAGTAAAAAATATGCATGCAAAATTTTTAGTGATAAATCTGCATCTTAGTCATGAGTAACATTTCAAATCATTTTTCTAAATATTTTCTTTACAAATCGACCATTTTATTTATTTATTTATTTTTTATACAACTTAAAATGGCAAACAAGCTGACGGTCCACTTGATGGGAAAGTGGTAACCGTCGCCTATAGACATGAGCAGTACCATGGACACAACAAAGTATACTGTTGTTGTGTTCGCCCATGATACCCCCCATGCGTTGCCATTCCTGAGGACTCGGATGTTATTCCTCTGTACCCAGTAAATTCACGCCATATCCCACCCTTTAAACCGAAACACAGTTATGCAAACGCAACTGCTTCACGGTTGAAACACGAATGGGACAGAGGTACCCACGCAATCGACTTTTGTACAAAGTCTCCCTCTAGTTTTTCATATAAATACATTACTCCATTTGTATGTTCTAATTTTAAAGAGGTTAGAAAAAAAAAACAAAGAAATTTATTATAAATATAATAATATTTAATCTTTCAAGTCATTTCTTTTTACAAATTAACAATTGGATCTTGACACGGTTTATTGTCGTGTCCACTCACTGCACATAACTATTTACACTAAATGTACTTTAAAACGAATAAGAGATCTTTTTACAAACTATTTGATTCCATCAACTGGTTTTAATATTTACATAACAATTAGAAATTTCTATAAAAATACGATACTCAATATTAACAAAACAAACACGATCACTCCATACATATGTCAAGACATTTTGGTACACAGTCTTCGATTAAAACATTACTATTTGAATTTAAAATGTTCTATTAATAAATTGGACGATGTATTGATAAACTAATCTTTGGTTTACTAACAATCGTCTACGCTCGTTCAAATGAACTTTTTCAGCACTACGCCAAGCTTCCCATACACCACCAAAATCTGTTATTTAAACATTCAATTTCTCAAGGAACTAATTATCATGAATTCTTTTTATATTGCTTTATTTTAACAATAGAATTTTTAACAATAGAATTAAATCAGATACCTTCGTATGGTGATCCACAAAAAAAACTACGCAGAAAACGCGGGCTCATATTAGTAGAAACTATTCATTTTAATGTCAAATTAAATAAAATACTTATTAATCTTGGTACAGCAATAAGTCTGTACAAATCATGTAAGCTTTTTAATTTATATTTAAATCTAGAGTGTTAAAGATTTATTGTAATAATCGATTTTAAAGAGGATAGAATTTCTATATTGTACTTACGTATGTACGGAGTAAATCTTATATTTACCTACATGGCCCAAAATGGCGTCAAAAGTTGTCTTATAAAGACAAATAATTTTCATTGAGTGTCGTATCTTTCAACTACAGATCGGTATTACCATTTTTATTGTATGTATTACGCACATTATAATAAATTAAAAATACATAAATATTGCAGACAGACTTGACAATTGGCGGACACAAGATGGCGGACGCTTCACGACATGGCGGCCGTCCGTGTTTTAATAATCTCAATAATAATTCCTTTCGGATCGGAAACCAGTAGTCCAATGTTAGACAGGTGGACATACCACTACGTGGCCATTTAAATGCTTTTTATTTGTGCAACCCGTCATTATCTTCGTCTAATAAATGCGTATTACATACACGTGTTAATCTGTCTGTTAGAAATTTCTAATATGTCTGGCCGAGCGGCCGCGTGTCCGGACACCACTAAAACGTGGTGTCGGACGGCCCCCATCGCAATATTGAGATTTCGACAAATGCAAATATTGTTGGTATAATGAAGTTTGTTCTTTATCATTTTTATGAAAAAAAAAAAACTTTTTTTTATTATTACGAGAGAATACAACAAGGAATTAATATTCGAGATTAATTGAAGTTTTATTACCCTGTTCTCCTAATAATTTCTTTATCAAATTGCGTGCCAATTTTTATTTTATTCCTTCATAAATAATTAAGTTATTTTTTATAAGTTACCATTAAAATCACATTTGCTAGAGGCTTGTTGCCATACTAGCAATAAGTTTTTAATCGTCAAACTCCAATGATACCAACATAGGAAAAAAAATCGACTCTTAACAGTGAGAACATTGCCTTCTGTGTCAGTTTTTTTTTATAAAAATAACAACAATAACAAATTAAAAATAAAATATGTTTACGACTATGTCAGACAGGGATGTAAGAGGCACTTGCAGATTGTTGCCATTCATTGTAATAACCATAAAATTCACGCAGATTAATAGGTAATATTTATATATGTACAATAAAACAATAATTCCGCCATTTCTAATTCGGTCGTTTCAACAAAATGGCCGATTCAAGATGGCTGTCCAAGTACAAGTATCTTGAAAGATTTTTGATAAATATCAGTAACGATTCTTTCTCTTTGTATTATACAGGATTTATTTAAATCTACCAGAGACTTTTACTATAGATACGTTTACGCAACAGACAGAATGAGACAAGAACCTCTACTGTCTTGCCCTTTTTTTATACGTGTTGTAGCGTAAACATATTTATAAATAGCTGTATTAAGCAATTATTTGTCACTGACAATTATATTTTTTAATATTTCGACAAAAAATCTGCATAACAATGTTTCATTGTATGTGTATGATAAGATAAAGGTCAAATCCCATTTACAATTGTGAACAAAAATATCAATGAATTGAATACTAACTGAAAACTACTATATTTTTACAAAATTGACTTATACAGACCTTGGATTCGTGATCAAACATTTTGTTTTCAAGTTGCAAATGGACTAACCTTTAGACTTTTTAGATTATAAATATAATAGGATCATATATGCGTTTTATAGTAAAAAAAATATAATGTAAAAATCAATTATAAACTCATGAATAAACTATATATTTCAATCGTATTTCTATAATTTGAATTAGACTCCAAAACCGCAGGAGGCGAGCTCCTCGTCATCACTAAGATTTTTTTTACCATTTTACTTCCATAAATACATTATATATCCAAATAATATGATCTTATTATTATTATTATTTTTAATAAAGCCTTCCGTCACAGCGCCAGGGTGAAAACAACGGACAGTCCGTTCGAGAAATGATATAAACAAATATTTTTTTTTAAATAATCTATTAATTACTAAACAGGTAACATATTGCCAATACGAGATTTACAATGTGAACATAACAACAATCTTAGTAATTTGATACGAGAAACGAAAAACTATTTACAATGCACTTAAAGTAAGGAATTTATGTAGACACATGACCCTATGGGAGGTTTTATAATTAAAAAAAATAAATAGTCGAAAAAAATGACAGCGGGAAGCAATATTCTCACTGACTAATAGTATATCACAAGTGTTGCCACAGATGTAGATGTAAATAGGCGTACCATGTACCATATGCTGTTCAAATTTAGCATACCAAATTTACAGTACTACCAAACCGTTTCTTCTAAACCATTCAAAATACTGCATATAGTTTTTTTTTTGTCAGTTATATAAATTAAAAGAGACTGCCAGTACGAGAAATAACATTTTTTTTTTTTAAGGATAACGTTGGAATGAAGCACCCACTTGTGCTAACGGTACCTATACACGAGGGGCACCAGTGTACAGCGAGACTATAGGGATGGAGTCAAGCCAGTTAACCCATTCTGGTGAATTTACTGGGATATTAATTTTACGACTTTTTTTATGTAGAAAAACGGAACGATACACCCGCCTGTGTTAACAGTATTCAATGTGAAGAACCCAGGAAGCTTCTGCGCTTCTGGACGGAGCTAGGTTGGCTGCACTAGCCACGACTCATACGCACAATGGCCCAAATGAGAGGCTAAGTGCGGAAAATGGAGTCCCTTTCACATTCACATTCAACAGTATTCAATGGTGGAACATTGGTTATGAATAAAATGATGGGAATGCGGTTAGTTAATTTCCCCTGATGGACCACATCGTAGGAAATTCACATGCTAACTTTTTACCCTTCATCCTTATCCACCATCCTTCCCTGGGTAGATTTATTATTTGTGTGTGTATGTATGTGTGTATGTATGTGTATATGTATGTGTATATGTATGTATATATATATGTACATTAGAAAGCGACTTATCAAGACTGATCTGAAGATCTGAAGTACAGCTTTGTATGGATGTGAGACATGAACATTAACTTAGAAAGACATAGAGAGCCTTAGAGGAGCATTTGAAATGTGGTGCCGGAAAAGAACGGACATAATTAGCTGGAAAGATCGAATTAGTAATAAAGAGGTCCTACTTGGAAAAGAGACAAATTATAAGAACCGATTGATTATTTACTGAAGAATAAATAAATAAATACTCAAATACAAAACTTTGCTACTTGGAGTTATTGTCATATATTTTGCTATTGTTTTTATTTTATAGAACCCCATATCAAACAATTACAAATAAAAAAAAAAAAAAACATTTTAATTTAAATAAAAACAAAAGCTTTTATTACAAATCTTTTATAGTTTCTTTTAATTTTTAATTCAAAGAATGTTTCACTGTACAAATAATTTCGCTGATCTCTGTGACTACTTTAATTGGGTGTAAATGGTATGGTAACCCCGCCTGCGTTATCGGTATACACTGACAGGGCACCAGTGAGAGGTGATAGGCGAGGATGAAAGGGGATGTCAGTTAGCCCATCGTAACGAATTAATTATTGATAGCAACGGGGACTAACCTCCCAATTACTATCCCTTTCCCACCCCCCTGGTGACTACTAGTCTACGGAACCCCTAGGTTTCATTTAACCCACTTTAAGAATCGCTGCACTATATAATTATACTACGTCTCTAGTGAGAGATACGTCAAGTATGTGCTGTGCTACTAATGATGAAGTTTATCGCTACTTATAGGCGTATATAAATAACGGGAGCCGGGTGGACCCAGCCCACCCCACTATTGTCAGATGCCCACCAAGAGATTTGAGTAAAGTTTCACAAAGAAATTTCTTAGAGTACAAAAGATATAAGTGAAGTTTTGGCAAAGACTTAGAGTACATATGTATATTTTTAAGGGGCCAGTCCCCCCCCCCTCTACATCCCGGAAAATGAGCTTGAATTTTAAGCTTAAGAGCACTAAGGCTCTTACTCGAATTCCGACTTATTTACGCCAAAATTAAAGCAGGGATAAGCTTTATCTATGCGTCATTTTTTTTTATGGATAAACATAGTTCAGTTGTCTATGGTATAAGTTAGCACGGTATTATACTCAATAATAAATAGTACTTAATAAAAGTGAAATCAAGTTTTGTTAAATTTATTACAGGAATAATCTCTAAATGAAATTAATAACAAATCGAAACATTTCATAAATTAACCAATTTTTGATTGGACATCTGTAGCGTCTTATTGTTGGTTCAATCATTCGTATTTTACATTTTCATTAAGCTCTATTGAGGATGAAGTCAGGGCATTTCTCATTTACAGACAGGCAAAGGTAAAGTCAGGGATTTGGCTCGTTATAATGAATTCACCAAAAAATAATATCGTAAAAGACAGCGTGGAGGTCAATGTGACCCTATATTGCCGGCACTGGGACCCCTAACGACTGCATAACAATCCCCTCCGATTTTGAGATCCATTAATACATTTCACTTCAAATAATACCCAAAGTAAGGAATCCAAAATTTTAATAATTATAACTTGCTCTGATTTAGTTTAAAATCAGCGACATCTATATTGAGAACTGACACAGTTTAGATGCGGTTGCGTCGTCCACTTGTTAAAGTGGCCAACGGATGGCAGTAGTGTAAAGATGGGCAGGTGAAGATAGACGCGTGGCCTACGAGCGCTACATCACTACATCTGCGTGCGGTGCCGCGGCCGGTTCACAGCGGGCGGCGCTGCGCGAGCCAGGCGTGGAAGCGGTCGCGGCGCGCCGCCGCCGACCGCGCCCGCGCCGCCGTCCGCGCCGCCGACAGCGCCCCCGCGCGGTACAGCTGCAGCGGCCGGGACGTCAGCAACCTGCGCCCGCATATTACATATTTTATTAATCATATTTTTTTAGGAAACTTAACTTACTAGCAGACCAATTAATGGAATTCAAAATTCAAATTCAAAATTTAAAAATCATTTATTCATGTAGGACATTTTAGCCGCTTATGAACGTCAAATTTTTACATTATAATTTTATTTTTTTCCCTACCGTCCAGTTCGGTATATAGATCCAATTGAGAAGAACTGGCAAGAAACTAAATTGAATTATAGAATGAAATAATAGTTGCTTAAAGACATAATAATAAATTTTTACTATCGCTCTGCCTGCAATTTCTTATACGTAAGCCTTGAAAGTTTACTCTTTTAGGGGTTGAATTTCCAAACTTCCTTTCTTATTGTCCATCTACACTATATAAAAAATCTCTCTACAAAATTTCAAGACTCTAAGACTGGATAAGACTAGAAATACTGCCAAAGTATACTTATTAAATTTAATATTTATATTTTTAATATATTATTAGATAATATATTAAATAATAATAATAGTAGGTTAAAATATTATGAAATACCCCTTTTCTAATAATGGGAAGAAACTATACCTTACTATACCTATATACATAAATCCATTTAAAGTTAAGTAAAGTAAGGGTTTCCAAGTAAAGTAGTAAGGGTTGATTAATACAGAATATTTGAGTACATTCTTGTAACATACAAAAGAGAGACTGGCTGAAAAGCAAAGCTGTGCAACTCTACACATTGCACTAGAACACTCACAACGTCAGCTGAGCTAATTCCTTTTGCTTAATATGAGACGCTTCTTATAAATTATTTTTTATTTTCTTTAGTAAATATGTGTTATTATTATTATTATGACACTAGCCTGCTATGAATTGACAAAAATGACAAGTGATGGTGTATCTTTCGTACTCTTTTTACTAATTATATTTGCATAAGAAGAAGGGAGGCAACCATATGATGTACAGTTTTTATTTTATTGTTCCTTCTATGTGATTCCTTGTTTTTAGATTAGTAATATTTTTTTTTTTATCCAATATAGAATTGCTATTTTTCACAAACTGACGGCCCACATGAGCAGTACCATGGACATAACAGAGTATACTGTTTCATCCATGATATGTCCCCCATGCGTTGCCATTCTTGAGGACTCGGGTGTTATTCTTCTGTACCGTGTAAATTCACTGCCATACCGCACCCTTCAAATTGAAACACAACTGTTTCACAGTTGAAACAAGAATGTAAACAGATGTATTGTGTGCCTCTGTTGCAAACGCGTTTTGTACAAATGTCTGTAGGTGGTGAATAGCAAGTGCAGTGACCTGAGCGTGTGCGTGATGGTGCACTCGGTGGCGTCGCTGATGCGCGGCGGCTTGCGGCGGCGCGCGGCGTCGTGCGGTGGTGCGGGTGATGCTGTCGGCGCGGCGGCGTTGCGCGCCAGGTCTCGCTCGGCGGCGGCGCCGCGCCGCGCCGCGCGCGGCCGCGCCGTGCGCCGCAGGAACACCGGCTTGTGCGGCCGCGCCGCCGCGTCGCTCGCGTCCGGCCGCGCGTACCGCTCGCTGTACAGCGACCACGCCGCCAGCCGCGCCACCGCCGACACGCACATCGCCGCCGCGCCGTTCGTCGCCGCCGCCGCCCCCACCGCGCCCACCGCGCCCACCGCCGCGCGGCACTGCAACTGCGCACCACAACACCACACGCTCACTACTAACGTTCACTCTTATTGTTTATTGACAGTACAGTTATGTACAGTTTATGACCAAAAATCCACTACCTACTTCATTAATTATTATTCATATAAACATTACTCCATTCAATTGGATAAATAATATCACTAATTCATTGCATTAACATTAGTCTAGCCACAATTAATTATTACTATCGCCATTCATCTTATTATATATATATATATATATATATATATATATATATATATAAATATATATATATATATATATATATATATATATATTTTTTTTATTTTTATTTTAAATAATTTAACAAATATTCAGTAGTAATCATTAATTTACTAAATGAAATTAATAACTATTACACATAGAACAGACAAAATTTAATGTAAAAAATAATATTAAATAAATAAACACTATCATATTGAAATCTTCATATAATTGTAAATTCAATCGCTTCTTTATTGAAATTGGTTGAAACAAATTATTACTAAACATGATAAATAACCAGTCAGGGTGGCACAAAGGTACCTGAGCAGACGACTTGTGGTATTCCTCTGTTATTTTTATAATAAACTTTCATATTGACAGCAATGATTACACCACTTTTCATCAGGTAACCATCACCTTAACTCTCACAAACTGTATCAAACAACAAACCACACTCCATTTTACATAAAATATGTAAAGAATTTAAATATAATTTGTTATGTATGAAAACAAGGATTAATTCGATGAGTACTTTTGAATTTTATACAGAGGTGCCCAAGCAAACGACTTTTGGTACAGTCTCCCTCCATTACTTTTTGTATAGATACTTTTGTGACTGTTATATGTGGAAGGACCCTACATAAATCATTGTATAATTATTATTATGACAATTAAAATAGTTTTACTTCAAATCTCAAACAAATTGTACCATTTATAATAGTTTTTTTTTATACAACTTAGAATGGCAAACAAGCTGACGGCCCACCTGATGGAAAGTGGTAACCGTCGCCTATACACATGAGCAGTACCATGCACATAACAGAGTATACTGTTTCGCCCATGATACCTCCTCATGCGTTGGCATTCCTGAGGGCTCAGATGTTATTCCTCTGTACCCAGTAAATATAATTTCTAATAAAACAATAGGCTTACGTTTTGTAGCTTTAAATATTAATTTAAAAAAAAAAAAGATATACTTTTTTTATAAAATAAAAGTATATATATATATATATATATATATATATATATATATATATATATATATATATATAACATTGTACATTTTATTATATATATATATATATATATATATATATATATATATATATATAACATTGTACATTTTAATTTAAAGACGTCAGTAGGAAGGCAGCATGCGTGTGTTCAACACTGACAGTCTGTCACACGACATCGCATGGCTCTCATCATTCGTCTCAGTTGCTATTCGAGTTTATTGCTCATAATGAAGATCAACATCTCTATTACTAGTAATGTCCCAATTATCCCCTAGTAAAATGGAGAAGAGGTCAATCTATTAGGTCGATACTGCATCCTCACCTTACAGGGATGATCCTCGCTGGTGCCCCACCAGCGTATACTGACAGAGCAGGCAGGGTTACCATTCCATTATCACTCATTTAAAGTAAAACCCTATTAAATAGTGATAGAGCAGTAATTATTAAATAAAATTACTATATTAAAGTTATAATACCTGGTTGGTCGGCGAGAGTCGGCTGTTGTCGTTGTTGTGCGGCGAACTTCGCCCCTCGCCAGCGCCCTCTAGCAGCTCGAACGTCACCTTACACTCTTCGCCGCCGTACTGTGCACAAATTGATAGGGTTTAATACAAGCAATATAAAATTCACGTCATGAAATAAATATATTAGCTTCATTTTTTATCAATCTTACAATGGTTTTTTTATTATATTCAATCCATGTTTGTATTGTTGTTTCGATTGAAGTGTGACAATATGGCAGTGAATTTACTGGGTACAGAGGAATAATACCCGAGTCCTCAGGAATGGCAACGCATGGGGGGTATCATAGGCGAAACAGTATACTCTGTTATGTCCATGACACTGTTCATGCCTATAGGCGACGGTTACCACTTTCCATCAGGTGGGCCGTCAGCTTGTTTGTCATAAAAAAAAGAATTAAAAACAATAAGAAATACAGAGTAAACAATGAAACATCACAGATTACATTGTGATACCCCTATATCCCCTCTAATGCATTTCCTGAAGGTTAGAAGTGTAAACACTATGTACCCTGTAATTTTACTGCCACATCCCACCCTCAAACCGAAACACAACCAGAGTGAGACAAAGATGACCAAGCAAAGTACTTTTGTAGTCTCCCTCTGTTATTTCTATCTAGCCCCACCATATTAGAGGGTTAATTCCACGTTATCTGATTTAGAAACTATCGTAATTAAATCCTAATGAATACGTCACGATGGACCAATTGATTTTCACCTATCATCTCTCACTGGTGCCCCACTAGTGTATACAGTTAGCCCAGGCAGGGTTACCATTCCATTTATACCCCATTATAACACTGTAGATACTAAGGAGGAAGGAATTGTTAGTAATGGGATCCAATTTCCCCATAACCAACAACAGACCCTATCAAGTCGATCTCCACGCAGTTCCCCCTAGAAACTTTCGTAATTAATCCTAGTAGAATTCATCACGATGGGCTAACTGACCTGCTTTCATAGTCACCTATCTCACCTCACTGGTGCCCCGCCAGCGTATACTGATAGCGCAGGCGGGGTTACCATTTCATGATCACCGATTTAAAGAGAGAGCCTATGGAAACTGACCACCCGCACGAGGAAGGCGGCGTGGTCGCCGCGAAGGTAGCTGGCAGCGCGGCGCAGGTAGCTGGCGCCGCCGCCGCGCATGCCGCCGCGGGCGCACATCTCCGCCGCGCGGACCGACCACGGCTCCGACACGCACTGCTGCAACTGTCCATACACTCCACTGTTAGTACCATGCCAACGCATGGGGGTATCGTGGGCGAAACAGTATACTCTGTTATGTCCACGGTACTGCTCGTGTCTATAGGCGACGGTTACCACTTTCCATCAGGTGGGCCGTCAGATTGTTTGCCATTCTAAGTTGTATAAAAAAAATTGCAAATGGCAAATATATTAGTAATAAAATTTGTTAAGAGTTGCCAACGCACGCGACTTCACTGGTGTCGTAGGCGTCCTTAAAGCTATGGGTAACCGTTTACCTTCAGACTTTCTGTTTGCTTGTTTGCCACCATAGTAATTAAAAAAAAATCATTTTTTTTTTCTTATACATGACATTAGAGAGAAGTAACCAACATACTATGTCTGGAAGAGATTGCTTTAGCGATAACACCGTCTTTTGTACTCCATATGTGTAATATACTATTCTTTATGTGTGTTCCTGCAGTTTCCAATTCCATCTTGAGGCAGGGTTGTGGCACTGTTAGAGGGACCAGCGTGTTTCTGTTACTGTCTTCGTGTTAGGCAGGCGATAAGTGCCGACGCAGCGATCGGGCGAAAACAAAAATGGTGCAAATAAAAGGTAAGACTATTTCTAAAGTGAAAAAAGTGTTGTCCTCCTCTCTCCTACTCGCTGCGCCCAACAGGGTCCATAATTGAAATGTCAACTACAAATTATATTATGGAATGCAATAAGAAATAAATAAATAAATAAATATTATTTAAAATCTTATTCTGCCCTTATTCTGCCGACATTGGGACATGTAACTATTTAAAACTAACTTATTGGCAATAAAAAAGTGGTATAAATAAAAAGAGACGTCAGTAGGAAGGCAGCATGCGTGTGTTCAACACTGACAGTCTGTCACACGACATCGCATGGCTCTCATCATTCGTCTCGTCAATACGATGACACAAAAATTAATTAAAAAAAAAAACATTATTTTTAATAGAATATGAACATCGCGTTTACTACCCTGTGATATCTCCATGATACTCCTCATGTGTTGCCATTCCTGAAGACTATGGTGTTATTTAGTGTTTTACTACCATATCCCAATCATCTGAGACATGAACGTGTCAGAGGTTTCTATGCAAACGTCATCATCATGTTAGGCATTATCTGTCCAGTGCTGAACATAGGTTCTGTCCGTTCAGTACTGGACTACGTTTTTTTTTTGATGGGTGAAAATGGTATGGTAACCCCGCCTGCGCTAACGAGATACGCTTGCGGAGCACCAGTGAAGGGTGATAGATGAGAATGAAAACAGGCCAGTTAGCACATCATGATGAATTCATCAGGAATTAACCATGATAGTTTCCAGAGGGAACCGCGAGGAGGTCGACCTGGTTGGGTATATTGCTAGCAATGGGATTCTCAATCTCCATCACTAACAATCCCTTTCCCCCCCTACTGGACTACGTTAGGTTTATATTATATAGGATTTCTCCATAGACTGGCATAAGGAACGAGGTTTTACCTTATGGCACTTTATAATTAATTTTACTAGTAGTTACCACTCTTGTAGTTCGGATTGGCAACCACAGTTAGGCTTTTGATGAGGTATTAAGAGAGATACCGCTACCCATCGATTCGGCCATAAGTTTCTTTAGTGGCTTAGAACATCGATGGGAAAGGAAATCTATGTAAACAAATTTAGTATAATCACCCTGTTGATAGTCGACCATTTCAGGGATTTACAGGATATGGAGGCATAACACCATAGTTCTTAGGAATAGCAAAGCATGAGGGATACCATCGGTATAATGTTCATGGTACTGTTCATATCTCTAAAGCGACAGTTACCACCTCCTCTATCAGGTGGACCGTCAGTTTGTTTACCATTCAAATTATTTATTAATAAATTGATAAAAGTACTAACCTGTCTAACAGCGATGGACACCAACTTGTCGAGCGTATACGCAGGGTACGCTTTGATGCCAAGCATTTCTCTCGCCGCATCTTCGTACGCTGCAGAGTCGATATTTCCGTCCAATACGCCTTTAACTAGTTCCAGTAGCGCGTTGTAGTACTCTGATGGGGAGGACGCGTCCGCTGGTAGGTCTGGGGAGAGAGGATTAATAGTATAATAGATAGATAAATACCCTTTATTGTTTCTTCTATAAGATTACAATAGTAAACTTATTATAGATACAAACAATTACAAAAAAATATTACAGTGAGAAAGAAATGGGCGGCCTTAGCGCTAAGAGTGATCTGTTCCAGGCAACCTATCGGTTTAAGAGTGGGATATGGCAGTGAATTTACAGGGTACAGAGGAATAACACCTCAGTCTGCAGGAATAGCAACGCATGGGGTGTATCATGGGTGAAACAGTATACTCTGTTATGTCCATGGCACTGCTCATGTCTATAGGCGACGGTTACCAATTTCCAACAGGTGGGTTGTCAGCTTGTTTGCCATTCTAAGTTGCATAATAAACTTGGAGGAGTAATTATAAAGAGAAATCTTACTTGTTCAAATAGACTTGTTTACAAGCTCTATTAAAATTTATTTATGATTCCACTGCAGTGTCACTGTTATCTGTTGAGAAGGACCCGCATGGAACTCAACAGTTAGTATTTTCAATCTATTTGTGTACTTACTAGATAATTTTACATTTGTATGGGGTACTTTGATTTTTCATTATAGCATTTTAGGGGGGAGGCCTATGTTCATCACTGGACAGTTCACTAATAATACATGCTGGTGGGGTACCAGTGAGGGATGACAGGTGAGATTGAAAAGGTAGGTCAGTGAGTCCATCGTGATGGATACACCTGGAATTGAACACGAAGGTTTTTAGGGGGAACTGAGTGGAGTATCCATCTAATAAGATGTATTGATGGTAATGAGGGTGTATTAGTTTCTATTACTACGAATTTCTTCTTAATTCTATGTAGTGTTGGTAGTGGTGCTTGTGGTAGTTTTGGTGATGGTGGTGATGATAGTGAGTGGTGATAATGGTGGTGGTGAAGATGGTGGTGGTGGTGGTGATGATGGTGGTAAGTGATGATTGTGGTAGTGGTGGTTATGGGGTGGTGGTTGTTACGGTGTTGATGGCGGTGGTCGTGATGGTGGTAAGTGGTGATGATTGTGGTGGTGGTGATGGTGTTAGTAGTGATGGTATTGGTGACTTTGGTAGTGTTGGTGGCGAGTGTGGTATTGGTGACAGTGGTAGTGTCGGTCTCGGTGTCGGTGTGGGCGGTGTCGGTGTCGGTGTGGGCGGTGTCGGTGTCGGTGTGGGCGCGCGTGGTGCCGGTGTGGTGCCGGTGTGGGCGGTGTCGGTGTGGGCGCGCGTGGTGTACGCACTGTTGGGCTTGAGGCGCAGCGCGTGCGCGACGGCGGGCGGGCGCGCGCGGCCGTCGAGCGCGTCCTGGCGCGCGAGCGCGGCGGCGGCGCGGCGCGCGCCGGCCAGCCGCTGGCACACGGCGCCGTGCAGCCGCAGGAACAGGTACCACGGCGCCGTGCACACGAACCGCGCCTCCTGCGCCACGCCCACCATACCATACACATTGTATTAGACCACCTCTGTTACATTCGTGTTTCTACCTCACGCTTCACAACACTGCGTTTCAGTTCGAACGGTGAGGTATGGCAGTAAATTACCGTGACCATTTACATAAATTATGGTAATTTAACTGAATTGTCTTAAATTGGATGTTTAGACTACTATTACTACTAGAGTGATCTATAAGTAGATCCTTTTATACATATCAAAATAAATTCAAAATCAACAGAATTACAACGTAACAAACAAACAAAAAAACTAAGAAACTCCTTTTTTAAAGTTGACAGATAAAATTGTAACTGAACGCTTTCTATACATGCGAGGTATTAAAAAAAAAAATACTATAAGGGATCTTAAAACAATCAATAAATATCAAAACAATAATTATTACAAATCTTGTCTGTCTGTATGTTAATTCCGTGGATCACATAAAAATTACTGCACCAAATTGGATGCCTAATTGCACAGCCGTATTCTTTAAAGTCTAACTTAAAATCTAATATATATTTCATCTTAATATGCCATGCCATTATAATAATGCCATAGTTAATAGCTTATTAACTCTACTTTTGAAACCACACTTATAATATAGCAAGCAAAAAGTATTTTATTTTTATTATTTTTTATTTATTCATTAAAAATAATTACAACATCATGACAGCAAAAGCCAAATCAATGTTATAAATCTAGTGTGCTAACATACAAAGTTACAATAAATGTATTTAACCCGACTCTAGATATTTCTGAGTCGCTTCTAATATCTTTGGCAGGCTACTAATCATCATCATCTTCCTACCCTTATCCCAATCATTGTTTGGGGTCGGCGTAATGTTTTCTATCCATATTATAAAAAGATTTGGCATATAGTTTTACGACCGGCCGCCTGCCTGACGTCAACTCTGTTTGGGAACCCTCTTTGGCTACTAATATTAATAGTATATATATATATATATATATATATATATATATATATATATATATATATATATATATATATATATATATATAAATTTTGTTTAAAAAAAAATAGCAATAACGAGACACAACTCACATTAGGCGGATAGTCTCTGTAGTCATCCTCCTCTTGTTCCATTTTGATCTCCATCTTCACAGAGTCCTCGTTACTGCTGTTCCGTTTCACGCTGTTTGCCGCATTTGTGTCTGCAAATAATTTAAAAAGTTCTTTTAAAAATCTACGCTCTCCATATCCTGACCTTTTTTTTTAATAGATGATAAGGAATCTGAATTTCAAGTTTTTTTTTAATGCATGATAATGAAAAGGTAACCCTTGCCTGCGCTATCGGTATACACTAGCGGGGGACCAGTGAGAAATGATATGTGAGGATGAAGCAGCTCAGTTAGCCCATCGTGATGAATTCACTAATGTATCATTCACGATGGTTTCCAGGAGGAACCACGTGGAGGTTGAGGGTATATTGCTAGCAATGGAGCTATTAAACTCCATTGCTAACAATCCCTTTCCCCTCGAATTCCAAGTATTGGAATGGACTAACTGACCTTTTTTTTTCATCCTCACCTATCATCCCTCACTGGTGCCGCCAGCGTATACCGATAGCGCAGGCGGGGTTATCATTCCATCATCACCCATTAAAAAAAAGTACAACATAGATGCACCACTCGGTAAACAAAAGAAAACTTGCCAAGACGTACTATAACTCTGTTAACAAAACAAATTTGTGGCATCCGCGTAAACAAACGTAACATGTGATGGTAAACCCGTTTACCATCACATGTTTAATGTAAAATTCACCTTTACTGTCCGTATGGTTGTTGTTCTTGGGTTTGTTCTCCTTATCGTTCTTATTGTTTCGGCCGCTCTTATCTGACGCGTTGTCCGACTCCGACGACTGTTGATTATAAAAATAAAATAAATTTTTGAATTACAACAACTTTCCAACAATAAATCAAACATATAGATAAATAAATAAAAATATTCTTCATTTATAAGGATTTTTTTTTAATCTACCGCCCACTTCGAAATGCATTTTCAGCTGTGAAATACGAGAAGAAAGTCAGCTGTTGCTTTTTCTACAAAAAAAAAAACATGAAATGGCTAAAACAACTATCCCAAACTTCATATTGATATAAAAAAAAAAATCAGTGTTCTTTTTTTTTAATCTACGTTTAATTTGGGATTTTTGTTTGTTAACATGTCAATATCCCATAAAATCTAAACAGGTTATCTACTATTATAACTAAAGAATACTACTTACTAATTCACTTAAGCAGTCAGTGTTCTTGAACAGACCAGTCCCTACTAGAAGCATCAGTTCACATCACCAGAGGGAGACTTTGTACAAAAGTCGATTGCTTGGGCACCTCTGTCGCATTCGTGTTTCTACCGTAAAGAAGTTGTGTTTGCATGGCTGTGTTTCGGTCTGAAGGGTGGGATATGGCGTGAATTTACAGGGTACAGAGGAATAACACCCGAGTCCTCAGGAATGGCAACGCATGGGGGGTATCATGGGCGAAACAGTATACTCTGTTATGTCCATGGTACTGCTCATGTCTATAGGCGACGGTTACCACTTTCCATCAGGCGGGCCGTTAGCTTGTTTGCTAATCTATATTGTATTAGCTTATCATCCGCTACTTAGTACATTTTGATTTTAGAAGTAGAAAAACGCAATGGAATATACCACTTTTAGACAACTTATCGACAAACCATTTTTAAAGTTTTTTTTTCTCTATTCAATTCTTTTTTTGCTTTTAACCCTTTTAGTGCCATTGATTTTTACTAATATCTACTTAAAAATGCCAAAGAAATCTTTGTCATGTTGATGTCATTTACTCTTGTCTCTAAAAAAAACTGTATCTCCTCCAAAAAATATCCAATTTTAATATTTTTTTTTTTACAGCAAGGTAAACAGCGACTGATTTCACGAGCGCTATGACGCTCGTGGCACTTTTAGATGCAATGCGCACGAGCGAGATGGCGCTCGTCGGCACTCAAAGAGTTAAATTGTACTTTTTGCTACTGTCGTAGCTATTTTTTCCTATCTGATTTTTTTTATCTGCTGTTCTAATTTTATCATTGTTAGAATTATAGCTGTATATTATATACATGTATTTGTGTATATAAGAGTATATGTATGTATACATACATATATGTAATGTGTAGTAACAATACACATATTTTAATAGTAAATACACCGCCTACTTAATTTTCCGCTTATCTCATGGTTAACTGGCAGAAAACGCCATTAGATGTTAAGTCCGCCATATGTACACTTAAATAATTGTGCATTCTAGTTTTAAATACGTAAATATTAGTAAGACAAGATATTGGGGTCGATACTGCGGCGATCTTCTAAAACTTATCCTTAAATTAAATATTTCAATTTGATACCACAGCGAAATCTATTTTAAATATCAATATTAACTAAATTTGTATTATATTTGATAATAATAATAATTATTTTATTTAATTACCATCAATAAAACATAAATTTCGTTAAATTACCAAATTAAAACATTAAGTTTAAGATACAGAGAGATTACACCTCATCGGCAACAACGTCTTACCTCTTGTTTCTCCGATTTGACGTTAGGTGTCGCCTTGTCGTCTTGTGGCGTTTGGTCGCCAGACGGACTATCTGGGCTCGCTGGGTCGTCTTTTTCTTCTTTGAACAAAGATATAAATATAATTATTGTGAATTAAACATTTTATTTATATATAAACTAAGCTATAATGATGTTTCAGTAACTTAGCGAGACTCAATTTGAATTTAAACTTAATTATTTTACCACTTAAGGTACAAACGTAAAAAAAAAACTAAATTCATTTTTGTACTAATAAACTGTTTAGTAAATTAAATTTATTCTACATTTCCAATATAATCGTCGTATTTTTCTTATCTTTTCTGGTGCAGTGGTACAATGGTTGGGGGCTCAGAATTAAACATTTTGTTTATTTATTTGAGACAAGTAACAAAGGTAACAGAGATATTATTTTGAAGCAATTTAGTAAAGTAATTATTGTTTATATTTAAATAAACAATTCATATTTTTAAGTTATAAAATGTATTAGAGACGCCATATTTTTTTTCTTTCAATTACCAGTCACAGGCCAGAGAGCATCAGTCTATCTCTATACATCAAGCATAGACTAATAAAGTTGCCATATTAAGAAATGTGTGGATTGCTTTCTCAACGAGAGACGTCAGTAGGAAGGCAGCATGCGTGTTGAACACACTGACAGTCTGTCACACGACATCGCATGGCTCTCATCATTCGTCTCTACTTAAACCACAGTATTATTACTTATCAAATGTATGTACTATATATAGTCTGTCAAGTAAGATTATAGTCAATTTGTAAAAAAAAAAAAAACTTTATTTAATAAAAATAAAAAATATATAGAGTCATTGTTCTTGATCAAAGCGAAGAAGCAATGTTATTAGTATCACGTTCAGTCGACATTGCGTCAATAATTGATGGATTTATCAATAAATCCTAGATATACTTTGGACCAAGTATATGGCGTATTCGTCTGGTAAAGACTTCCAAATGCGATGGATTTCTCGAGATAACTGCTTTAAAGTGTATACTCTTCTTCAACGAAACTTCCGCTTGATGTACGCTTTAACATTTCGGGTTTTTGTCACAATTGGGTTAGCGTCGGGCGATTGAGACGTCCAATCCTATGTGACAATGCCAGATCGCTCCTTCTACTCAGGGAACAGTTTGCTACAATGTTTGGGGTCGTTGTCTTCTTGTAAGATCCACTCCTCTTTTTGGTTAATGAACCGGCGTTCAACAACCAGTAACAATGATTTATTATAAATTTCGATCAAGCATTTAGATTGTAGGTAAACGAGGTCAATGGCCCAAAACTCTTATCCGAGAAGCAACGCCAAAAATTAATTTTTACAGCGTATTTTATGATGCGCTGTACCAATTTGTTGTTTGGGATTGACCAGGATCGAGGTATGGAAATATATACCCAAACAGATGCTTCGTCTGAAAAAATTACATTACTCCTGTCCCGATCGACATTTTTCTTCGCTAAGGCAAGTCGTTTTGTAACGTGTTTTTCGCTTAGTAAAGGTTTCTTTACTGTAGCACGCCATTCGATGTCGTACTCACGGAGATGCTTACGTACAATTTCGTAGGATATATCATACCCGTTTTGGTACAATTTTGTTTGTCCCTGTCACAATGTTAGATTAGGATTGCCCAAAAATAAGTTTACTATGACTTTATCGACTTTAGAAGTCACTTTATTTGTGGAGCTAACTTCCGGCAAGCCATCGACAATTTTTATCTCATTAACGAGTAACATGTTTCTGCAATAAAAGATCGACAAACTTAAACGTTCTCAACAATGCATCAACTAGAAAGTGCCATCTATCGGCGTAAAAAAGAATTCGTTCGATACGTTCACTTAAAAATGAGTTATTCAGACAACGATCTTACTTGACAGTTTTCTAGTATAAAGATTTATAATAACTTGAAAATGATTTGCCATCAATAACAAAACCATAAAATCAAATAAGTAATACACATAGACTAGTACTATGTTATATTTCAAGAAAAGGACCATAGTTTAATAAAACTAACGACTCTTTTCTTAAAATACGCTTATTCCGGGAAGAAAAAAAAAAAAACAATAAACAAATAGCCACCTTCATCCTTCTCGTCATCGGACAGCGGCTGCCTCGGGTGCGAGAAGAGATCCGGTAGGAACCTCCTGAGCAGTTGCTTGATGCGTCGCTTCTCCGCCTTCTGGATGGCAGTCTGTCTGCGGGCGTGGTGGATCAGCAGTTCCGCCGCATCCCGTACTATTTTTATTGCTGTGAAACACATCGTCATTGTATAGAGGCATTAAAAACACAGTGACAATGAGAATGAGTTTGTAAACAAGTCTATTTAAATAAAAAAATATTTCTATTAACTATCTTACTAATATATAATAAAATTATAACTAGACGTCTGTACATGTGAGATATTTCAAAAAAAAAAAAAAAAACAATATGAGGTATCAATAAGACCAAGATAAATTTTGTCTGTCTGAATGTTTGTTCCGACATCAAGCAAAAACTACTGCACTAAATTGTATGCAGTTTTCATAGTTGTTTCTGAAGATATATACATAAATATATATCTATCACGCCACTACATGGTTGACACTCAGTTAATATCAGAATAGGTTGAGAATGAACAAATTGTTGGTAATGGGGTCTAGGAGGCTTCATTGCTAACAAAATGTCCATGCAATTACCATAGAAAACATCACAATTAATAACTAGTGCATTCATCACGATGGACTAACTTGACCTGCCTTTTCCTTGCCTTTAATCTGTCGTGATTAATTCTAGTGGAATTTGTCACGATGGGCTCACCGACCTGCCTTTTCATCCTCACCTATCATCCCTCACTGGTGCCCCGCCAGCGTATACCGATAGCGTAGGTAATGTTACCATTTCGGTTTCATCTTGTTAAAATACAAAAATAAAATTTGTTACAGTATATTTATTTATTTATTTAACTCTTCATTGCACCAAAAACATAAAAATAAACAATGACATATAAACAATTCAAGTGAAATACAGTAGTATTGAGTACAGATTAAAATATATACATAAAGGTACAAAAGGCGGTCTTATCGCTTAGTGCAATCTCTTACAGACAACCTTTGGTTAAAGGTGAACATATAAACATATATTACTGAGACGTCAGTAGGAAGGCAGCATGCGTGTGTTCAACACTGACAGTCTGTCACACGACATCGCATGGCTCTCATCATTCGTCTCGTTTCTAATTAGCTGCAGGATTTTTCTTTTTATACTACTTAGAATGGCAAACAAGCTGACGGCCCACCTGATGGAAAGTGGTAACCGTCGCCTACAAACATGAGCAGTACCGTGGACATAACAGAGCATACTGTTTCGGCCATCATACCCCCCATGCGTTGCCATTCCTGAGGACTCAGGTGTTATTCCTCTGTACCCTGTAAATTTACGCCATATCCCACCCTTCAAACCGAAACACAGCCATGCAAACACAACTGCTTTACGGTTGAAACACGAATGGGACAGAGTTACCCAAGTAATCGACTTTTATACAAAGTGTCCCTCTAGTTCTCAATTAGTTTTTTTTTTATTTGTTACCTCATAATTTTTTCAGTTGTAAACCAATTTGGAATATCTTTTTTTTATCTGTAAGGATATTTTTTATCTTTCACGATTGATTCAATAGAGATTTAATCAAAATCGATTCCGTAGTTTCTAAATCAAAATTTGGTTTTGTCACAATTGAAGGAGACATTTCTTTTTTGTGAAACAAAAATGTAATTGCTCAAAAAACTGAGTTCTCAGGACCGTCTTTGATTACTGAGGTCATAAAATGTTTTCCAAAATTTCGGAGCCAAACGAAACACAAATTTGATATTAAAATTACATAATACATGCCATTTGGAATTTTTTTTTATACCACTGAGGTGGCAAACAAGTATACGGCCCACCTGATGGTAAGTACCGTAGCCTATGAACACCTGCAATACCAGAGGTATTACGCGCGCGTTGCCGACCCTACTCTTTTAATCTCTTTATTTTTAAATATTAAAAATGTTAAAATATTATTTCTTTGGACTTTTATAATAGGATGTATGACGAACGAAATGTTAAACTCCATTTATTGGTCCGATTTTGGTAAAAACAAAAACACGAAATTGAGTCCGAAATTTCGGAATTTCATTTCATGGTAGACCCGCTGATGACTTGATCGTACCTACACGTTAATGCAATGACGAGTTTACTCATCACCTATCAGCAAAGTGTTAAACTAGAGCATATGAAGTCTCATCTTACCTTCTTGCCGACTCTGCATATTGTAGTCCACGATCAGGTGCGGACCGGGCCTCCTGGCCGCGTACGCGCTTTCCACCTCATTGAACAGTGACTTGGAGCGCATCGCTTTCAGATCGTTCTGCTTGAAGTTGATGCCCTGATGATCTAGTGACTTCAGGTAGTATTTCTCATTCTGCTCGCGCCATTGTTTGTTGAAGCCCTGTCGAGTAAAATTACACAATGAGCACACATGGGGAGAGAAAGAGATTGTTAGTAATGGGGTCTCAATATAACCTATCAGATCGATATCCACGCGATTCGCCCTGGAAACCATCGTAGTTAACTTTCCCTTACTAATATAAATAATAATAAATATGACAATTTGTTTGTTTCCACTTGGCATATTAACGGTATAACCAATCGCTATGAAACTTGGTATAAAAGCACTTTCAAGATTTTTTTTATAGGTGGCAAGCAAGCTGTATGCTTGCCCACCTGATGGTAAGCGGTCACCGTAGCATCAGGTCAGCCTCAACGCAATTCCCCTGGAAACCATCTCGGCTAATTCCTGTTGAATTCATTTCAATGGGCCAATCGACCTGCTTTCATCCTCACCTATCATCTCTCACTGGTGCCCCGTCAACGTATACCGATAGCGCAAACAGGGTAGATTTCATTATAACCCATTAAAAAACCCTCCAAGCTTTACTTAGTTCGCTACTAGATGGCAAGTGTCCAGCGCTCTTTGTATTATTTTATTGTTTTCTCATTGTGATTATTTCTTGTAATTGTTTGTATCTATAATAAGTTTACTATTGTAATCTTTTGGAGGAAACAATAAAGAGAAATCTATCCATTTAAGAGCTGCGCTCTTGTCTGTGGAGCTCTTGCCACTCACTACGATTTGCAGCGAGTCTCTTCACCTCTTGATACGACACGAGACCAACTCCTTCCTTGATCTGCCTGGTGTAACTATGCCTTGGTCTTCCTCTTCCCCTCCTTCCTTCTATCTTACTTTCTATTACAATGTTCATAAGTTCGTCGTGTCGTATCAAGTGTCCCAACATTTTTTTCCAAAGATTATCTATATAGATATATCTATTTAATTATTACTGTAAACATATTTCTCTCACCTTCTGCGCCTCCCTCCACTCTTCCTCTTTAGCTTTGAGCCGCCGCAGCACGACGGGTACGGCCACCACCGGGTTCTTCTTGAGGCCAGCGATTATGTCCACCGCCTGTCAACGTAACATATTTCAAGATTGGACTTTATTCTCCACTATCTATGACGATCTAAGGTCGAGTTAAATGTTTGTTTACTTTTTTTTTATTCCATTGAAATATATTTTTTTTTATAATACTATGAAACAGGCCTGCGAGTCTAGTATAGTAATCACTGATAAGTAAATTTATTAAGTTATTATTATTTTTATTTGTCTTTTAACTGTTTTAGTGCATTGATTTTTACTAATATCTACTTAAAAATGCCAAAGAAATCTTTGTCGTGTTGATACCATTTACCTTTGTCTCTAAAAAAATTGTATTTCTTCCAAAAATTATCCAATTTTAATAATTTTTTTCTACAGCAACTGATTTCACTTTTTTTTTTACAACACAGGAGGCAAACGAGCACGCGGCTCACCTGATGGTAAGTGACTACCGCCGCCCATGAGCACTCGCAACACCAACGGCATTGCAGGTGTGCTGCCGGCTTTTTAGTTTTAGCGCTCGTCAACACGAAAACAGTTATATTTCTCAGTTTTTAGAGCTGGTAATTATTTATTTATTATTTACTTGAAACATGAGATACATGGTATTAAAAGATAAGATAAGATCGCCATACATAAGTATGTAAAAGTTAGATCCTTAATAAATTTTTTTACATTATTTTGCTGTTATTTCTGTATGTCAGTGTTAATTTAATCATGTATTCACTCTATTATATTCATTAACATTTTAACAATAGCAATACGTAAAATATTTATTTATTTATTCTTTATTGCACAATAAAACTTTGTACAAATGGCGATACCATTTGTACCCAACCAGCATTCTCTACCAGCTAACCATTAGGTAAAAACGGAAAGCGTATGCCCTTCATACGCTTTTTAAACATACGCAGTGAAAAAGATGTGACTTTATTAATATTTTATATTTTAAATACACAATCAGAACATAATGCGATGTAAAACGATGTGAAATACTATTTACCTGTAAAGACTTTTACATCGTGTTTAAGTGCCGATAGTGTATTTAAAATATGTGTAAACAACAACGAAAGTTCAAAATTAACTAACATTGTATATTTTTTTACATTATTTCTTTATCAAACTATGATCTCTTTCAATGGAACTTCAATGAAAACGTAAACAAACAACTAACCCGACTGTAAGACAGTCTTCTGTCTAGAGATGGATAATATATAGCAAATCTATATATTGGGGGGAAAGGGATTGTTAACAATGGAGTTTGCCCCATTGCTAGCCCTATTAGGTCGACCTCCACGTGGTTCCCCCTGGAAACCATCGTGAACGATTCTTGCTGAATTCGTCACGATGGGCTAACTGACCCGCTTCATCCTCACTTATCATCCTTCACTGGTGCCCCGCCGGTGTATATCGTTAGCGCGGGTGGAGTTACCATTCCATTATCACCCATTAAAAAAATATATATATATTTGCCTAATAATGGATATATTAAATATATACCCCATTCGTTATGAGGCTAGCTTCGCCACCCAGGCGTAAAGAAGCCTCAACAAAAATTAGATTAAAAAAAAACAAATAAATATATCATCATCACCTTCCTGCCCTTATCACCATTATTATTTGGGGTCGGCGTAACATGTTTATCCATATTACAAAAAGATTTGTCTTATAGTTAATACCGGCCACCTGCCTGACGTCAACCCTCTGGGAATGCATTTGCTGGTGATTTCCACCACAAATAAATATATACCCGATCGTAATTAATATATCCATCTGGTATGGGCGATGTAGAAATTTTGATGGACTTTCTTTACTCCATCAATGTCCAGAGGAGCCGAATATATAGATACTGTGCCGGTAAGGATAACACCCATGCCCGGGGGAAAGGTATTGTTAGTAATGGAGACTGAGAATCCCATTGCTAGCAATATACCCAACCAGGTCGACTTCCTCGCGGTTCCCCTGGAAACTATCATGGTTAATTCCTGATGAATTCATCATGATGGGCTAACTGGCCTGTTTTCATTCTCATCTATCACCCTTCACTGGTGCTCCGCCAGTGTATCCCGTTAGCGTAGGTGCGGTTACCATACCATTTTCACCCATCAAAAAACACCTATGCCCACTAATAATCCAAATAAAAGATCTATTAAGCGACTGAACATTTCGATTTGTTACAGATTCATTTATTATTTCTGTGATAATTTCAACAAAACTTGATTAAATACTACGAACCCCACACCAACAAATATTTACTACTACACCGGTACATAAATAAATGTACTGCCAAGCTTAAATTAAACTAAATAAATTACTTTAATTTAAATAACCAGATAAATATATAAACATTGTAAATATAGCTACTAATAAAATATATTAAACATACTGCATAATTAATAGAATATAAATATAAAATAATATATAAAAATCGAGCCTCAAAGACACTGCATGCGGTATAAATCTACATTTTACAAGTGCTCCGTTGTACTGAAGGAAAGGAGACAAGAGAAGGAGAAGGAAGGAGATACAAAATAGACAACTCGATAAATTTGAGTACATAATAACACCAGTCATTAGGAATGGCAATGTATGGGGGGTATCATGAGCGAAACAGTATACACTGTTATGCCCATAGTACTGTTCATGTCTATAGGCGACGGTTACCACTTTACATCAGGTGGGCCGTCAGCTTGTTTGCCATTTTAAGTTGTATAAAAAAATTGTACTATTTACGCCCATAATAAAAATTACTTTTATATGTAACAGATTATTTATAAAAATCTCTCCTAAAACATATTTTAGTGTTGTTTTTTCAAAATGTTTCATGAATAACACTATACTAATTGCACTTTTTATCAGAGATGAGTTTTTTTTTTTTATGGAATGGCAAACAAGCTGATGGCCCACCTGATGGAAAGTGGTAACCGTCGCCTATAGACATGAGCAGTACCGTGGATATAACAGAGTATACTGTTTCACCAATGATACCTCCCATGCGCTGCCATTTCTGAGGACTCAAGTGTTATTCCTCTGTACGCAGTAAATTCACGCCATATCGCACCCTTTAAACCGAAACACAGCCATGCAAACACAACTGCTTTACGGTTGAGACACGAATGGGACAGAGGTACCCAAGCAATATATAAATAACTAATAGATTACCGACAATACTAATAACAAATAAAAAAATATAAAATTGTGATCTACAGTTAGAGGAGGGAGGTAGAGGGTAGACGAGAGGAGATCGGCGAGGAGTGTCTGCGGCATGCGTAGAGTCCGGCGCGACCGTACCACCTTGTCTCCGTAGATCCTGCGCAGCGCCCTCTGGTGGATGGTGGGCGAGTGGCCGCCGAGGCAGTCGTCGAGCCGGTACTTGGCCGCGTCCTCGGGGCTCATGCGGGACAACTTCTTCTGGACGCCTTCTAGCACGCGGATGGTTGACGCGTTTGTCTCTATCACCACGTCCAGCTGGAAGCGATGGGGAATTTATTACCAATTTTATTATTGAAATTTTCTTAAATACATATTATATTTTAATGTAAGAATACCCGGATTGACTTTCGTGTACTTTAGAAGTCAGAGGGTCTACCATAAAATGAAATTCCGAATTTTCGGGCTCAATTTCGTGTTTTTGTTCATACCGAAATCGTCCCTGTAAATGAAGCTTAATATTTCGTTTGTCATAAATTCTACTAAAAAAGTCTAAAGGAATGATTCTTTAGCATTTTTAATATTTTTAAACGGGTATGTATTATGTAATTTGAACATCAAATTTGTGTTTCGTTCGGATCCGAAATTTCGGAATACATTTCATGGTAGGCCCTCTGGCTCGGCTTACGTCACGGCCGTTTGCGACTAAAGGACTCGGATGGTCCCGAAACTAATCGAAGCATTCTAAAATACACGTAAATCAATCTGAATATTCTTGTATTAAAACACGACGTTGTTGCCATATGGGAATTATGTGTTTCTTATTTAGAACAAAAAACTTTAATCGTGATAAAACACATTGACTGGCGACGAGAGATTTTGTAATAACCAATTAACCGATAAATTAGTTACGATGGTTTCCAGATGGAACCATCGTGGAGCTCGACCTGATAGCGGAAATTGTTTGTAATGCGGTCTACCAGTCCCATTGCTAGCAATATACCCCGTCAGGTCGACCTCTACGTAGTCCTCCCTGGAAACCATTGTGCTGAATTCCAGGTGTATTCATCACGACGGGCTGACCGACCTGCTTTTTTTATCCTAACCTATCAACCCTTACTGGTGCCCCACCAGCATACACCGATAGTGCAGGCGGGGTTACCATTTCATTATCATTCATTAAAAAACATTCCTGATTACTAACAATCCCTTTCCCCCCCCCGGTGCCGATGTAGGCATAGGTACTTAGCTTGTAAGAAATTAGAGTTTTTATAAACAAAACGATATATTTTCGTAGTCTGTGCATTCACTAGTGGTTGTAATTACCTCAAATCTCTCGTCTTCGCAGCGATATATGTACTCTTCATACTGAGTCTTCCGCGATGTCACGAACGTCGAATCCTCACTCCACGTCGGGAACGAAACCCACGTATCATTTAGCACCTTAACAATGGAGAAAATAAAATTAGATTACACTCTTTATCGTTTCCTCTAAAAGATTATTTTATACAATATAGAATAGCAAACAAGCTGACGGCCCACCTGATGGAAAGTGGTAACCGTCGCCTATAGACATGAACAGTACTATGGACATAACAGAGTATACTGTTTCGCTCATGATACCCCCCATGCGTTGCCATTCCTGATGACTCAGGTGTTATTCCTCTGTACCCTGTAAGTTCACTGCCATATCCCACCCTTCAAACCGAAACACAGCCATGCAAACACAACTGCTTCACTTTTACACAAACTTTTTTTACTTTTGTACAAAGTCTGCCTTTGATAATTAATGTTCCTTTCTCCACTAAGTTTGCTGGAAGAGAACTCTGACAGAGTTAAGCTCGCCTATTGTATATCTTTATTTAATATAAGTTACAAGAATGTAATTTTTGTGATCAATAAAGTATAAATAAATAAATGTATTCCACAAGAAGAAAACGGACTTCAATTGTGGCAAAATATGTTATTTTAATTTCAAATATTGTTGGCATTGATAATAAATTTCCATTACTAGGCAATTCCCTTCCTCTAGGGTCATGAGGTCTAGAAGCGGTAATAGTGAGATGACGATTTAAAAGTGCTTGTAAAGAAGCCTATTTAAATATTTTTTTTTATAACACACTCAAACGAACATGGGGCTCACCTGACGGCGAATAAAGCCGCCCTGATAATTTAAATTGGACTCACCTCCTTGCAGAGCTGGGTGCGACCGGAACAACGGCGGGCGGCCGCGTCCCGTGGGAGGGCGCAGTACGACGTCCCCAGTCGCTTGCACGTCGACAGGTCTGTAGTGGGAAACAGACATCTTTACTAATATAGAATATATCTAATAAATAAAGTTACCATGAGGAGTGAGGCCCTGGTGACCTGAACTTTTTTTTTATGGGTGAAAATGGTATGGTAACCCCGCCTGCACTAACGGGATACGCTGGCGGGGCACCAGTGAAGGGTGATAGATGAGAATGAGAACAGGTCAGTTAGCCCATCATGAATTCATCAGGAATTAACCATGATAGTTTCCAGGGGGAACCGCGAGGAGGTCGACCTGGTTGGGTATATTGCTAACAATGGGATTCTCAGTCTCCATTACTAACAATCCCTTTCCCCCCGGTGACCTGTACTACAGGTATTATTATACCTATCTCAGGTACCAGTCTCTCACAATTATATTTATAGGGGGAGAGAGGATTGTTAGTAATGAGGTCTAATAGCCCCATTACTAGCAATATACCCTTTTTATCGCGTGGAGGTCGACACCTCCACGAGATTCTCCCTGGATACCATCATGATTATTTTTTGTCGAATTCATCATGGTGGGCCAACTAACCTGCATTCATTCTCACCTATCATCTTCCACTGGTGCCCCGTTGGTGTATACCGTTAGCGTGGGCGGGGTTACCATTGAAATGAAATGAAACTTATTTGCTTGATTACATTCCATTGTCACTCATAAAAAAATATTTTTAATTCGATCACTTTAAGCTTGTCTCATTGCATTCCACTGTGATGAAATATGAAGAGAAAATAAATCAATCATTATTATTATATAGCAGTGAACATTGCTTTGGACTTGACATCAGTATCAACAGTTATACCCTATCAGGCAAGTAATATATATATATATATATATATATATATATATATATATATAAATATTAATTATTTGAAAATATGACCAATGTCGTCTCGGCATAGAATAGGCCGCCCCCTTCCTTTTTTGTTGGTGTTGTCTAAGACAGGGCGAGCGATGGGCAGCAGTGTCCCCCGCAAAACATCTATAAAGCCTAACTGCGGTTGCCAACTTAGTTGTTTGGGTTGCCACGATCGAGTGGACTAATAGTCGCGATCGACCGGTTGTCCACCTGGTGTATACTGTGTCGTCCAATGGTAGTGGTTAGCAGTGCAGTGTCGTTACCTATATCCATAGCGGCGTCCCCCTGCGGCCGGTCGTGCCGCAGCTGGGCGCCGAGCGGGCCGACGGGCTCGAGCCGCAGCTTGTCGGGCGGCGCGGCGCCCGCGCTGCCCGACAGCGAGCTGCGCCCGTAGCTCAGCAGGCCGGAGTTGCTGCCGTACCCTGCTCCAGAGATGACGAAACAAATCAATAGGTTTGAACATCTGGTGATACAAAATACCATTAACCAAACTGTAGAATCGCCCATTGACACGTTGGACTATAAAATGCATGGCAAAATGTGGGCAGATAGATAGATGGTACTGCTCATATCTATAGGCAACAGTTACCACTTTACATCAGGTGGGCCGTCAGCTTGTTTGCCATTCTAAGTTGTATAAAAAAAAATATTTATTTACATTACTTACAGCACACAAATTACAATAAATAGAAAATACAATACACAGTAAAAGAGATAAAAAAATGAAAATAAAAAAGCATATAATATAAAATATATATATATATATATATATATATATATATATATATATATATATATATATATATATATATATATATATAAACTAACAATCTCCGTTCTTTTATGTTCAACACAACAGCAACATTGGTTAGTAGGCATGAGTAATATCGAAACCACTCTGATATATCTATATATTGGGTATTTCACATCCTAAAGAAGTTACTCATATCGGTATCACTCATACTAGTCGGACATCAATATTCATTTTGATTGGATTCTACAATTCAATATTATGTATTGAATAAACAACAATTTAATTCATCCATTATTGAGCTAATACATATATAGATACATATTGTTTTCTCACTGTGATTATTTCTTGTAATTGTTTATATTTATAATAAGTTTACTATTGTAATCTTTTGGAGGAAACAATAAAGAGTATCTATCTATCTATCTATATTAAAACTAGCTCAAAGTCCCTGAAAAAGATAAGGTTTCTACATTTCCATCTGTCTGACATATCTCGAAGGATAAGCAAGCTGAAGTGACAATGGGCTGGTCACATAGCTCGAAGAACCAACAAGAATATACAAAGAAAAGTTCTTGACTGCAAATCCCGTACAGGCAACCGTAATGCAGCACGACCACTAGATGGAGTGACAACCTCAAACGTATTGCAGGATGTCAGTGGACACAGGTGGCTTAGGACCGTTCCTTATGGGGGAGACATATGTCCAACAGTGGACTGATAACGTCTGATATGACGACGATGATATGAATCAGTAAACAAAGCTAATTAAACTGACCAACCTATCACTGGTTTCCGACAGATCAACATTTGTATTGTTTAAAAGCACTAATTTATTAAAAAATTGCTGATATTCGCAATAAAAATGTCTGTGCACATACAGGTTATAATGTCACAGTGGAAAGCACTCGATAAATATTCAAAATTCAATAAACATCAAAATCTAATGAAGACTTGACCGAAAAACTACTAAATAACATAACACAAACACATACACAAATATATAGACAAGAAAATCAATAGAAATGAAGTTTTGAAAAGAACACAGTCTCACTTGCACAGTAGATAAAATTAGAACTGAAACGTCACATTTTTCGTATGACGCCGAGGGTAGATTATCGAAGTTGTGACAAGTAAACTGTCAACGTCATGCACTAGTTGGTTATTAATCTAAGTCGCACACGGTACGTTTCAATTCACGTAAAATATGAACAATTCAATGCACAACTATTTGATAGTTTAAAGATAGAAATGGAAAAAAATAAACAGAAAATTTATGATTCTGCAAAGAAAACATTAACTAAGACTTTTGAAAATAAGTTAGATCTTTAAGAAGAAAATACATTACTAATAAGATTATGTTCCACAAATAAAATTAACTTTAATTATGGTAAAACTAGTTAATTCGAAACTAAACTGTTATAAAAAAAAATCTATTGGATCTAATCTGCAAGTATATCCTTTTAGAATAAAAAAAGAAAAAACAACCAATTTGAGAATATTATTTCCTTTTTAAATCAATTAAAAATAAAAAACATTTGAAATACAAAATAACTATTGTATAAAGAAACAACAAAAAAAAAACAACCTCATAACTGTTTAGTTTGGAAGAAAAAGAATAATTCAAATATAGAATTGGCCGAAAATATAAAAGGAAATTTTCTAAAAAATAAAACTTAAAAATTACTTTGAAAAAATATGAAATAACAAATGGTCAGAACAACATAGAAGTATCATGGGTATAAAGGATAGGGTTCAATTAGTGGGCATTAAGGCAATAACGAAATTCAAGAATGTATACAATAAAAAAGTATGTCGGGTTAAAAACATAATACAAGCAGTAACAGGTGCAGTTTGTACAAAGATGGCCAATGATAGTAGAATGGAAGACTCCGGAGGAAGCATGTCTTCGGACAAAATAGGTGTGTCAAAACAGTTGCTGATTGAATATTAAATATATTGTTACATTGCTTATTATTATGTATAATAACTTGTACCTAGCCAATAATGATTTTGAATGCTTTAGACAATAAGGCGAACATTTGTACTTCACAATAAATCAATATCTGTAAAAACAATGTTCTGACAAATCAATCTATCAATCTAATTATCGTTTCCCCAAAATTCACATCTCCCCTCTTAATAGCAAATTAACCCCAGGCAGAAACACAGCCAGATTTCAGCACCCCAGGGAAAGAAACTGGCGTACTACTTTTTTTTTATACAACTTAGAATGGCAAACAAACTGACGGTCCACCTGATGGAAAGTATTAACCGTCGCCTATAGACACGAGCAGTACCATGGACATAACAGAGTATACACATAATACCCCCATGCGTTGCCATTCCTGAGGACTCAGGTGTTATTCCTCTGTACCCAGTAAATTCACGCTATATCCCACCCTTCAAACCGAAACACAGCCATGCAAATACAACTGCTTCACGGTTGAAACACGAATGGGACAGAGGTACCCAAGCAATCGACTTTTGTACAAAGTCTCCCTCTGGTAATTCTGGTAGTATTATGCAAGCAGTATCTCTTTCTACATCTTTCCCAGGAATGAGCTGCCTCGGAATCTCAACCATCTGAGATGTTGTTCTAGACTGTTTGGGTTAAGACCCTTCACCTACACAACAATATCTTTTTTTTTTAAGAGTTTCCTCTTGTTGGTGCGACTAATAAGATTTATTATTATCATTCCACTGACCAACATGTATGCCGGTGTTGGTGGGCGTGTGCGGCGGGGACGACAGCCCCACAAAGTCCTGCAGCCACTTCTGCAGCTCGGGGTGACGCCGGAGGAATGGACTCGTCACGCACAGCAGCTCCGACGACGAGATGACTTCGTGCGTGAACAGAAGGAGGCACCTGCCGGTGATCAATTGATAACATTAGTCTATTGTAAATATTTGAGTCAAAGGAAGCTATTTAACTATCCATCGAGATATAGGCTCTGGCTTTTAACGTTAAAAACAGAATTTCTGCGTTTAACCCTATGGTGTACAAATCCTTATTTAACAATTATATTAATCAATAAATGAAATATTAAAAATTTTTAATGATAATTAAATACCTCAAGAAATTATCGTAAACACGCTGCGAGCGGAGAGCCTTGCGCGCGCGGTCAAAGAAGTTAAAATCCTGCAGGGTGGCCACCTTCGCTGCTTCGGCTAGAGACACATCCCGTATGCCGCCGCCTCCGCCGCCACCCACGCTGCCGCCTCCTCCCCCGCTACCGCCTGTGCCGCACACACCGCCCGATGATATACGGCTCTTCTTGGCCGGCGGGCCTGCCGGCATCTGGCTGGAGGATGTGAAGCTGGGTGATCTCTTGAGATGGTGATGCTGCGACGGCGGCGTTACCACGTTGCTCGACACTGAACTTGTGTGCTTCGGTATCTGCTGATGTATTTGTTAGATTAGATTACCGTCTTTTAGAATTTAAGAGATTATGCTAAGTACAACCTTGGCTAGTCGTATGGTCCCGGCACCCCTTCTTATCCCGTGACTGTCTTAAGAGGACACTAATGGAGGGCAAGGGATGGCCAGTAACGTCCGTCTTAAAACATCTCCAAAGCCTAACTGCGGTTGACAATCAGCCTGCCAAGCGTGGCAACTACAGAAAAACCCCCTAAGGAGGAGGCTTATGGTCAGCAGTGACAGTTAAAGGCTAATATGATGATGACGATGACCTTGGGTTCGCACATTATAATAATCAGAACTGTATAGCGATCTAGCCTGTCTGCCAGCTGGTAGATAGATTTTCAAAATAATATATAGCCTATGTTACTACTCACTGATTATATAGTTTACTATAGGAGTAATTTTTTTTTAAATCAGATGAATAGTCAACTTTATGAATTACAAACAAACAATCAAATCTGTCCTGTTTATAATATATAAGCAGATGTACATATATATTTGAAGACCTCTGTGGCGCAGTGGCGGTAGACGAAATGCTAAGTTCGACTCCTGGTCCAGCCAATTTAGGAAGCTAAATTTTCTGAATTTGCTCGGGTCTGGATATTATAGGTGTTTTTACCTCGGATATTTGTCGCCTGAGTTCTTAAAACACAGGGTAAGTCTAGACTAAGGACCAGGCGAACTGGTGTACAGCATTTAAAATTATTATAAGTATATTTATATGTATACAAGTGACATCCCAGCAGTGGGCGTTACCTGCGCGAGATGGGCATGCGGTGGTGGTGATGCAGGCGGGGCGCTAACAAAACGTTCCGTTTCACTCTCCACACGTTGCTGAATCAACAATAATAATATATCAATCATAAATCATAACTATTAAGTGTCCAAATTTTTAAAACGTAAGCAGTCTAAGACTGTAGTTGTTAACTTCATCAATGTTTAAAGAAACACTTGTTAGTGGAACATGTTGAGACAATTACTAATAGGTCCTATTGACACAACCATATTGGTGGGGCCTGTTGAGACAACCATATTGGTGGGGCCTGTTGAGACAATCATATTGGTGGGGCCTGTTGAGACAACCATATTGGTGGGGCCTGTTGAGACAACCATATTGGTGGGGCCTGTTGAGACAACCATATTGGTGGGGCCTGTTGAGACAATCATATTGGTGGGGCCTGTTGAGACAATCATATTGGTGGGGCCTGTTGAGACAACTATATTGGTGGGGCCTGTTGAGACAACCATATTGGTGGGGCCTGTTGAGACAATCATATTGGTGGGGCCTGTTGAGACAACCATATTGGTGGGGCCTGTTGTGACAATAATTGGTGGAGCTTGTTGCCAATATTATTAGTAGGGCCCATAGACATTATTATATTAGTAGGACCTATTGTGGCAGCCATATTGAGAGACCTAATGAGACATTTATTGGTGAAACCTATTGAGGCACTTACCGGCGGTGGTGGCAACAAAGGCGGTGTTCTGGCGTGTGGTGGGTAGTGTGGCTTGGTCACTGCTTTAGCATCAGGCAGAAACTGACCAAACTCCGCCAGTAGATCGTCTTGATTCTCAAACAGTTTAGCGACCTGAACCACAATTATAAGTGTTAAATGTAATATCAAACCTTTATGTTTACACAAACGTACACACGGAGACAGAAAATTAAAATAGATTTAAAGTAACTTCGTTAATGTATTGTTATTAAAATATAGAACATTGAATAATTTTTTAAATTGAATCACACAAAATTCAGTATGAATGTCCTCATTTAAATACAGTGGAAACATATATTAATGCAATATCAAATTATTCATAAGCATTATTTTTATTTTATCTATATTTTATATTTTATTATTTTTATAAATGAAATTAAATTTATTTCACTAGAAACATTGTTCACAAAATGTTAGATTTTATTTTGGTTGTCCATTATGTTTCGCCAGATTAAATGTCATGAAAATAATTTCTATAGTAGATTGATTTTGAATTTTTAATTTTGCTCGCTTTTCCATCCAAATATAATCTTGCACCAATTTAAGGCAAATGTGAATAGACTATTCGTGGGCCCGCAAGCCTCATCATAGACTACATAATGGCTTTCATATATATATATATATATATATATATATATATATATATATATACATAGCATATTCATGAGTACACACATTTGTTAAGATATGATAACTCTGCTTATCATCAGGCGGCCATAATTTGCTAAAAAAAAAAAATCCAACTAACCTGCGAGTAGACTTCCTGCTCGGTCTGCTGCTTTGCTTGGGGCTCCTTCACGTCGCGGTGGCCGCGTTGGTAAGCGTGCAGTATCTCCAGGAACCTCTTGTATTTGTCCGGTTGACGTGAAAAGCGCGACTGTACGAAGGTGATTGATTTATTAAACTACTATTATGTTTATATATCTCTAATTATATGACTAAAAATTATACAAACGATTAATTCAGAACTCTTATAGAGCAGCCGCTAGTTTTTATCACTTTGGGTCAAACGGTAATTTGTGTCATCATAATTCCTAACAGTCGAACAATTGCTAGCAATATATCCTAGTTTATGTATACTTTATTGATCAATACAATGGTGGTACAAAAGGAGGACTTAATGCTACAGGCATTCTCTACCAGTCTATGTAGGATACATTATGTACATTTATATGTGATACACGCAGGCGCAACTACGATATATAGCTAGTTAAAAAAATGTAACTATAATTAAGTAATAAGTAACAGCATCATCAAAGTCCAAATGCAGTTGTCAACCTGCCAAATTTGGCACTTTGGTTGGCAACTGTTTAATTACTGGCAATACTCCCCTCATGAGGAAGGCCTATATTCATAAATGGAAAGTTAACAACTGACACAAGTAACAATATAATAAATTTATTTAATTTTGTAACTATCCTAGATAGTATAAGTATTTTTAAATATATTAATAAATAATAACAGATTGTTAATTTTTTTTTTTAAAACATTATTGTAATTCTAATGGAGGTATGTAAGTATGTAATAACATTATAAAATAAATAAATATAATATTGTGCTATTACAGGTTACAGAAATAAAAGATTACTTACATAATAATAATAAATAGGTAGATAGATAGATACTCTTTATTGTTTCCTCCAAAAGATTACAATAGCAAACTTATTATAGATATAAACAATTACAAATATAAATAATAATCATAAAGGAAAAGTAAATTTTGTACAATAAAAAAAAAAACAATTATAATATAGCCTTTATTGCTAAAAGTATATAGTCTTTTTTTACACTAAAAATGCTTATTCAGTTCATTTCCAGCTTATCCTTTGATATAGGCCTCATCAAGATACTTCCATTTTTATTTCCCATTCGTTAACCTATACTATAATTTTCCATGGAAAATTAAATAGATACTACACTTAAAAACACAGAAAATAGAACTCTATACCCAATGAACAGAACATACTATTCAATTGACGATTTCCTTGGAGAGAAATGCAATAAATTTCCTTAATATTATGCTAATACAATGATTTTTTTACTGTAAATGTGACATAATTGGATTTCTTTTGTTTTTTTTTTCTTATATATATAAGTTTTTGATATTGTATACCTCGATAGATGAGGTTGATCATAGAGGACTTGTTTTAACCATCCATTATTATATACCTAACCATGTACCTATGTATTCCGAAATAAATAAATGTAATGAAAATAGAACTCACCTTAATCTTGTTAACATATTCGATGGCATGATTGAACTCGACCGGTTGGCCGGGGGGCGCGGCCGGCTGGTGGGGACCGCTGCCGGCCGGAGGCTGCACCGTGCCTAAAATAAACGCTACGATTACACACTCGTTTACGGGACCTACACATCGGCGGTAGGTAAAGCTCGATCAGAACTCTTTTAGAGCAGCCGCTTGTTATTCTCATTTGGGGTCAATCGGTAATTAATTTCATCATATAATTAAGTGTTAAATGTTCAATATTAAATAATGACATCTCCATATTAATTTAAAGGCTTGCCAATGAAAATCAGCGCTGTATCTGCTCAGTTGCAGCATAACGCTGAGCGATGAACCGATTCAGCAAACATTACCTAACACCTTTCTCTCGGGATTGTTAGTAATGGAGACTGAGAATCCTATTGCTAGCAATATACCCAACCAGGTCGACCTTCTCGCGATTCCCCCTGGAAACTATCATGGTTAATTCATCATGATGGGCTAACTGGCCCGTTTTCATTCTCATCGATCACCCTTCACTGGTGTTCCGCCAGCGTATCCCGTTAGCGCAGGCTATTACCATACTATTTTCACCCATAAAAAAAAAACCTTTCCTTTCTATACACGTTACGTTACTCTGTATGAACCTTTTTAAAACCAGAGCTACACATTTCGCCTTATCTAAGGGCATTCAAATGTTGTCTCAGCACATGTTAGTATTTTTTAATGGCTTACATATATACATATATGTTTATTACAATTGTAAATTAAATAAATGCATTTATTTATTGTGAGCAAAGGTAGATTTATCCCTTACAAAGATCTCTTCCAGTCAACCCTACACAGTAGCTGGTGAATATAAGCATATAATAGTGATTTCGAGTCCAGACGTGCTTACCAGGTGGATGATGTATAGCAGCAGCTTCGATCTGCTGGTGAGCTTGTGATATCTGATGCAGGGTGTTGGCCGGCGGCGCGTTCACAGTCAAATTGTGGACTATGGCGCTGTTCACTGACCTAGGAGTAATGAATATATTTATTAATAAAGAAATGTAAAATTGAGTTTGATAGTCACTTGGTGGAATTGCAGCTTGATCAATAGATTTTTCTGGGGGGAAAGGGATTGTTAGCAATGGGGTTTGACAGCCCCATTGCTAGCAATATGCCCTATTAGGTCGACCTCCACGTGGTTCCCCCTGGAAACCATCATGAACAATTCTTATTGAATTCGTCACGATGGGCTAACTGACCTGCTTCACCTATCATCCCCCACTGATGCCCCGCCGGTGTATACCGATAGCGCGGGCGGGGTTACCATTCCATTTTCATCCAATAAAAAAAAAAATCGGTTGTATTACTTTTATATGTTTTTAACCTTCATAACTCCATCAGTTATTTTACAACCAATTTAGGAAATACATTTTTTATCTGAAACTATACAATTACATATTCAAATTCATTTAATTTCAGTTAAGATCTATTTTGTTAGTAGATTTAAAATTACTTTAGTGAAAAAGGTTATAATTTAATAAACCATATACGTGAAGAAAGGCATCGATCAGGACGGCGACAAACCAGGGCATGGTTATTTTGTGTTTCAGTCATCGTGCCGACGGGATGCCTAGACCTAGACGGGATCACAAGTGCATGGACATCCTCAGCTATCATTTTAAGGATGGTATTGTCACTTCCCCACATTCTTTTCACTATTGACGCAAATTTCTTAAGAATGATGGAATATTATTATGTATATTGGTCCCATAGAAATTTTATTAAAATCGGTTGTTATAGTTTAGTTTTGAAATCAAAATAACGGATTTTGGCACAATTGAAGTTGTTTTTTTCACCTATATATAACAAAACATTTATTATTATAAAACATACATATTTTACTAGCGACCCGCCCTGGCTTCGCACGGGTGCACATTACATCACATTACATTAGAAACCTCTAAAATTATCAGTGTTCCTCTACAATATTATGCATGTATTATACATATAAACGTTCCTCTTGAATCACTCTATCTATTAAAAAACCGCTTTAAAATCCGTTGCGTAGTTTTCAAGATTTAAGCATACATAGGGACAGACAGAAAGCGACAGCGACTTTTATACTATGTAATGATTATTATAAAACACAGCTACTCACTGTGCGACAGGCAGCAAGTGCACCAATTGTGGCTGCGGCGGCGGGTGGTGCACGCCCAGCAGAACGCCGCCGGTACTCATTCCAGTCGGTGAAGGCATCGACACAGAGACCTGTACATAATGGAGGTATTCAATATATTTATTTACAGGGAGTCCACTATGGTTTACTGGACAATTTTTTTTAATTTTTATTATACTTAGAATGGCAAAACAAGCTGACAGTCCACCTAATGAATGAATGAATGAATGGTTTATTTCCTCTCCACAAAAGATAGTATACAGTGACAACTTGAGGTACAATTACATATGTAAGACCAATTTTGGGAGACTGGTGCTTGCGGTAGGTTTTGAAGAACCCGTGTTACAAGTCACCAGTGCCCCATCACCATGGACTACACACATACAAGGCAACCAATTAGTGTTATAAAACACAGATAATAATAATGAGATATAAATTACGAAAATTAAGCTAATGAATGGTAGGCATTGTCTATAAGGGCAGATCCACACTACACACACTGCAATAGCTCTGCTATCCTCTCTCATAGGAACAAGCCGTTCCTTATGTCAGTTTACCATTATGGAGGATTTTCCTAGTAGTTGCCACGCTTGGCAGGCGAGTTGGCAAACGCCGTTGGGGCTTTTAGTGATGTTTTCCTCGACCATTAAGTTCCCTTAGTCGCCTCTTACGACACCAACGGGAAAGGAAACGATACCCAATTCTATGCTGGGACCATATAGCAGTAGTAAAGAATAGAAACCAACCTGTCCATTACTCTGAACTTCAATCTTGTAACCGGGCGGCAGGAATGTATTGAACCCGACTATCAACTCGGGGTGGCCCTTGAACAGGTTCGACACCCTGGTAATGACGCCGGGCGTGTCGATACTGGAAACAAAAAACTCGCTGGGGTATCGGCCGCTACTGAATTTTCTGAAATAATTTTGCTATACAATCAGTCAAGTTCGATAGGACATAATAATTGTATTGTATATGTGTATTATTTGTTTCAATAGAATACCATTAAAAGGCAACTAAATATTAATGGATTTATTTATTTATTCATTAGTACATGTATATGTGTACATGGCGGACTTAATGCTGAAAGCATTCTCTCCCAGTCAACCGTAGGGAAGTGTCAGAATACACGAATGCGGTACTAGTAATTATTGATATACATACATACTAAAATTTATATAGATACACGAAGATGAGAATAGTAAAGTTTTTTTTTTAACAGAAATGATTGATGTAGATCTGTTTGAATCGAAACATTTGGCGTTCCATTGTACCTGCCTACCCTAATGGGAGACGGGCGTGACAGATATGTATGTATAATGCAAATTCTACTGGCTGATAATATAGCTTTCTATAAGTAAAAGAATAAAAAAAAAAAAATATGAAAACAAACAATGCGTAAAGTAATATGAAGCCAGTGATGAGTACTAGTAGGTTTATATACAGGGCTACTCTGTTTGAGGTGCTTTGCATGTGTGCGTGTGTGTGTATGTGTATGCATTTCAATTGGACAAGGCGAACTCACGTTTGACTTTTAAACTCCTTCATGATATCGAGGAAATCGTTGTACACCTGCGGCTGCGTATTGAACTTGAACTTGACCTGGTCCAGGTATGATAGCGCGTCCTCGACCTTCAGCCGTTGGAACTGTGCGGCCGGTGGAGCAGCACCGGGCGACACTCGGCCTCCCGCGGCCGCCGCAGGCGGTAGGTTGGCCTGCTGCTCGAATAGCTGCTGAAAACATAGATCCTGTTAGTACAAATAAAGTAATTTAAACTAATATTAAAAAGAGTTTATTATAGTAATATATCGTTTCTAATGAATAAACTCGAATACTTGAAACAAGTTGAAAACTTCATTCACCTGTAGATAGTTACCATATCAGTGTTGTCCTACACAAGCCATATTATCTACCCATGCGAGGCAGGGACGGGTCGCTAGTATTTTACACAAATGATAGTTAGTTGATAGCCCTCTTAGGAGCATGACTTAACATAACTTTACCGTAACAAAGTGTGGTAACCTGGCGCAATTATTTGTCATTTTTCAAAAAAAAATTTCAATAATTAGTTATTTACAAAACTAAACTTTGCTAAAGTTGGCACGTGAAGACGAGAAACACGGTGGAATTGAGCTCGAATATTTTTTTTTTTTGTAAATTACCTGGGATAGGTATATTTGGGGGGTTGCAATACCCAGGATTGTCTGGTGGTGTGATTGTTTTGGTCTTAGTGTTTGTGTCTGTGTTGTGAATTAATATAATACATGAGAAAGTTTGTAACAATCAATTGAATCCTTTGTTACTCCTACACGAACGAAATTTGGTACACTTTCCATCAGGTGGGCCGTCAGCTTGCTTGCCATTCTAAGTTGCAGAAAAAAATCTGATCACTATATGGAGAATTTGATCACCTCAAAACCCAAAAAACATGGATAATTTATATCCTATAACCTAGCACATAAAACACATCTTTATTCACCCCCCCCCCCCCATCTAGGAAGAGTACGCATGGACCGGATATTAATTTCCAGTTTTTTAAGGACATTTTACATACTGATTCACGTGAGTGAAACTGCAAATCATAGCTAGTCTTAAATACGCCAATATTTATAACTGCAATACTCTGGGAGGGATCAATAAAGAGCATCTTTATTCATCTCTCAAGCCGATTGAAAACTGAATTCTCCCCAATTACAGACATACTTTAGGGTTATTGAACTATGTAGAAACGCGAAAAAACTTCTGTGTCCCCCTTCGAAACTGTCAATATTACGTACATCATTTCTGAATCGCCCTTGCGTCGGAACGACAACCCAGCACTTTGTGATACAAGGCGTCGCTCAATAAACACCCCACGAAAAATATGTCAGCCTTTATATTTAAACCAATAAAATATTTGTCAATATATTTATTTATTTATTTATTCACAGCAAAACCAGGGCTACACTACAGCAAAAAAATACAGTTTAGGATCACAAAATAAGCCACTAATAGGTTTTCACAAGTGGCAACAATATAGATACAAAGCGCTGTACACAAAGAAACAAAAATAGGAGTTAACAAAAAAAAAATGAAGTTAAATAAAAGCTTGTAAAAAAATTCTGGGTGACATTATTTTGCTAGGACGTTATGGCTAATATTATAACCCAGCTATATACCTCGGCTTTACGCGCGAGTCCGTACTAATATTATAAATGTGACCATTGCTAGGAATACACCCTATCAGGTCGACCTCCACGTAGTTCCCTCTGGAAACCATTGTGGATAATTCTAGTTGAATTCGTCAGGATGTGCTAATTGACCTGCTTTCGTCCTCTTTCATTAGTCATCTAACACTGGTGCCCCACCAGTGTATACCGATAGCACAGACGGGGTTACCATACCATTATCACCCGTTAAAAAAAAACGTACACCGATAGTGAAGGCGGGGTTACCGTTCCGTTTTAGACCATTAATAAAAAAACAAATCCACTGACCTTGAGCCGCGGCTGCACTTGCGGCGGTTGTTTCGGCGCGGCGTACTGGACTGCCGGCTTCATGTACCCCATGACCGGGGGGCCGGAGGCACGGGGGGCGGTCCTCGCGAATCCGCCTACGCTGCCGCCTACAGACAGCATCGCTGTTGCACCTGTTCGATACAAACAATATATACATATAATAAAATCGTTACTAATTCATTAGATTATGAACGCAGTAGAACCCAAAACAATGATTTTTAGATTTTTTTGTCTGTTTGTCTGTACGTCTATGCATTATAATCTCAGAAATAGCTTAATCTACTTGGATGTGATTTACTCCATTTAACATTTAGTGTTTGTTTTATTACAATCGGTTCATAAATAAAAAAGTTATATCAATCTAAAGAGTCACATATACGAGGTTTGTCCGGAAAGTACGTATAAAAATTTTATTTTACAATTATTCAGGTAAATCAATTTTATCCCCTTCAAAGTACTCCCCCTGTGACATAATGCACTTGTGCCAACGCCGTTTCCACTGTGAGAAGGCTCCTTGAAAGTCCTCTGGTTGTAGGTTTCTCAGCTGCCCCGTCGTAGCTTTTTTTATCTCATTTATGTCCCCCAAATGCCGCCCCCGAAGTACCAATTTGGTTTTTGGGAACAAGAAGAAGTCACACGGGGCCAAATCCGGCGAATAGGGGGGGGGTGTTCGGTCACCGTAATGGAATTTTTACTCAAAAACTCACGGACAACAAGAGAGGTGTGGGCAGGGGCATTGTCGTGGTGAAGAATCCAACGCCCCTCTCGCGCCAATTCTGGACGAACTCGTGCCACACGAGCTTTGAGGCGTCTGAGCACATCGACGTAGAATTTTCCATCAACTGTCTGGCCTGGAGGGACGAATTCTTGATGGACAATCCCCCGAACATCGAAAAAAACAATCAACATTGTCTTGACATTTGAGCGGGATTTTCTTGATTTTTTGTTCGTGGTTCCCCGGATGTCTTATCGAATTAGATCGGCAAAAATTTCACGGCCATTCTTGCCGAGTTTCGAGAGAAACTTGATTACGACGCGCTGCTCTTCAACGGAAGCGGGCTCCATGCCGACGGGGTTTCGTTAAGAGGTAACTTCACAGATGGCGTGACAAGCCAGTTCGCACCGCACGGCGGTCAGACCAGAACTGAAGCATTGTTAGGGACATAAGGAAGGGGTCCTGCGCTTACCTGGCCTCCCCACTCCTCTTTCTCGCATTCCAGAACACTTTTATACGAACTTTCCGGACAGACCTCGTAAAATGCTATAAAATAACCGATCAGTTGAATTGGCTGACACTTTATGAAGGTATTAGGTACGTATTTATCGTTTAAATGTATAATACAATATAAGACCGGATTCTTGAAAAGTTCCAATCGGAATGATATACGGGAACTACATAGAAGCGGGCATCGCCGCGGGTAACGGCTAGGAAATAAGTATAATCACGACTATAATCCTTAGTGGTGTAGTCAGATGAATTTATTTATTTATACTTTTGCACACATTAAAATATGTCTACAGGGCGGACTTAATGCCTGATGGCATTCTCTACCAGTCAACCGTTACGATCAACAGAGAGAGCAAATGGCGGTGCATTGATTTAGTATGATACAATTATAAATCGACATCAAATTGTTTTACATTGTAAGAGATTCCTTTTTATTTTCAATAGACTTTGCTAAATTTAAAGATTGTGTCCCACAAAAAAGAAACCGGATTCAATTACGAAAAACCAGTTATTTTAATTTAAAAATTAAACTACTCAGCCGATTTTGATAAAATTATATGGAACAAAACCAAGTAATTTTTACCTTTTACGATAAGAAAGAAACAGAAAATTCAAAATCGGTTTACAACTGACCGAGTTATGAGAGAACAAACATAAAAAAATACAAAACCGAAACGACCTTTCTTTTAAAAGTCGGATAAGGGGGGGGGGGGGGGTCCTCAATTATATTCTGGAGGGGCGTGCAATGTTAATGTTAGACCCATCCATCTATCGTACACTAGTACAATCGACTCGAACAATATAAAATTGCAGCTTCGAAATCAACACCAGGGACGCGACAATCGCTCGTCAAGCGGGTGAAAGGTTAAAAAAATATGCAGCATAACAAATATACGTCATCGAATATCAGATTTTTTTTTATACAACTTAGAATGGCAAACAAGCTGACGGCCCACCTGATGGAAAGTGGTAACCGTCGCCTATACACATGAGCAGTACCATGGACATAACAGAGTATACTGTTTCACCCATGATACCCCCCATGCGTCGCCATTCCTGAGGACTCAGGTGTTATTCCTCTGTACCGTGTAAATTCAAGCCATATCCCACCCTTCAATCCGAAACACAGCCATGCAAACACAACTGCTTCACGGTAGAAACACGAATGGGACAGAGGTGGCCAAGCAAACGACTTTTGTACAAAGTCTCCCTCTGGTAAATTCACATTATTTAAATATTGATATGTATTTATTCATATTGTAATTGTCTATTATCAGTTGTACACACACTCATAAAGTTATTTATAGAATCAACAACAGTTTAATGTATTTAATTAAAAAAAAAACGTATTAAGCACTCATTTTAGTTGGCCAGTTTTCCCAGGTTTCCCAAGAGACTACAGCATGGGGTTCTTCAAAAGGGGGGTAAAGAGGTTACTTCAGGGTCGGCAACGCGCGCGTAATACCTCTGTTATTGCAGGCGTTCATAGGCTACGATAACCACTTACCATCAGGTGGGCCGTATGCTTGTTTGCCACCTCAGTGGTATAAAAAAAAGTTCCTCGTATATGCTTTGCTTAGTTTAGGACTAGACGACGCTTTTGTAATACGTCCAGCAGTATTTATGTTAATACATAAAATAAATTCCGTGTCACGTTGTTCGTTTATATTAAGTCTCCAAAACCGATCGGACAGATTTTAATGAAATTTTGCAATTTGTTTACTTTATTTATTAATTTATAAAACAACTTTTAAGCAAGTAACAAACGAACTTTTACACTTATAATATTACTAGCTTTTACACGTGACTTGTTCCGCATGACCGAGATATTTCAATTTATTTATTGCATTCTACAATATTATTTATGAAAGATGTTATTAATCAAAACAGTATATTGTAGAGACCCTGTCGGGCAAAGCAATTAGAAGCGGGGAGGGAAACGTTTTTTTAGTTTTCATCAAGATTTCAATAATGAAATAATTCAATTTCAATTTAATCAATTTAAATTCTATTTAAATTCCAAATTAATTTAATGATTTTTTTATTTCCATGTTTCATTTTAAATTATAACAATTTAACATGGTTATTTATTTATTGAGATATGTTCATTGACAGAGAGAGAGAAAGCAGCCTATATCCTTCTCCGTCCCATTTAGCACGTTTATACCAAATTCCATAGTGATTCGGTTAAGTCATTAAAGTTATATACACTATAAGATAAACAAACTAGCTATAACCGTCTTCAAGTTTCCATCTATCTCTATACTAAAAATCTATCATAATCGGTTCAGCGGTTTAGACGTGAAAGCGTAAAAACAAACACTTTAGCAATTACAATATTAGTTAAGGATATATTTTGCTTATAAGTTTGTATCTATAATAAGTTTACTATTGTAATCTTTTGGAGGAAACAATAAAGAGTATCTATCTATATATATAAAAACAAAAATATCAATTCAGCTCACCAATAATAGAAGGTTGGGCCGATTGGGCCAATGTATGCATGTTACTTGCTCCAGGTTGTTGTATTTGCTGCAACAATACCAAATAAATAATTAAATACAATTATTTATATAAATATATCTTATATATAAAATTCTCGTGTCACGGTCTTTGTTACCAAACTCCTCCGAAACGGCTTTACCGATTTTTATGAAATTTTGTGTGCATATTGGGTAGGTCTGAGAATCGGCCAACACCTATTTTTCATACCCGTCAATGATAAGGGTGACCATCCCCAAAATATTTTTTTTTTATTTTTTTGACAAATTTTTCCATTTTTATTTTATTATGATTAAGCATTGAAAAATACATACAACTTTAAATTTTCATCGTTTTACGATCAACCCATGTATTTTAATTGCGATTTTTATATTTCGCAATAAGTGGTAAAACAACGTTTACGGGGTCAGCTAGTATACATATATATTCTTTATTGCACTAAAACATACAGTAACAACAATAAGTTAATAACTATTAGCTAGTTATATTATAATACAAACGTAAATGTTTCAAACACTTTGTTTAATGCTACTGTTTCCCTTATATCTGCATAGTTTTTTGTACCTAATATTAACTTTAGTGATGTTTTAAGAGAGACACAGCTGCCCATGCCTCGCCCGTTTAGCGACCTCTCACGACACCAACAAGAAAGGAAGGGGGCGGTCCATTCTATACCGGGAGCGTACAAGTTCTATTGGAACAGTCAAATCGAATCGACTTGCAAACAAAACAATACCACGTAAACAGACATAGTGCGGTGAAACGAACGCCCGGCGTCCGCATGACAAAGCTTCGAGAGTGATTCAAACTTCCTATTTATAACTCGCGCGTATTCAATATAAATGTCAGTTTTAACCATGTTTACGGATTTGCTTCGACCTTGAACGCTAGATAAAATGAATGTGCCTCTAATTTTTTTTTTTCACTTTACTTATATTCGTGGTGTACTGTGTAACACGATTGAGATAGGCTAAAAGTATATTATTATGTAATCCGTGACATATGTGGTCTATCTGTGGGCCGAATTTTATACAAATCTGTTCAGCCATTTCACTACCAGACATCTTTGAAACTTCAGCTTTATACACTTTTATTTAAAGGGATTACGACGACAATAGTTTTTATTTATAATCGAATCCCAAAAGGCATAGTTTCTAAACTCGTTTTTTTTCTGCGACTACGTCACGCTATTACGTAGCTAATTCGAAACCGATTTTCACGATTCTTTTTGAAATCAATTCGATCTGCTGCCCGTGTCGGTTCCGTGTTTAAATTAGAATATAGTGCGACAAATATTCTATTATTTTTTTATTGATTTACTAACTAAACAATGATCCACAATAAAGATTTGTACTCAGAAGATATAATCAGTGCTCTGTAAATTGTGATTGTGAAGTCTAACTGTACCTTAATGCATACATTAATACGTAAAGCAAAAACTTTGTACCCCTTTTTACAAAAAATGCGCGGACGGAGGAGTATGAAATTTACCACACTTATAATTTACATAGAGAAGGAGTGCGAAATGCTAAGATTTTTTAAAAAAATTATGCATAACAAATACATTAAATCAATAAAAAAAAAAATTACACACACTACCATGTATTTTGCACACACACGCACGCATATATTCTCACACACTATCACTCTTTTGTTTATTGTTAAAGTCTGTGGTCAAACTGAGAATAGATTAATATTGTTTGTCTGTTAACATTATTTGTCCATAGTCTTACTGAATGTCAAAAATGACCATAATAAATTCATTTATTTATATATATATTATGGTCGAACTTCGACCACTGGGCAACTAGTAATAGTAAATAGGCTATGATGTTATGTATGCTCAAAACTATGTAAGTAAACATTAATTTAAATTAAGCCCTATCCGAAAGACTCCCGCTGAAAATCAGCGCTGTAGCTGCTCGACTGCAGTATAATGCTGAGCGGGGATCATTTCGGCAAAAATTGCGTAACACCCTCCCCTCCTATACAAGTATATTACTCTGTACCAACCTTTGTTTACTGAATAAACTATTATTTATTTTATTTATTTATTTATTAATAAATAAAGAAATAAAGTGTCCCAGTGTGCAGTGTCTCAGTCCTTTCCGCAACTGCAGTGTCCCTCCCTTTCCATTCTCACATAAATCCTTTATTCCTCTCATTCACCAATTTCCTTTACGCATTTTCAACGTTCCCTTCCTTTTCTCCTCAATCCTTTCCTCCATACCGTAGGTGGCGTAGCCATCAACAAATGCATTCCCAAAGAGGGTTGACGTCAGGCAGGTGGCCGGTCGTAAAACTAAAAACCAAATCTTTTTGTAATATGGATAAAATCATATTACGCCGACCCCAAATGATTGAGATAAGGGTTGGAAGATGATGATTTATTAATAATTATGCGACGATGGAAGCTGCAGTTTTCCTTTACGGAGAAAAAGACTACTTATTTAAAAGCAAAAAACACCAACCGTCTAGTCCCGGCATAAAACAACCACCTCTTCCTACCCCGTGGGTGTCGTACGAGTCGACTAAGGGAGTACGAAGAATGGGCAGCAGCGTCCCTTTTAAACATCTCCAAAGCCTAACTGCGGTTACCAATCCGCTTGCCAAGGGTGGCAACTACTGGCAAAACTCTCTTTATGGGGAAAGCTTTTGTTCAACAGTGGACAGTTAACGGCTCCAATTATAATAATAATACTATTGTTGTAACAGTACGTTTCACATTGCAGAGGGAACAGAGAGTAACAATTATGCAATTCTATTCGGCAGCCATTTTTGTATCTAAACAGAGTCACTGGGCAAAACCAGTTTGGTCATGACCAGTAACAACATATGTGGTTCGTTACTCATTAAGTACAATACATTTTACATAATGCATAAAATTGCATAACAATCGCCTTCTACAAGGTCAGGAGGAAGGTGGGGGGGGGGTTACCAACAAATATATAACTAGTAATGGAGGCTTTTTTCTTTTAATGGACGATAAAGAAGTGGTAACCCCGCTTGAGCTAACGGTATATATACGCTGTCGGGGCACCAGTGAAGGAAGGTGAGAAGAAAAGGGACAGGTCAGTCAGCCCATCGTACTAATACACCTGGGGGGAACGGGATTGTTAGTAATGGAGACATAGACATGGGACAGATAAAGGAAACACTAGGTGTCACGTCATATAGAAAGTTCAAAGATATGGCCTGGGATAGAGCTGGCTGGAAGATGCATGAATTAGTCGCACCGACAAGAGGAAACTCTTAAATGAAAAGAGAGAGAAGTAAAAATTACAAAAACACGAACAAAGTCACGGGTAAAAGCCAGTAAATAATCTGTTTACACCTACAGCAAAATGATAAGTGTCGATAACCTCACACACACACACTATGCAAAGTTTATCTGAGTTATGTACCTTTGTATGCAAGTACGTTTAAATAGATCCTCATATTTTGTTTCACGTACTGTCTAATATTTGTTATATTATTTATTTTACACTTTATAGCACCATTTAAGAAATAATACAGTTAATTTTAATGAGAAATGATACAAAAGGCGGCCTTATCACTAAGCAATCTCTCCCAGACAATCTTTGGGTATAGGACATTGTAAAAAGAAAAAAAAGGGTAGGTGGCGCACTATTATATATATATATATATATATATATATATATATATATATATATATATATATATATATATATATACTAATATATGACACCTGATCGTGCCGTTTAAATTCAAATATAATAAATCTAATGTATCTACGAAACAAACATTACATCGTTTATTGACGTATTTAAAGCTTTAAATAAGTTTTCTTTTTTTTAATGTAAAATAGTTTTATTTTTTGCAAAGCAAATTTACCTGTTAAATGACTTACTTGACAGTTTTATTTTAATTTTATGGACTTTTACCTTTTTTTTTTTAATGGACGATAATGGAATGTTAACCCCACCCGCGCTATCGGTATACACCGGCGGGGCACCAGTGAAGGATGATAGGTGAGGATGAAGTAGGTAAGTTAGCCCATCGTGACAAATTCAATAAGAATTGTTCACGATGGTTTCCAGGGGGAACCACATGGAGGTCGACCTAATAAGGCATATTGCTAGCAACGGGGCTGTCAAACTCCATTACTAACAATCCCTTTCCCCCCCCTTTTACTTCTTTAGGTATATCTGCCCTATCGAACCCCGTACTGATTTCCAGATAAGGTTTTATCTGCCTTGTCAACTCACAGAAAGAGAGAAATCAATTGGGCATCAATAATTTACAAAGATGTTAAAAAAATTCCGACTTAGATTCAGCTAATATAGATTGAATAAAACCAATGTTTTAACATTTTCGGCACGCCATAAGTCATGATAAACTAGATGACGCTTCCAATGCTAAACTCAATATACCCCCTTGTACGCAGTTGGTCAAACCTATTGTAGGTAAGCAACGGGATGGGGGGGATGAAATTCGATTGTTTTACCAGAAATAGTAACATTTTGGCAAAAAAAGTTATATCACGTTTTCTTTAACAACTTGTTAGACAAAAAGTCCCTCAACATACTAAGTAATCTATTTAACATTATCTTTTCTAAAAACACCAATCTTTTATGTATTAAAGTTAATTTTATCAAAAACAATAAATTAGGCATTTACCAGAGGGAGAATTTGTACAAAAGTCGATTGCTTGGGTACCTCTGTCCCAATCATGTTTCAACCGTGAAGCAGTTGTGTTTGCATGGTTGTATTTCGGTTTGAAGGGTGCGATATGGCGTGAATTTACTGGGTACAGAGGAATAACATCTGAGTCCTTAGGAATGGCAACGCATGGGGGGTATCATGGGCGAAATAGTGTACTCTGTTATGTCTATGGTACTGCTCATGTCTATAGGCGACGATTAACATTTTTCATCAGGTGAGCCGTCAGCTTGTTTGCCATTCTAAGTTGTATGAAAAAAATCATATATTCATACGAAATATATATTTAATATTATGTATTGATAATTATCACTAACCCATATTGTTGCCTTTTTCATTTTCTATACCGAAGTCCAAAAATACACAAGTTCAACATACAAGTTCCAACTCCACTACGAGCCTCTTATAGGCGGACACTTGCTGATATGGTCGTAAAAATAGCGATCGATTGCCATTAACGAGAAAGAGTTATATCAATCCTAACATAATAAGATTACATACATACATATCTGTCACGCCTGTCTCCCATTAGGGTAGGCAGAAACAATGGAACGCCAAATACTTCGATTCAAATGCACCTCTTTCGCTTCCTCCACATGCATCAATCCTTTCATACACGCTCGCCGGTTACGGGTACTTTTAATTTGGCCCTTCTTCAGCACGTCGCCTATTTGGTCGACATACGTCCGTCTAGGGCGGCCCCTACCGACATCACCATTCATTCTTGCTCGATAAATCTCTTTTGTAATTCTTCTTTCATCCAACAAAAAAAAAACTACTTTAATTGTGACGTAACCCGTTATTTCGATGTAAAAATAAATTACTGAAGTAATTATGATAAAATTTCTATGGGACCTATATTTCTATAAGACCTCTTGCTTACTGATCGCAATTGTATATTAAAAATAAACTATCTAAACATCATATTTGGAAATAATAGAATTTCCTTGGTGCCTCCCATCAAACTGTTTATAATTACTCCTCTCCACCCAAAGGTTGCGTGGAAGAGATCGCTCTTAGCGATAAGGTCGCGCATTGTTTTCTCACTGTGATTATTTCTTGTAATTGTTTATATTTATAATAAGTTTACTATTGTAATCTTTTGGAGGAAACAAAGATCTATCTTTCTATCTTTTTAGTAACAAATCATCAAAATCTATTTATAATAAACATATATATATCGGCTAGTGATGAGTTCTATGTCCAGCGGTGGACAGATAATGGCTGAAATAATGGTGATGAATGAGTCATCTATATCGATACTTATAATAAATCTGTAGAGAGGTCAATTCTGTACATGAAATATATTTCCATTTATATATTTCTTGTAATTGTTTATATTTATAATTTATTTATTTATAGCAAGGCAACAGATTACAAATTAATTAAATAATTAAACAGATACAATAATAAGTTCACTATTGTAATCTTTTGGAGGAAACAATAAAGAGTCATAGAGAGAGAGTAAAACAGAGAGTAATACGTATCTCTATGGGCTCGATTAACACGTTATCATCAATTTACACCCACCCGTTAGTCGTGTCAAGGTTTAATTACTATAAATACTATGATTACAAATAACAAACAAACTGTTAAACATTACATTAACCACGTGATATTTTGATGGTATCAAATCAAATCATATTTGTTCGCTTGCTACATGGTACAATAAGAAGTTACATATGAATACCTGAATGTGACAGAAAATGATCTCTGACTACCCCTCATCTAATGGTATCTGTTATTTATTTATTTATTTATAATATAATATCAAATGGAGGCAAATGTAATGGACACACACAATGCATTTTATTTATATTTCTTTTTATTGTTATTTTTAATGAGGAGTTTCGCAACTGACTCTTGGCCACAGCAGAATATCAGTGTTTTGCTCTTTTAAGGGCAAAGCAATAAACTGAGCTGTGACCATTTTGTGTTACTATGGCACACGCATGAAGGAATGGAAGGAAAGGAGATTGTTAGTTTATATATATATAATCTACCAGTGTATTGTACTAAAATGTTTAGCTGTATCTTATGTTGGTAATCCTACAAATATTTTTTTTTATTTGTGCTTTTTTATTTTCATTCTTTTATCTCTTTTACGGTGTATTATGTGTATGTTTGTATTGTAATTTGTGTGCTGTAAGTAATGCAAATGTTAAACTGTATTTAGTCTCTACATTACAATTGTGAAGTTCAAACGTTTTTTAAATTATAGTACAGTTGTTTATGTCAAATTAACATAAATTTATGGTTTATATTTTAAGTAATCTTTAATACATTACATCTTTTAATAAATACATTGTTTTGTCATTAAAATATTCAATAACTCTATCGTGTATTGTATATTCTTTATTGCGCTTGTAAAAAACAAGATACAGCGATTAGTTTAACAACTTGTTAGCAAGGATAGGCTCATATCTGAAAGAGATCTCTTCCAGCCTCCTCTCAGTGCAGTGGGAGAGATATATTTGCACTATAAGACAATCCTTACGGTAATTGCTAGATGAAATAGTCTAAAATAAGTATAGGAATTAGATATAGAGCAAAATCTAGAAAAAAAAAACGTACGTCAAACCGAACGAATGGTATATGTACCTTATACACAGTACAAAGTACATATATAAGTGCATACCTATTATGTATTTTTGTAAGAAAATAAGAGTTTTTTTTTTTGAGATCCTTGTTTTTTTTTGAGACATTTTTTATTAATGAAAACTAACACTACTTTTTAATGGGGTACGTAAATTTACAATTAACGCTACATAATACACTATTTACAGCTGTGCAGTTCTGCCACAGAATGTACCACCTATTCCTTTCCCGTGGGTGTCGTAAGAGGCGACTAAGGGTATTTAACAGTCGAGGGATGGGCAGCATCTACCTCTTAAAACATCACCAAAGCCTAACAATTTTTTTTTTATGTGTGAAAATGGTATGGTAACCCCGCCTGCGCTAACGGGATACGCTGGCGGAGCACTATTGAAGGGTGATAGATGAGAATGAAAACAGGCCAGTTAGCTCATCATGATGAATTCATCAGGAAATAACCATGATAGTTTCCAGAGAGAACCGCGAGGAGGTCAACTTGGTTGGGTATATTGCTTGCAATGGGATTCTCAGGCTTCGTTACTAACAATCCCTTTCCCCCTAGTCTAACTACAGTTGCCATCCTGTCCGCCAAACGTGGCAACTACTGACAAAACCTTTCAATGACAAAGGTAGTTTATGGGGGAGACCTATGTCCAGTAGTGGACAGTTAAGAGCTAATATGATAAATACATTATCTACATACCTGGGCAGGAGATTGGGGCGGTAAGGGCGCAGGCTCGTCAGGCCCAAGCCTGGGCACGCCTGTACGCTTCATCATGATCAGTGATCAGCGGGGTCCCATCACCCGTTCACCTGGAATTAAATAAACACACACCGTTAATACATTTTTAAACTATCGAGTTATATTATTTATATTCTAGATTTATAACATTGATTTGACTTTTGCTGTTATAATGTTATAATTATTTTTAATTAATAAAGATTGAAAATTGTTGGTTATTAGTACTTTTGACTGCAAATTTGCAGTTAGATTAGGTTTTTTTTTAATGGGTGAAAATGGATTGGTAACCCCGCCCGCGCTATCGGTATACACCGACGAGGCACCAGTTGAAGATGATAGGTGAGAATGAATGCAGGTTAGTTGGCCCACCATGATGAATTCGATAAGAATTAAACATGACGGTTTCCAGGGGGAACCGCGTGGAGGTCAACCTGAGAGGGTATATTGCTAGTAATGGAGCTATTAGACCCCATTACTAACAATCCCTTTCCCCCCCAGTTAGGTAAGGTACTTTTAACTGCTATTTTAGTAAAAAGTATTATTGACTAAAGCATACGGGCAAAAGTACTTTTGATTGGTTAAGAATTTTGACTGCTACAAATACACAATGATACGATACTCATGGTGGAATGATGGGCATATTACTTTACATAAATAAGGGGTCGTTTATTAATCACGTGATGTTTTAGCATAGCAAACATAAATAAATAAATAAATACAAAAATACAAATTAGCATCTTTTACCCCCCCCCCCCCCCCCTCCTGGTGGTACGTTGTGAGGTTTTAGACTCCCCCTCCCCCTACCCAAAATCACGTGTATTTTTGGTTTTAAATATTTAAAAAATATTTAAAATCATCATGATCTTCCTACCCTTATCCAATTTTGGGGTCAGAGTAAATTAGATACAATATAATTTAATTCTGCAAGGTCCCGCTCTCGATACCCGGTGGTGGCAATTTAGGAAAGGAAAATTTCCGAATCCTCACTAAATGCGTAAACGAGTTTATTTGTAACCTTAAGTAGCGTAGCGTCTTAATGACTTAACCAATCACTATGGAATTTGGTATACAAATTGTGAGCATATTGTTGGTTAGTCTTTTATAAATAAATACATGTACTATATGGGACGGGGAAGGATATAGGCTACTTATATATTATTCTTATATATTTACATAACATCTCTTGCACACATGTGTCCGTGAGTTACGTATTTAGGGGCCTACTGAAAATCAGTGTCGTAGCTTCAGATTTGAAACTGCGACATATGCTGGAGTTAGGTCCTTTGCACAAACACTGCTACATTCATTTTATTTTTCTTTTTATTCGAAATTAAATTATTCTAAATTACTTCTTATCCTGGTCAGTAAACATATCCCGGTTACGCTGTAAATCACGAGTACAAGCTAGTCGGCTATAAAGCTCTAGGTTGTACCCTCAGATATTTTTTTTAATACTTGATAATAGAATGGTAACCCCGTCTACGCTATCGATATACGCTGACCAGCGAGGGTTTTTTTTTTTTTTATACAACTTATAATGGCAAACAAGCTGACGGTCCACCTGATGGAAAGTGGTAACCGTCGCCTATACACATGAGCAGTACCATGGACATAACAGAGTATACCGTTTCGTCCATTATACCCCCCATGCGTTGCTATTCCTGAGGACTCAGGTGTTATTCCTCTGTACCCTGTAAATTCACGCCTTATCCCACCCTTTAAACCGAAACACAGCCATGCAAACACAACTGCTTCACGGTAGAAACACGAATGGAACAGAGGTATCCAAGCAATCGACTTTTGTACAAAGTCCCCATCTGGTAATGATGAGGCAAGTCAGTCATCATTACCAGATGGAGTCAGTCAGCCCATCGTGATGAATACATCTGGAACATAATGGTTTCTACGGTACAAAGAGAAACCATTGTACAATAATCATAATCAAGAATGGTAACGTAAACCAAGAATGGTACCATTTTCCATTAAGTCTATCATGTTTTTATCATTAAATAAGATATCAAGTCTTAAAGCAGTTGGGCTTTTCAGAGTTAAATACGTGAGTAAAAGCTATGTAAATAACTTCAATACTACTTAATATTTTGTAAGAGATATATACATTTAAAAAGTATTATGGTCACGTAATTGACTTAGTGTCTTGTTTCAGGAATTCAAGGTAATAAGCTTTATGTATTTGCATGTAGCCATTGTAATTTAATGAAGCGTGGCAACAACTGGCAAAACTCCCCCTATGGGGAAGACTTATGTTCAGCACTGGACAGTTAACGGCCGAAATAATAAAAAACAAAACTATCGTTTTAACTCACGTGTAATTAGATCGAAAAATTTAGACTAGTTTCAAGATCAATTCGTGATCTTTAGTTATGAGCGACTGTGACATAGTTATTACACTAAAATATAATGTGTGTTTAAAAAACACGGAGCCATTAATTTCGATTTCTTACAAATTTGTTTTAACATTTTCGGCACGCCATAAGTCATTATAAACTAGATGACGCTTCCAATGTTAAATTTAATATACCCCCTTGTACGCAGTTGGTCAAACCTATAGTAGGTAAGCAACGGGATGGGGGGGAAATATTTTTTTTTAATTTAAGTTACTTTAGTATATAATTAATTATTTTCGACCAAAATTTGTAACCTATTTTTTAAGCAATTGCTGGTGTATTTCACGCAAAAACTACTAAATAGATTTGAATAAAATCAAGATACACGGATAGGTTATATTCTAACCTAACCGATTGACACGAACGGAGCCACGAGATGCGCCTAGTGTTATATAAAAACCATTTTTTCACGAGATTCTTTTGATATCAAGTAATAAAATAGCGTCATTAGAGATTACGCCAGTCTAACGACTAGCCTGGCTCGGCGATAATACTTACGGTGCTATAAACACGCGAGTTTGGACCGAGCCTACACAAACAAGTTGATAGGCGTCATCATCGTTTCAGCGTGAGAGGGGATGGGAGGCCTTTTGTCAACTAATCATTCCGCCTCGCCGTCCACTTGTGCATTGCACAAGACTGCCCTACAAACACGTTTGCCAGGACCTATAGAGTAATTTAAGAGAATTTCCAAATAGAAAAAAGGGCCAAAATATCCAGACAAGATTATATGCAAATAGTATACATAATTAAGACTGTTTTACAAAAGAAAATTAACTTCATTTGTGGCAAAACTGATTTTTATTTTGATTTAAAAACTAAACTACTGTATTAGTTATTGATAAAATTTCTATGGCACCAATCTAAAAGTTTATCCTTTCAGATAAAAACAGAAAATTCAAAATAGTTTCACAAATGACTGAGTTATGAGGTAACAAACAAAAAAAAAAAAATTATAACCGAAATGAGAATAACCTTTTTTGGAGTCGATTGAAAAAATAATCAAGAATCCATTAAGTAAATGTCACGTTATGAAACTACGTTTTCAATATTGTATATATCTAATATTGAGCCAATATCTATATATTGCAACTACAATATATATATATATATATATATATATTATCCAATTCTATAATATACTATACGTACGTACTACCAAGACGCATCAGACATACTTGCAGCCTCTCAAAGTCAATCGATCGTAGCCTTAACAATATTGAGATGGATGAGCAGCAGTTCAAGTTTGAGCACTCCTGTCTTATATTATGTGACTATTTGTAAATATATTTATTACTCCCTTATGTGTAAACGGCTAAACTGATTTTAATGAAATTCGATACACAAACGATCGATCAATTAGATCGAGAAGAAGAAACGATTAATGGTTTAGATGGATATCTAAAATTTACCACAGGGAGACTTTGTACTAAAGTCATTTGCTTACCACTTTCATTCAGGTAGGCCGTCAGCTCGTTTGCCATTCTAAGTTGCATAAAAAAAAAACATTTTATGCCAATTCGTATGGTCAAAGCTGGGGGACACAGATTATTATATATGGAAGATCCATATCATAAGACCATAAGCTATATCCTGTCGTTTTAATTTTAATAAAGTAGTTCAAACCAATTTTAACTATAATATTACAATGTTTTGGCAGTTTCAATCTAAGAATTTTAGCATAAAAGGAGATAAAACAGTTCAATTATTAAAATAACTTAATATGAGACGTTTGGCATTTTTAATTTTTTTTTTAAAGTTTAAACTTCCAATTGGTAGTGTTTAAATACCCAAACTGTCAGTGGTACCAGCCATTTTGGACTTCATTGGTGACGTCATAATTCCAATATGGCGGTCACAGCAGCTGGATCAATACAAGAACATTAATTGCGTTTAGCACGTGGGTGGTAGATGGAAAGTTTAATTAGTTCATCAGATAACTCAATTAGACCGTTTTATCGATAATTGACACTTATCATCGTCATTACTTTAACCAATCTTATCATCATGCATAGGAGGAAAGGGATAGTTAGTAATGGGGCCTACCAGTCCCATTTCTAGCAGTATACTCTGTCAGGTCCCATGTGGTCACACTCAAAAGAAACTCAACAGTTATATATATATATATATATATATATATATATATATATATATATATATATATATATATATATATATATATATATATATATATATATATATATATATATATATATATATATATATATATTACTTGTATGCCAAATCTCATGGAACTTGATTAAGCCTATAAAGCGTCAAGAAGTAAACAAACAAACTCACTTTCACATTTATATTTATTAATATTAAATGCAGGTGGCTCAGGACTGTTTCTTGTGGCAGTCCATGGGCAAGACCTGCTCAGCAGTGGACGGTTAACAGACGAGATGATGATGGCGTAATATTATAGAGTACAGATTTATTTTGTGTTTATTAATAGTTGAAGTAAAAAAAAAACTATTTAATCAATTTTCAAAAATATTTTACCTATAGAAAGCTACATTATTAGCACATAACATAGACTACATATTATTTTGGAAAAAAAAAATAGAGATCCCTAAGAAAATTACAATAATGTAACCCAAAATGTCAAAAAATTGTCTATTAATGCTAATATAAAATACTAATTGATCTTTCTATCTACCCATGCAAAGCCGGGGACAGGTAGCTTGTATTAAATAAAGATGAAAATCGTCTACAAATAAGTTACTGTGAGATTGAAAAAAAAAATGTGGTTAGGGCAACAAAGAAGCACTCTTTTCGAAGTCGGTCAAACTGGGTCAAGGTTCACAAACTTTCCGCCGTTGACAATGGTCCGTGGGCGTCACGGACCGTAAATACCAACGAAACTGATATTATAATATTTCAAGCCAGTTGATGGCGACTGGTAATGCTAATGACCAGATCACTGATCTCTACAAATAAACAGTAAAAAAAAAAAAAACAGAAATACACGCCAATTGTGAATGTGTTTGTTTGTCACATATTCACACATTACCGATTGTCACGAAATTGTGCATACATCAATGAATCAATAGTTTTATTTTGCCACTTAATAGTTATACAAAACACACACATAGGAAGTACTAGTAACAATATACTTTATGGGATCGACCTCCACATGGTCCTACCTGGAAACCATCGTGCTGAATTCCAAGTGTATTCATCACAATGGGCTAACTGGCCTGCCTTTTCATCCTCACCTATCATCCTTCACTGGTGCCCCGCCAGCATATACTCTTAGCGCAGGCAGGGTTACTATTCCATTGTAATCCATTAAAAAAAATCATTCATAGGAGTATGTAATAGTAAAATAAAATTTGGTGCTTGGTCATATACCTTATTTTTAATTCATTCATTAATACAAGTGATTTACTTTCCACTACTGTACAAAGGTCTTCCGAATAAGAAGGGTTTTGCCAGTAGTTGCCACGCTTGGCAGGCAGATTAGCAACGGTGGTTAGGCTTTGGTGATATTTTAAGGAGGACACTGCTACCTATCCTTCAACCATCCAGTTCATTTAATAACCTCTTATTACATCAAACTTATAAGTATACAAAATGTAAATAAAACAAAGTAACACATCTATTATACTAATACTTGGAATGGAGAAACAGGCCACATTTTACTCTAATCAATACTATCCATGCAGATAAAGTCGCAGGTAAAAATTAGCAAATCACAATTACGTATCTATCCACAGTTGCTACTGTTTTTATTCATTAGTACAAATATGTGTACATGGCAGACTTAATGCTAAAAGCATTCTCTCCCAGTCAACCGTAGGCAAGTGTCAGAATACTCGAATGCGGTACTGGTAATTATTGATATACATACATACTAAAATTACATATATAAACGAATAAATATATATGAATAACAAATATATTTACACTGTTAATTCTCTTTTTCTTATATAAAATTCAGTTAAATATAATTTATTATTAATTAATTTATTATATTCCTAGGCACCCTACCAGCTGGCAGTGATGTCAAAGAAATTTTTTATCTTTAAATATATATATATATATATATATATATATATATATATATATATTATTTTTTAATTACTTATCTCTAATTATATATCTACATTAACTATCTCATCTATTTAGATATTTATAGTTTATGGTTATTATGCAATTAGTTCATTTATTATTGTATTTCATATTGCATTCCAAAATACAATATTAGAGAAACAATTAACTAGTAATTAAAAAACAATTTTATGATATTATATGTGTATGATTTACCATCAGTATATTATAAGTGAGCAAATGTATGGAGATTCCTTTTCCACAATTTTTATACATATACATGACATCATTGGGAAAAAATAAATGTGTCTCCATACAGTTACATACATTTTGTTTCTGATATTTACAACACAAAAGAAACAAATTATAATGAGAGATTTAATGATGGATTTAAAGTTAGACAGAGTATTGTTTTTCACAAAATTACGGAACCTCGGAAGACTGTAAATTGACTCTCATTGGCTTATATGGTGACATAGAAATCAGTAGCAGTGTTTTAAAGGATGATCCTACCTTTTTTTTTTTAAATTGATCATATTCTCTAAAGAAACATTGGTTGTTATAAACCAACAAAACAATTCAAACCTTCTATATACAATCTGGAAACTGATTTTTTTGTTTATAAAACCATGCCCCTTTGGGGTCTCCGATCAAGCTGTAAAGGCCAACAGCGGCCAACAGTATTGGAATAATTAAAACAAAGTTATTTGGGAAAATTATTCAATTTTACAAATGGAACACTATCTTAAAAGAATTCTAATAATTACAATTTAATACTGTATATCTAATAATCAGAAGATAATAAAAAAAGGAATTATAATTGCAAGGAAAATGACCTTTCTGAACATGATACAAACTGCTGGCCTATAATATATTGTTTATATATATCACAGATTAAATGAACTTCTATACTTAAAACTTAAGATTTCATGCCTTCATATATTACTATTGCATAATATGTAATACACAAACGAAATAAACTGTAGGTACAAGATGAAATTTGAAAAAAGAATGTGTATATAAACTATACAAGAAAATACTAGTTCCTAATCAACCCACTGGCCAAATTGTGTTGGAAAACTGGTAATTGACTAGAAATAATAAGAAATAACTTGAGTACGATTTAAATAGAGAAAAGACACAAAACGTATCTGTAAAAATGTAATCACCTCGTACATATGTACGAAGTCATTTTAGGAGTAAAATGAACACATTACTAGATATTACAAGCTTATTAAAAATTTGATAACCTACACACTACACTGCAGACCGCATGGACTATAAAGAACAACGATAACATGAGCCCAGAGTTTACGAACAAATTGTTTCATAAACGACATGGAATATTTCTGATTACGTAACATTAAATTTATACATACCAGAAAGTTTCTCTTAATTCACAAATAAAGAAAAAAAAGAAAAATAATAATAGAATAACAACGTGACAATCAGAAGTTTCGTTTTTTCCACTTAAAAAAAATCCTCAAAATCCTATTGGCGCACAAAGTTTGACACAGATAAAACAAGACGTGTGACCGCCAAAACATACTATGGGTACGTTCTCGTTCAATGAAAAATAAACGACGCAATAAACATAAATTCTACCATGCACTCGATAGCTACGCACAAACTAGAGGTTGGTTCCAATTTGGAATTTTAAAACGCTCCGGTCACAGCACCCACACAGGTTCGTATAGAAACCGGTCCGGTGGCTACGGCGATGACACAAACTCGTACTTATTTATAGCGGAAAACGTATACAAATCGATAACAGCTCAGCTAGGTGCACAACTACATAGAACGGGGTGGCAAAATGCGATCCGCGTAGCTTTCTTCTTGGCATTTACTTAGCAACAAAACAAAAAAGAGTTGGTTATTTAAATTGCCCTTTGTTAAGTACTTAATCTATGCCCATATTTTAATAATGCCAAGGAAATATTGAATTTGGATGTGGCTTATTAAATGTGCGTTCCTTTAAGAAAATATTGAGTATTATTATTTCTACTGTGAATCATAGCACAGAGAGCGGATCTTGTTTAAAGAAAATGTTGGATTTGATTGTGGATAATCATCTTTCAGAGTATAGCAGTAAAGTCCGGTTTGCGGTGGGCTGGGGAAACGAGGACGGCGCGGCGGTATTCGTCACCGACGTAGAAAATGGCGACTAAATACCAACAATTACATCGCGCGACTGAACGTCAATGTGAATTAATTTCTATTAAAAATGCTTAATATACAAAAAGGAATACAAGTAGATCTAATTCAAATCAACCTTTTTTTATTGTCTCTTTGGTTCATTTGTTTGTCATATGAGATATATCCGATAAGACTTTTCTAAAATTGTAAATAAAAAAACTAAAAACAGTACATACCGTTAAAACACGATGATGTCACAATAAAATCTTCAATACTACGTTAGATTCACGTTTTGTAATTTAAAAAACAATTGTAAGACAAGGGATGATGATAATAACGCGTCACGGTACGCTCGAGGCGAGCATATTCGTGCGCCTCCAAATAGCGCAACGGCGCAACTTTTTCAAGCGCGGCGTCAACACGGTCAGGTGGGCGAGGTTGCGACACTGTCATAGCGCAGTCTCTTTCCCGCATCACTTGCTCGCTCTAGTTACAAGCCTTCTCGCTCGCACGCGCGACGAAGCCCTAGCCCGGGTCAGGAGGGACGCGAGCGGAACCCTCCGCAAACGAACGTCGCGCACCAAGTTGCGCGGCCGACTGACTGCGTTTAGCGCCTCCATCCACCGAGTGCCCGCGGCCGACCGACTAATCGAGCCCCGAGCTGATCGAGGAACGGCAACGTCGCAGATGGATAATAGCAAGCGAAACGGACGAGCCGCGAACCGCGATATGAAATGCCACGAACTTCTTACAGAGGTGGTAGACCAAAACAAATCTCCTTTCTCTTAAATTATACAACAGTCGCTATTGAGAACACGGCCGGGTTCTTTGTATTAATTTTCCCGCCAATAACATCAACTTTCAACACTGGAATAATGACAAACCGTCCGATGACCTAATTCAATCTTTAGTCAAAGATAGGCACGCATTAGTAGTTGTTGTTGACGATATCAGTTATCAATGTACTAAAGAATGCTAACCTCGTGTGTACTACATGTACATGCTCGCCAAGAGGCCATAATCGAAGCAGTGGGGTTGGTTACCTTGACGATAACGCAGAAAGTTGATGTTACGAGGGGTGCGGCTGAAATAACATAAGTACCTACTTATTTAAGACAAGTACATCGTGTTCTGCAAAATAAACCGTCACTTCAATCGTAAATAACCCCACATACTGCAGAATGACGAAATAATTCTCAGAGACATTAGATTGAAAATATTTAAATTTAGAACGCAGAATTGTATGTCTACAAGCCAGTTTAACTTCTTCGTAAATTCAAATAATATTCATAACAAATAGTATTGTGGGGCAAAGAAAAATGACACAGCCATTACGAAATGTATATGAGCCCAAAAAAAAAAACTATTCGATTACAAAAAAATATAATTATCCATAGACAATTGCCAACATATTAAAAATGGCAAATTTAAAAAATACAACATTTTAATTATGAAATTTCTTTTCATGGTAATCTCTTAAATATGTACCTGTCATATTGGTCGCAAATAAGTTTAAACTTGAGCAATTGACGAAAACAATAGTAAGGAATGACTTCTTTTGTTCTATTGTATTTAGGGCATTATGATGTTATTCTTCTGCCTAAACTACCAATCAAACATTATCGTTCTTTTTTTTTAATTCAATATAGGATGAGGTGCACTAAACAATAAGACGCATACAGGTATAATTTTTTTTATTTACGCCAATGGTGTAAACAATAACACATTCATAACACGCTCGACAAAGACATACTGCCACTTATCTTGCTACCTAAAATAATAATAAAAAATTAAAAGATAAGAATAAAAAAAGAATATATGAATTGAATCAATAAAGCAATAGTCATTATGACTTATAATTTTCATCAGCTATTTAAAAATGTTAACCACGTGAAAACTTTGATGTTATTATTGTGATATTTATAAGCTTAATAAAATGTGAATTTTTTTTATGCAACTTAGAATGGTAAACAAGCTGACGATCCACCTGATGGAAAGTGGTAACCGTCGCCTATAGACATGAGCAGTACAATGGACATAACAGAGTATACTGTTTCACCCATGATACCACCCATGGCGTTGCCATTCCTGAGGACTCAGGTATTATTCCTATGTACCCTGTAAATTCATTGCCATATCCCACCCTTCAAACGAAACACAGCCGTGTAAACAACTGCTTCACGGTAGAAACACGAATGGAACAGAGGTGGCCAAGCAAACGACTTTTATACAAAGTGTCCCTTTGGTAAAATGATTATAATTCATCATTAAAGGTCTTGCTTTTTGCTTCTATCTAGTACTATTACTGATCTAATATGGATATACATCATGCTGAGAAAAATAATAGCTCTAATAAAAAATACTACCACAAAAATTACTCCTTTTAAGTCAATTAAAAGCATAATAAAGTATTAGCTAAATAGTTGAGCTTCCTCTTGTAACCAACTCACCGTTTGCCTAGGACACAGGATCTAAGATCGTTCATTGTCAGATAAGTGACATATATACCTACACTTGACGATTACTGATAAGTTTTCAAATCGTATGTTAATTTATATGCATTTACTTAGTATTTAAAGTTTTATGTAAAAAAAAAATTAAAGAATTTTAAGAGAACAAAGTATGAAACTACAGATGTCTTATTAGTCATTAATTAGCAAAAAAAAAAAAAAAACAACGTAACATTGTGTCTGAAATTGTGTATAATTTTACATAAGAATATTTAAATCGAATATTTGAAATAGTAACAATAATAAATAGAAAGAAAAAGAAATATTACCATTGCAGTAAACTTAGATTTAAGCATTTTTTAATAGTCACTTTTTTTTATTATTATTTTAACAATTTTAAGTATCCACATTATATCAAAATCTCAATTTTCATCTATCCACAGCTGTAAAGTCCTAAGCCACCTCAGCAGGGAGCTCATTCCATAACCTGAGTGTTCGTGGGAGGAAACATCTCTGAAACCGCGCTGTACGCGACCATTTAGGCTGGAGAGTATGAGGGTGAACTCCCCGTCTATCTGGGGCTTACTGAAAACCAGCATCGCGACTTCTGAGGAAACTTCAGCTTTTTGCAAAGAGCTTTCTCATAAAGTCATCATCATATTAGGCGTCAACTGACAAATACTGAAGGTCTCCCCCATAAAGAGGGGTTTTGCCAGTAGTTGCCACGCTTGGCAGGCGAATTGGCAATCTCAGTTAAGTTCTTTAGTGACGTTTACAGAGGGATGCTACTGCCCATTTTTAGTCTATTAAATTTCTTTTGTTCTTACGACTCTCACGGGAAAGAAAGGTGTGGCCCAGTTTATGGCAAGATCATAGGACCACAGCAAGGCAACTAGAACATACAGTGTACCAATAATCTCTATAGTTACCTAGTCATATCGGTCATATTTTCTCTCAACCCAATAAAGTATTCCTATAATATGATGTATTACAAGCTAAAAATAGATATAAAGTGATTAAACGACCACCTATCTATATTTAGATCCTGTCTATCACAAAGGTCGTAGTGGGCGCCAGTTAATTCCAGCATGTATTTAAAACATGGAAACGTTTCTATTGCAGATACATTCTTATTCTTCTTCCTTAAACAGAAAGAAGTGTTTTTCTCCACAATATTTCCTAGAGAAATAAAATCTCGAATTCTTTAGCAATGGCGAACAATAATAGCACACAAAGTCTAAATTTTTACAAATTATTGCTTCTAGTTTGTGTAAGTTTTGCTTTGCTTTGCATTTTCTATTGGCTGTATCTGCTGATCGTGTTCTGAAGAACTCTTCAATATGATGCCTTCAGCCACTTTCCAATATCATACTGCTCGCAATCGGCAGGGAACCCATCCTCGCCAGAATGGTCACGCACAGTGCGGTTTCAGAGGAGCTTTCTTCCGCGAATACTCAGGTTGTGGAATGACCTTCCTGCCGAGGCTTTTGACTAGAGACTACAGCATGGGGTTCTTCAAAAAGGGTGTATTCAGTGTCGGCAATGCGTTAGTGACATTCCTGGTGTTACAAGCGCCTATAGACCCCGTTTACCGTATTTATTAGACCGTATGGTTGTCTACCGCCATAACTGTGTAAAAAAAGCAGATTTCATTTCAAGTCTTGCCCTTATTTTCATCATAGGTGAGGTAGAATCACAAATCTGTGTAGTAAAAAAAATTCTTTTAGACGGATACGCCTCAAAGTGATATTTTAGAGAACTGACATGTTTGTAAATAGAAGACTTATCCAATATATAGATCAGGGTGCACATAATTTCAACTGTAAATCTGCTATTTGATAAATTTTTTTTTACAACACAGGGGCCAAACGAGCGTCCGGCTCACCTGATGGTAAGTGACTACCGCCGCCCATGATCACCCACAACACCAACGGCATTGCAGTTGTGCTGCCGGCCTTTTAAAAAGGAATATGTTCTTTTCTTCAAGCTGATGATGTCGTTATAGTTGCATTGTTACTTTACAAAGCACGTTATTAAGGTTAACCTATTAAATAATTTGATAAAACCTACGTCATCACTTCTATACCCTCCAATTGGTGTCAATTTATCAATTCTTACTTATACATACATACATATCTGTCAAGCCTGTCTCCCATTACGGTAGACAGAAACAATGGAACGCCAAACGCTTCGATTCAAACAAACCTCTTTCGCTTCCTCCACATTCATCAATCCTTATTTATATAGGTACACATAATCTATATAAATAACTGTGTGATCCCGGCGTAGAATAGGCCGCCCCTTCCTTTCCTGTGGTAGTCGTAAGAAGCGACTAAACGAAACTTAAAGGTACGAGAGATAGGCAGTAACGTCCCACTTTAAACATCACTAAAGGCCTAACTGCGGTTACTAATCCGCCTGCCAAGCGTGACAACTACTGGCAAAACTCCCCTTATGGGGAAGGCTTATGTTCAGCAGTAGACAGTTAATGGCTGAAATATGTATTATTAATATGCAGTCAAATAGTAAATAATGAACTCAGGAATGGCAACGCATGGGGGGTATGATGGGCGAAACGGTATACTCTGTTATGTCCATGGTACTGCTCATGTGTATAGGCGACGGTTACCACTATCCATCAGGTGGAACGTCAGCTTGTTTGCCATACTAAGATGCATAAAAAATATCCGATCACTGTATGGAGAATTTGATCACCTCAAATGTGTTACAGGGAGTTGGTGAACGCTGACGGCTCAAAACAGAATCTTATTGCAATGTATAATAAAGACCTATGTTTAGTGAACCATTAACGGCTGAAATGATAGCACACCATTTTCACCCATTAAAAAAAAACTGACGGAATTATCAAGAAACAATCATAATATCAAATATAACCGAATCGGGAACCTCCATTTTGGAGTCAATTGAAAATTAATTTTGTTTCGTCACTTGTTTTTATCTGCAGTGGTAAATAAACTAGTGGCATACACCTGATTATAGTAGAGAAACCGTTGTTAATTAATACAGATGGTAACATAATAGCCTCAGTTTATACCGGGGGCGATATGATACGCCCATGACACGCCCCATGCGTTACCATTCGCAATAAAAAGTAGGGGATATTACTACGAAACGACAAATCCGAAGTTTCGACCAGATTTATGACATTCTCCTTTGCAAACCGAACCTAAATGGGGGGGAGGGATTGTTAGTAATGGGGTCTAATGAACCCATTTCTAGTAGGTATACCCTATCAAGTCGACCTCCACGCGGTTCCCCTGGAAACCATCGTGGTTAATTCTAGTGGAATTCGTCACGATGGGCTCACTGATCTGCTTTCATTCTCATCTCTCATCACTCACTGGTGCCTCGTCGGTGTATACCGATAGCGCAGGTGGGGTTACCATTCCATTATCACAAAAAAAAAAAATCGAACCTAACTTCATTGGATTCGTATGTTCAGACTTTTAATTCAGTCTTTAATTTTTAAAGTCTAATGTAAGCTCTACTTATTCCAGTAAATTAGACGTTTTTTTTTTTAAATTTAATTAGTTTAGATGTTTTATTTTTAATTTAATTAGTTACATCATGATGGTTAGCTATATTTAATTAAAACTTGTTTAATCTATTCTTAAAACTGATATTTCCCTTACTGATTAAATTATTCAAGTTTTTATTTTTACGCATGTTTTTTTCTCAAGTTCGTATTCCAGGAAATAAAGACTGTCACACAGACATTTCTAAAAAGTTTATTTATTAATGTAAGTACGGTAAGTAAGTAAGGTATCCATTCATTATTGTTACAGAATTTACTATTGTCACAAAAAAAAAAAAAAGGTATAGAACTAACAAAACAAATATTATCAACATGAAAAACATGCTCAGTTGTGATACACATAACGCCATCTAGTGATGGCCTCGAACAAACTCACTTACTAAACATCTAATTTTGGTGCAAAACACTGGATTTTTATTATGTTTTTACCGTTTATATTTCATTAGATGAAAATATAACAACTATGATATTTCTTTAAGTAGAAAAAAAATGTTAAATTGATTGATTTTACTGTTTATTCTAATCACATAACCCAAATGTGATAACATCGAATCAGTAGCTTATTCTTCACGTAGATAACGATCTAGATTTGATCTAAATACATACAACATGAATATTCAATGTTTACATAAATAGGTAAGAAACCTTAAATGACGTAATACACTAATACATAACAATAATACTGTGCAGAAATCTATTATCCTGTCTGACGAATAAAGGTACTCTGTAAGTGTGACGTCTGTGCTGTGTGTGTGTGTTCATAAGCACACAGACAACATACATGAAGAGGTATCGAGAGACGCCAACTTATTAACCTCAATTTACGACCAGTGTGTGCGTGACCAACATTATTAGAATTCATAAACACAAAACCAATTACTAAAATTTAATTACATATAACTCAATACAAATGCTACACAATATGTATTATAGCGCGTTAATTTTATCCATTGTTACAAGCTGAGGATACGAAACGTTTAGCCTTGAAACTTCTTATCGAACAAGTGACTGTCGAATGGCGCGAACGCGACGTTGCCGACATTCCGTGCGCGATACTGCGCCGTAATTTACAAGTAGCGCCGCCATTTTGTTTTATATCAGATGCAACGAAAATGATGAGTGATCTAGCCATACGGCTCCACATTATCAAGATTCATGGAGATAACGTCTCAAATACGCCTAACATCTAACTCACAACTCACTCTCGGCTACACAAGTAGAATATATTACGTAACCTGAAAAAAATGTCTACGTAGACGATTCATACCATCACATCATCGCACGTACATTACCTACAGCACGCTAAGAGGATATTCCAATAGAGGTATGGATATGCGAGTGATAGACGTCTAGATCGTCGAGATAACAAGCGTCCGATGCATATGCACGGCATATCCATAACCACTTATGTAGGGAGGGTAAAGTGTCGGCGCAATATGGTAGAGATACGTACATTGAGCGGATCGGGAGCCGGGGCCGGGTGCAGAGTCCACACCCAGCGGTCCTGGAGCGAAGCTCCTGCCGACCCACGACCACATAGATCACAAATTCGAACATTTTCAACGCAAATTCCACGGTATCGATCACCCACCGACGCCATTTTGAACCGACACTGAGAGCGGACGGGCGAGTGGCGAGCGGTGCGGCGTTGCCACGTCGCTAGTTTCCAATCCGCACTTCTATTTCTGGCTCCCTCCCCCCCGCGCTCGCCGTCACGCTCATCGGCGAGCAAACAGCGCTCAACAAAACATGATTTGAATCGTATCTGCCACTCCGCGGACTTATTATCGTGCCTTGAAAAATAAAAACAAAATCTAGTCGGCTGTGGACGATGCGAGGGGGGCGCGTGAGCGATACACATTTCGGCATGATAAGATAGTTAACTATACACAGTTACTATATAGTGTGTGTAATGTGGCGAGCGAACGCCCGGCTTTCACCAGAGCGGGGCGAGGCACGGCCGCGCAGTATCGCGACGACATGTGCCATTGGCCACCGCAAAGATCGATAGTCAAACACTGACGAGGCCGCCGACCTTTACAGTATTCTGTGCCTTATTACGGTGGCGGTGCGGGCGTCTCTCGCTCGGCGGCCACTATAAACAAACTACCACACAGCACACTGACGTCCTCCATGTACGAATGTACGAACACAGGCGCTTCGGAAACGACGCTCGGCCAGAGCGATGAATGTATACGTACATATCGACATATATTATGGCACTTTTCTAGAGTCGAAATTCCTATACCACGGCGCACTCAGCGCTCCCTACCGAAGGACAAAGGGCAGATTTCATACAGAAAACAAAGGGAAATGCCGGCCGAAGGATAATAACATTTTATTTCCATATCGAAATTAACTCTTTAACAAGTGTATAGCGAAACAGTGCGTTGCCAAGTCGCTAGATCGAACGTAGAGAGCGCGCGGCCCGCTGTCTACTCATTATGAAATTCAGATTTTTCGACTACACATGACTAAGATTGGGGTTTGATAAAGATTGCACCAAAATATTACGTTCGCATATGCATTATTACGATATCTCGGGGCGTAACGTATGGCTCAGGTATACGTGTGGGCAATGCATCTATACACTATATTACTAATTAAACCGATTCTCATTAGCAAAATCAACGTACTACAGTAAAAAGCAATACAAATCAACCAAACATATTGATAAAAAGCTTTTATATAAAAAGACGCAGTCTGTCAACCATTCACTCACCTGGATTTTTACTCGAAATGTGCTGATTTCTTCACAATATTCACGATAACGTCACACGTAGACGCAACAAACAAGAATATTAAGGTATTTTAAGGATTTTGAAAGATTTGATATGCACAAAAAAATTACACATTCCGCGGAGCAAACGTCTGACGCGTAGATAGACCGAATGCGAACTGTTGGTTTAGTTTGGATCGGTTGATGGGTGGGGGCGGCGGGCGGAAAACCGGAGAACGGGCGCGACCGAGGGAGTCAGAAAGGGCAAAGATTTATTAATTATAAAACAGCACAGAAACCCACTATATAATACTCAGTAAATAGTAAATAGCATCACAATTTTTCCTTTGTAAATGTCTTTTAAATTCTATACCTACAATGTAATAGAATAAATGAGTTTCTCTTTTGACATTTCGATTTTCCTGTTGACTACTGACGACTACTTACACACACATTGATATAGAACCCTGTTGATTGTTTTTTAATTTTCTTGCGATAAGTTCATTATATGCTAAGGTGCAATATGTAGAGAAATAAATTTAAATATATCAATGCTAATATTACGTTTGGAAGCTTGTAAATATGAATAGCTTATTAAAAAGTAAATATTTATTCTATTTATTTTGGAATAATGTTTATACCTATGATTTAGACAACATACTAGATTCTTATGGTAATTGCATAAAATTGAGTTTGAAAGTACAAGTAGATATAGGTAAGTATTGACATTCGCATACAAATCATAAGTTGCCATTAATAATTAGGACATTTATTCTATAGAGACACCTTATAGAGACCCTTTTTTTTTATTTATTCAAACAACTTTATGGATTAAATAAAAATATAGTACAAAAGGCGGAGTTAATACATTGTAATTTTATTTTAAGATTTTATTAATATTGTTAATACTTAACTCCTAGCTTCTAAAATATATAAGGAATTTGTATGTACTTTTGTAGTAAGTATATTATATAAGTTCAAGCACAGGCACTTAAATACAAATTATAAAGATCGTTCGCGCGATTTTTTTCTGTTCAGATGTTTATAATAATGTATTTTACACCTAGGATTCTACCTGCCAGTGTATTTGATATATATGTACTCCTAGTAACAAGACCAAAGCAATATTTGTAGTTTCCAGAAATTTGAATTAAGTAATTAATAAGTACTTATGAATTTAGAAAAAAGTATGCAGTAGGAGCGTTCTGAGGTTTCAATCTATTAAAATGGAAAAGAGAATATAGCTCATTTATAATAAATATCAATAACAATTTGTAACTATATTAGTGATATACTACAGCTATCAAGACCTACCACAATGACCATTTTATTTTTGTACTGGTAATATGAATGACATTGACGTTTCCCTATTAAAAAAAAAGCCCAACCAATCAGAAGCAAAGATTCATGAAAAGATTTATAAATTCCAAAAACAACAAATAGCAGAGCAGTTCGTGTATTTTCGTATTTGACATTAGAGACGTCACAAAAAAGATAAATATTTTTACACGTCGAAAAGTTTTAATTCACATTTAACGCGATTTTCTCTCGAAATAGCACATTTTGTACACCAAAAGGCACCCCGTTAATATAAAAATGAAGTCCAGCATCTTCATTTTAGTGTTAGCTGTTTTATTGTATAATGTATCAGCCAAAATAGATCCAAGAAATTTGAAATGTTTAGGTTCGTAATTTATTCTTTTTTTAATTATTTTATTCATTAATTCTGTATCTAAAGTAGTATTAAATTGATTGCAGTATGCCGGACGACCTTCAAGGAATTAAATAGTGTGATAAAAGGCGTGGACAAATGGAAAAAAGTCGATGTAAGTGTATCACAAATTGATGTATTTATTTTTTTTATATATAAGTTTGAAACTTATTTTGTGAATGTAACGAACATTAAATGTTATGTTGTGTATTAAAAATATATATTTTTAAAGGGATTATGACAATTTTAATTTAATTGGACTACTTGATTGACTACAAACATATGTACTATGACATAAAAGCCGGTCAAGTTCGAATCGAGTGTGTGAATTATAGTGCCTAAGGGCGTTGGTGTAACTTTATTTTTCAGAAGAAAGGAGTCTTCTATTGATCATTTTATACTCTTCTGTGGTTTGGTTATATCTGATTTTCCAGTAGTTGCCATGCTTGGTAGGAAGATTGGCAACCGCAGTTAAGTTTTGATGATATTTTAAGAGGAATGTTGCTGTCCATTCTTTGACTATTAAATCCCCTTAATCACCTCTTACTACATTCATGGGAATGGTACACCAGGACCTCTTTAATCTGAACTCTTTCAAACCCAAATGCCCAGCCCCTGCCTACATTTTCACTCCCCCACCTTTAATACATGTCTTTAATGAGCTGATCAAATGGACATTCCTTTAGCAGAAGACTTTATTCTTTTTCCATTCCTTTTATTCTTTTACGTAAATTACGAGACAAAGTTTGTTATTTATCATTAAATAACTAAAATATTGGATTTCTTTAAAATATGTAATAAATGAAACCTTTATAAATGAATATACACATGTACATTTAAAATTTCATTAGTTTTATTTAATAAAAAAACCCCTATAAATTCTTTGTACTATATTCGGAACAAATACAGAATGCAGGGTGTAGTAGTTATTAATTATTTAAGTATAAATTGCTCATTTACAATAATTGACTATGGCACTTTATTAATTTTCAGGTTGGAAACTTCCGGATGGACGCGAGTGGCAACTTGCAGCAGCAGAAGTTGCCTGCACACAGATCCGCTGTCTACATCTCTGAAGTTATAGATGGAATTTGTAAGTAAATTAAAAAAGTGGTGTTTGAGCAACCTATTTATAGGTTGGAACTTACTTGGAAATGAAATTAGTTTATTTGCATTAAACAGCCTTAAAATTACTGACAAAAGCCATGTGGCCAAATATTTAAATAAAAAAAAATTATATAATTTTTATAAAAAAAAAAACTGAATTTAACTGATCTAGATCACACACCATGTATTTGTGTTGACGCCACGATTGTACAGAAGATGATGAATTGAATATCCATCTTCTTTTTTCTAGAATTGTTTGATTTAGTAAGAAAATGTAGATGTAATTTTTTATACAACTTAGAATGGCAAACAAGCTGACCCTACCCTCCTACCGAGCATGGCAACTACTGGCAAAACTCCCCTTATGCAGGAGGTCTATGTTCAGCAGTGGACAGATAAATATGACGGGTGTCACAGTGTATACTGTGATGTCGATGGTGTCTAGTGATATTCAATACTGGTTCGTTTCAGGTAAGAAGATGGACGACTATGTACGCGTGTATTACAAGGCGACAGGCAAATTGGACATCATGTTACTTATAATGCCGGACGGCAAAATGAATCCGGACTTCTCCAAGACGAAATTCGTGACTGACGACGACCTCAACAAGAGTCTGGAGTACTATGTTAGTATTTTTGTTTATTAACTAGCCTTTAGCCGTGACTTCGCCCGCGTGACGTCGATATATTCGCTGACCTAAAAAATAGTATTATTATACCTACACAGAGCTGGGTGCTCTGCGTAAGCATATTTTTAAAAGAAGACTTTTTAATTATTTGTTGAGTCTACAAAACTTTACTAATTATGTAATTGTTTTTGATAAAATTTATTTTAATACATAAAATATTGGTGTTTTTAAAGAAGAAAATGTTTAATAGATTACTTAGTAGGTTGAGGGACTTTTTGTCTAACAAGTTTTTTGTCTCCCTCTGGTAATATGTTATACGTATTATATGTGTATTTATTATGTATAATTATTTCAGTATGTTACTATGATTATGTTACATATTTTTCACCACATCTGCCCTTCATACGCTTTCTGTTTTCACCTAATGTGTAGCTGGTAGAGAATGCCATATGGCATTAAGCTCGCCACTTGTACAAAGTTTTATTGTGCAATAAAGAATAAATTAATAAATAAATTTGAATGTGTACTAAAGTCAACCCCCCTCCTCATTTCCAGTGCGAGCGTATGTTCGAAGAGAACGAGGATGAGATCACCGATTTGTACAAGAACCGGCCCGAGGACGACGTGATGCCTGACGCGGAGAGGGAGGTGAGTACCGGACATGCCATTGAGCCGTTTCTGAGATTAGCATGCATAAACATACAGACAAATAGACAAAAATTGTAAATACCATTGTTTCGTGTTTTATTGCGTTCATAAAACCCCGCTATAGTAGTTTCTCTTATATCTTTTCCATGTACAGACAGTAACCAGTTACAATTTTATTATATATATATATATATAATAAGTATAAAAATAATAGTAAAAAGTAACTAATTTTATTAATAAAAAGGGGTAAAGAGGTTTCTTCAGGGTCGGCAACGCGCGCGTAATATCTCTGGTATTGCAGGCGTTCATAGGCTACGGTAACCGCTTACCATCAGGGGGGCCGTATGCTTGTTTGCTACCTCAGTGGTATAAAAAAAAAGACATATTTACCATAAAGAAATTTGAATATACCCCCTTATTATTTGTATATAATTGTGTTCTCCAGATATGTTTCAACCATGCTAACTACTGCGAAGACTGGATGCTGCCCAACGAGGAGGACACCACCTGGACTGAGGAGATGGAAGCGGAGTATGTTAAGGTACAATTCGCAGTTGAATTCTTGTAATTAAATTAAAAAGAGACTGTGATTATCACAGTACCATCGTTATAACCGTTACTGTCCACTGCCGAACATAGGTCTCCACCTATTGGTTTTTTTTATGGATGATAATGGAATGGTAACCCCGCCTGCGGTAACGGTATACACTGGCGAGGCACCAGTGAGGGATGATAGATGAGAATTGAAAGGCAGGTCAGTTAGACCATTGTGATGAATAAACTTACCAAGTATATTCATCACCATGTTTTTTTTTTTGGTGAGTGAAAATGGTATGGTAACCCCGCCTGTGCTAACGGGATACGCTGGTGGAGCACCAGTGAAGGGTGATAGATGAGAATGAAAACAGGCCAGTTAGCACATCATGATGAATTCATCAGGAATTAACCATGATAGTTTCCAGGGGGAACCGCGAGGAGCTCGACCTGGTTGGGTATATTGCTAGCAATGGGATTCTCAGTCTCCATTACTTACAATCCCTGTCCCCCCTCATCACGATGGTTACCAGGGGGGACCACGTAGAGGTCGACCCATTAGAGTATATATTATAAATATATATTTAGACATTAAATAAAAAAATAATATAAGTTTTAAAAATAATGATTTACAGGTCCACGGTCCTGACCCATACGGCTTCGGCGGGCTCCCCCAGCCCCCACCAGAGGCGTTCAACACCGAGGATGTTGAAACCACCCCTGATGACGGCGAGGATGAGCAGGTGCTGGACACTAAGGATGAGTTGTAATTGGAAATTGTCATTTAGTAGTTTCAATAGTACCTCAGGCACATTTATGAGAAGGCACCGGATGGGCCATGCCCATCCCAAAGCCATCATTCTATCCCAGGAGCGAGCAAAGCTTCGCAAAGACATGTCAGTATATATATGTACCTTGTTTAAGTGATCATGTCCCACTTAAAAATAACAATATGCTATAAAGAATAACTTAATAAAAAATTTAAAAACAAATAATCGATACGACCATAGACAATTTGTCGATATTCAATAGTATTACGAATAAAAAATCGATTAATCGATTGATTGATTTGATTTATTACTTATTTTATTGAGCACGCTATCATTTAGATAGTTTATTTATTTATTTATTTATTATTCGTAAAACTATAAGCAAAAAGATTTCTTTTTGTAATATGGATTAAAAAAAAACATAGATAGATAGATACTCTTGATTGTTTCCTCCAAAAGATTACAATAGTAAACTTATTATAAATATAAACAATTACAAGAAATAATCACAGTGAGAAAACAATGCGCGACCTTATCGCTAAGAGCAATCTCTTGCAGGCAACCTTTGGATGGAGAGGAGTAATTATAAACAATTTGGTGGGAGGCACGATGAAAAATTTTGTTAGTTCTAAATATGGGAAATGTAATACATATAATATTACGCCGACACGTGATGATTTATTTATTTATTTATTATTTTATTCCATAATGTTGTTGGTAGATACCACATTAACTTCCAAGTTTTAACAATGCTTAGTTACTTTTCATTAGCGGGCTATAATATTATTCTCATTCCATTTTTACATTCCGTATATTATAACGTATATATCTTCATAAGTATTTATTTATCATAGACAAACATTTATACGTCTTCCATTATAGGCATAGAGTACTTATTGTGATAAAATGTGTCGTGTAGTTGGTATGTAGCATTCGTAACTGCCAAATGTATTAATTAAATGTAATGAAACTAAATTTAATTTAACGGTACTCTAACCGGTTTACAATCAGACGGGCCGTATGCTTGTATGTCACTGTAAAAGTATTAAAAAAAAATCTTTTATATTTTTTTTAATTTAAAGTTAATAAATTTCTTTTATATTTTAATTTAATAACTACCTGTTAAACTCACGTGTAAATTAGATCGAGAAAGCTCGACTAGTTTCGGGATCAATTCGTGACCCTTAGTCGTGAGCGGCTGTGATGCGAGTACGAGCCTGACTACGTGTGACTGACTAAACCGGTAGTTATTATATTCAAATCTAATGTATCTTTATGAAACCAATAACAAATTGGTTTATTTATTTAAATATCATCACATTTACTCTCTGTATATATTTCACAGTCACAAAAATAACAGAGGAATAACACCTGAGTCCTCAGGGATGGCAACGCATGGGGGGTATCATGGGCGAAACAGTATACTCTGTTATGTCCACGGTACTGCTCATGTCTATAGGCGACGGTTACCGCTTTCCATCAGGTGGGTCGTCAGCTTGTTTGCCATTCTGAGTTGTATAAAAAAAAAGAATGTATGTCATTAATATAATATTGTTAAATTCCAAGTGATTATTTGTAAGATCATAGCGTGCCTTACTGCTTAATGCAATTTACAATTTGAGATAAATCTTAAAGACTGTTTAATATAATTTTTGATTATATATAATATAATTTATGCTGACGACAGACATTTTGTCCGCGTACTAAAAATCCCTGTGTGTACGCCATTTAGTTATATTTTAAATGGATGATAATGGAATGGTAACCCCGCCCGCGCTATCGGTATACACCGACGGGGCACCAGTGAGGGATGATAGGTGAGGATAAAGCTGGTCAGTTAGCTCATCGTGGTGAATTCAAAAAGAATTAATCACGATGATTTCCGGGGGGAATCGCGTGGAGGTCGACCTGACAGGGTATATTGAAAGCAATGGGATTGCTAATTTCCATTACTAACTATAAGAATAGAACTTACACTTAGTACAGATTGGTCCCATAGGAATTTTTATTTCAAATCAGTTCAGTAACTTAGTTTTTATATCAAAATAACTGGTTTTGCTACTTTTTAGCCTTTTTTTTTTAATAATTAATTATTTATCATGACGGTCACAGTTGAAATTGTTAAAAATGCAAAATTTCCTATTTATATTACAATTTATCATGACGGTCACAGTTGAAATTGTTAAAAATGCAAAATTTCTTAATTGTATTACAATTTATCATGACGGTCACAGTTGAAATTGTTAAAAATGCAAAATTTCTAAATTGTATTACAATTTATCATGACGGTCACAGTTGAAATTGTTAAAAATGCAAAATTTCTAAATTGTATTACAATTTATCATGACGGTCACAGTTGAAATTGTTAAAAATGCAAAATTTCCTAATTATATTACAATTTATCATGACGGTCACAGTTGAAATTGTTAAAAATGCAAAATTTCCTAATTATATTACAATTTATTATGACGGTCACAGTTGAAATTGTTAAAAATGAAACATTTCTTAATTATATTACAATTTATCATGACGGTCACAGTTGAAATTGTTAAAAATGCAAAATTTTTTAATTATGTTACAATTTATCATGACTTTCACAGTTGAAGTTGTTAAAATTGTTTTATATATTTATTTATTTATTTTGTTCGACAAAATGTAGGTATGTCGAGTGCTACGTTCACCACAACGGTAACAGGCGGTAGGTATTAAGATTATATTTATTGTTTTTTTTTTTATTCTTAATACAGATAATATATATATATATATAATAATATGACAATATTTTTTAATATCAGAGTGATGTATATGTTGTGAAATTAGTGTGATTATATTGTTTTTAAAATAAAAATGTTGTTTTTATTTGATGAGTTTTATTTAAAAATATTTTATGTATTTTTTTTTTTTTGCCATGAATGTATTATTTGTGTTATTATAATGTTCTTTTGGTATTTTTGGTTTTTGGTAAGTGTAAATCTGTATATATATATATATATATATATATATATATATATATATATATATATATATATATATATATATATATATATATATATATATATATATATATATGCATGTGTAGATTGTACAATAATTGTAATGAATTAGACATTTTTGCTTATAGTTTAAATTCTTATCTTAAAATGGCAAAAGAAGTGTCTGAATTTAATATGTAATTGTTCTCGGGTTCAATTGTTATTGTATATAATATTGAAACTAGTATAAGCTAACGCTGTGCGTAGCAACTAACGGTGTACAATTTTAAAACAGTTACTTAGTTGAAAAGCTTATTATAGTCAATGTAATGTGAATTGTATTATTGTTGCTGTGCCTAAATGAATAAATAAATATACTTTAAATATATTTTAAAATTGACAAATATAGACATCACTATTTTATAGATACTATTATATATATAAATAACAACCTATCTTCACGCCATGCTCCTTGCGGGGCAAATAACAAGACAACATTATGGAAAAATATTTTTATTCATATAGTATCACATTATTTATCGTTCACGTTCAATAAAATTAGATTATACAAAATATTATTATATAAATTCGTTATATTAGTTAATTTAATTATTGTATTAAGTCAAATCTTAACGTTTTATAGTTAAGTAAGGCTGTGTAAGTCTTTTACAGACGCTGTTATTTGTATAATAAAATAGTAAAATATATTTTTTTTAATCGAGGGTTAAAGAGCAGTAAAGAAAAAAAAATTACATTCCAGACCTAACTAACAAGTAATGTAAAATAGAAAATAATAACAAATGCTTATTGATTTAAATACTTTTTTAAATATATTTTTCTTTTCTGCTTTTAAGGGCAAATCTATCAATAATGTATCTTTTGCCAAAATTAGAAAAAGAAAATATAAGTATTCTTTACATAAAGTAGTTATTTAAAAATTCTCTATATCTTCGAACTATCTAGGTATTTTAACATGATAAATTTGCATAAGCATACAACGCCATCTAGCGTCAACAAAAATAATACAGTTGTAAAATCGTAGTGTTAGATGGCGCTGTAAATATAAAATATGTCGCCGACATATTGCAAATACATTAAAAGGTACATAAAAATTAAAAAAATATATTTGCGACTTAGAAAACGGCAGTGTTAAAAATAGGAATTATCGAAATATTTTGTACTCGACATATTTTATTCCATGTATTCTTATTTATTATTAAATAACTGCATATCCTATATTTGTATACAATATAGAAGACAGTAAACGTTCAACTTTTATATATATACCATTTACAGAGCAACCTGTAACCAAGTTAATGGGGACATTGATCCCCATTAACAACAATAATTAGTCATCATTCCTTTTTTAATGGCATAAAATGGTATGGTAACCCTGCTTGCGCTATCCGGTATACACTGGCAGAGCACCAGTGTGTGATAGATGACGATAAAAGCTGTTCAGTTAGCTCATTGTAATGAATTCCACTAGAATTAACCACGATGACTTCCAGGGGGAACCGCGTGGAGGTCGATCTGTTAGGATATATAGTTAGCAACGGGTTATACCCATTACTAACAATCCCTTCCTCCACTAGCCGCATTTTACTGGTGATACACCCCGCCAGGTAGACCACTATGCCATTCCTGCTGGAAGTCGTCTTGGTTAATTCTTTACGAAATAGTTACTATGATCTAACTGACCTGCCTTCATCCTCACCTACCATTCCTCACTGGTGCTCCGCCAGCGTATACCGATAGCGCAGGCGGGGTTACCATACCATTCTCATCCACAAAAATAGCTTAAAAAATAAGTACATACGCGAAAGATTTCAAGGTCATACAATTGGAGTTATTGTTTATTTAATCTCATACAATACTTGGTATTTTTAGTGCATTATACTTTTTAGTGTTTACATATTAAATGATTTTTTAAAATAATAAAATTGTAACCTCACTAAATCTGTACATAGGAGATATTTAAGAAGAATCAATAAGACTAATGGACGCCAGGACAAAAATTTTTAGAAATGTCTATCGGTCTGTCTGTTTTTACATATTTGTTTTTGGGTTCATACAAAAATTACGTTTGCACATTTATAATATTATTAAGCAATGTCATGTGTATAAAATTATATTCAGGAATGCATTCACTTGGTCCCCGTTTAGATTTTCATAAGACGACACCGGCGCCCCCTGCCGGCGCGCAATCAGCAACACATGCTCCTCTGCATTTCCCCGTGGGCGATGTTGTCTATACTCCACGCGGGTAGTTCCACTTTGCCCGTATGTGTGGCTGTTTCTTCGCTTGGATTGCCTGAAATATATAATTTTAACTGTAAGAACCCCATAACGTCCCACCGCTGGGCATGAGTCCCCCCATAAAGGAATATAACAATAATATGTTTATCGGTACAAAGATTACAGTTTGTTTCAATAGACTTAAATTAATATGTAAACAAATAAATAATTGATCCGACCTGTGAAAGAATTTAAAAAATTAAAAAATTTATTAAGTATACATACATTATCTACCAGACGGAGATTTTGTACAAAAGTCGATTGCTTGAGTACCTCTGTCCCATTCGTGTTTCGACCGTGAAGCAGTTGTGTTTGCATGGCTGTGTTTCGGGTTTGAAGAGTGGGATATGACGTAAATTTACAGGGTACAGAGGAATAACACACGAGTCCTCAGGAATAGCAACGCATGGGCGAAACAGTATACTCTGTTATATCCATGGTACTGCTCATGTCAGGCGACGGTTACCACTTTCCATCAGCTTGTTTGCCATTCTAAGTTGTATAAACAAAAGAAAATACAAAAAATAAAATATTTCCTTTTTATAAGTTTAGATAAGTAGAAAACATGCAGGCCATGTATATATGGTATATAAACTTATTTCGAGGAGCAATCTATGAGAGGTATCGCGGACGTCACAGTATATTCTGTGCTGTCCATGGTACTGCTCATGTGTATAGGCGATGGTTACTTTCCATCAGGTGGGCCGTCAGCTTGTTTGCCATTCTGATTTGCATAAAATATAATTCATTAATTACAAAAAAATCATTATAAAAAAGGCATTTTTTTTTAAATTCGCTAGATTTTTTTTTTCATATATGTCAGATATCTTTGCCAATTCTTATCCGAATTGAATAAGTTTTTAGACATTCAGAGTTCCATTTGTAAAAGTATTGTCAATTCTAAGAGAATTAATTTTTTTTTTTAAATAAGTAACTCCATTTTAAAGTCTGTTAATAAATATTTTAATCGATCAACACAAACAAAAACTGACAAACAAACTTAACAATTAATTAAATAATAAAAAAAAAAAAACAAAGCGCCAATTGGTAGAAAACAGCGTTTGGGTGACAGCAGGAGGGAATGTAAGGCGGGTGACATGGTTATGACGTGCCTATGAAGAAAAACTTTGCACACAACTCTTCGGCATGTATACTTCTGTCACATATTACTAACGGTATTCGCTGTGTAGGTCCCGGCATAGAATGGGCCACCCCTTCTATTCCCGTGGGTGTCGTAAGAGGCGACTAAGGTAGCTTATGATGGAGGGATGGGCAGCAGCGTCCCTCTTAAAACATATGTAAAAGCCTAACTGCGGTTGTCAACCCGCTTGCCAAGCGTGGCAACTACTGGCGAAACTCCTTATGGGGAAGGCTCATGTTCAACAGTGGATAGTTAACGGCTGAAGTCAATAATAATGGTATTCTTCAAATTGGTATTCTATTTTTCGTAACGTCAATTCGTAAATAAATATAGTTGACTTTTTTTAATTATGATAAACTGCGTATATGACGAGCTGTGATTACGACAACCTGAGTACATGACGAGCTGTGATTACGCCAACGTGTGTACATGACGAGCTGTGATTACGCCAACCTGTGTACATTGACGAGCTGTGATTACGTCAACCTGTGTACTTGACGAGCTGTGATTACGCCAACCCGTGTACATGACGAGCTGTGATTACGTCAACCTGTGTACATGACGAGCTGTGATTACGTCAACCTGTGTACATGACGAGCTGTGATTACGCCAACCTGTGTACATGACGAGCTGTGATTACGCCAACCTGTGTACATGACGAGCTGTGATTACGCCAACCTGTGTACATGACGAGCTGTGATTACGTCAACCTGTGTACATGACGAGCTGTGATTACGTCAACCTGTGTACATGACGAGCTGTGATTACGCCAACCTGTGTACATGACGAGCTGTGATTACGCCAACCTGTGTACATGACGAGCTGTGATTATGACTAATTGCGTATATAGAGCGAAATGTGATTATGGTAAATTGTATATACTTGCTACGACTTTGAGCCTTCTATAATAAACTTTTGATTCAAACTTGTCATTTATTAACCCATGTTCCATTGGAAAATTTTCCCAAATTCAGATTTACTAGTAGAACATGTCCGTAAGAGATTGTATAGAAGAACACAGAAGCATACGGTAGAGTGATATAGCGGGACACAGAAGCACACAGCAGGAGACAGAGGAGAGTGGTGGGGTTACCAAACGGCAGCCGGTGGGGCTCACCATCCGCGGAGTCGTACGAACGCAGCGACGCTGGACCCGTGTTGGACATCTTCAGCAGCGCTGCGGCCGTGCTGCGGAACACCTGGTCTATACCCTGTAATGAAGACAATTTTTTTTTAATCGTCTTCTCACTTTGGTTGTATTTTTCTTTTATGCTTGTCGCCTCATAACTCAGTCAGTTGTGGACCGATTTGGAAAATTCTTTTTTTATCTTTTTTTTTTTTTATACGACTTAAAATTTACAAGCTGAAATAAAAACATGGGTAGTTTTAATAACAAACAATATATTTTTTTTTTTTCTCTTTATAACATCAATAGAGATTAAAAATTATGGAATTCGCCTTTAAATTTATTAAGATCTTATGTCACTGTTTTTTCTTTAAAATTACTTATTTTAACATTATACAAAAGACATTTAGAAAGATTCGATTGTTTTTTTTTTTTATACCACTGAGGTGGGAAACAAGCATACGGCCCACCTGATGGTAAGTGGTTACCGTAGCCTATGAACCCGCCACAAACTAAAGTTTCATCCCAATCATCTGGACGAGTGGCGGTCTTCCACCGTGCGTTTTTCAAGGCACTTTCTTCCACGCACAACCATTCTTTGGAATCAACTTCCAGCAGCAGTATTTCCGAACCGATACGACAACATAACCTTCAAGAAAAGAGTATATTCCTTTTTAAAAGGCCGGCAGCACACCTGCAATGCCGCTGGTGTTGTGGGTGATCATGGGCGGCGGTAGTCACTTACCATCAGGTGAGCCGCATGCTCGTTTGCCCCCTGTGTTGTAAAAAAAAAAAAAAAATGAACGCCTGCAATACCAGATGTATTACGCGCGCGTTGCCGACCCTGAAGAAACCTCTTTACTTTTATAATGAACAAAAAACATAAAATTACTCGAGCGATTTTCAAAATTCTTTCACCTGTAGAAAGCTATATTATTATGGCGTACTATAGGCTACATATTGGTTTTGAAAAATTCTATCTAAACGGGCAAAGCCGGGCCGGATCGCTAGTTATCGAAACATATAGTGCTATGTCGAAGATTGACTACGCTGTGTTTTCCACCGTGATCGTATATGAAAACCTATAGGGTACTTCCCGGTTGAGCTAGAATCATGAAATTTGGCAAGAAGCAATGTCATGTAGCACAAGTAAGGGAAAAAATTCTGAAAACTGTAAATTTGTAATTTCCAAAAAAAAAAAATAAACATTTAACTCGATGATTTTGTACGGAACCCTTGTTGCGCGAGTTCGACTCACACTTGACCGGCTTTTTTTTAAAGTTTATTTATTATAACAATTGTCGTCCAAACTCAACATACCTGGTCGTGCAAGGCGGATGTCTCGCAGTAGTTAGCGCCGATGGACGCCGCATACTGTGCCGCCTCTGTTTGCGACACCGCCCTCTTGTCCTCCAAGTCGCACTTGTTACCCACCATCGATAGCACCATGGGCTCTTGTACGTTACTGTGGATTTGAGAACGCAATTAATTCATCATTATCATGTATCAGCCTTGAACTGTCCACAGTTGAACATAGCCTCTCCCATAAGGGATTTTTTTTTAATAGATGAAAATGTAATGGTAACCCCGCCCGCGCTATCGGTATACACCGACGAGGCACCAGTGGAAGATGATAGGTGAGAATGAATGCAGGTCAGTTGGCCCACCATGATGAATTCGACAAGAATTAAACATGATGGTTTCCAGGGGGAACCGCGTGGAGGTAGACCCGAGAGGGTATATTGCTAGTAATGGGGCTTTTAGACCTCATTACTAATAATCCCTTACCCAATAAGGGGGGTTTTGCCAGGTAGTTACCACGCTCGGTAAGTACCAAGCGTATTAACTACTGACAAAACCATCTTACCATCACTTGACGGTAAGTGGTACCCGTCGCCTATAGACATGAGCAGTACCATGGACATAACAGAGTACACTGTTTCGCCCATGATACCCCCCATGCGTTGTCATTCCTGAGGACTCAGGTGTTATTCCTCTGTACCCAGTAAATTCACTGCCATATCTCACCCTTTTTGCTGTGTGGCTCCGGCATAGAATAGGCCACTCCTTCCTTTCCCGCGGGTGTCGTAAGAGGCGACTAAGAGAGGGCGAGGGACGGGCAGCAGCGTCCCTCTTAAAACATCTCGAAAGCCTAACCGCGGTTGTCAATCCGCTTGCCAAGCGTGGCAACTTCTGGCAAAACAGTGGACAGTTAAAAGCTGATGTGATGACAATCTCATCCTTAAACCGAAAAACAGCCTCGTTTCTTTCAAAAGTATTACCGTTTAGTGTTTATGCTGCATTAATTAATTTTTTCTTAATAAAACTTCAAATTCCATTGAAACAGTCCACAAACCTGTGCAGTTCTCTGACCCATCCCTTGATTGCTGAGAAGCTGTTCAGGTTGGTGATATCGAACACTAGTAAGGCAGCGTTCGCGTTTCTATAATACATGGGGGCCATAGACCGAAAACGCTCCTGGCCCGCTGTGTCCCATACCTGGAAATTGATTGATGGAGTCTAAAATCCCAATGCTAGAAATATATGCTATCTGGGGGGGGAAGGGATTGTTTTTTTTTTTGCTGGGTGAAAATGGTATTGTAACCCCGCCTGCGCTAACGGGATACGCTGGCGGGGCACCAGTGAAGGGTGATAGATGAGAATGAAAACAGGCCAGTTAGCCCATCATGATGAATTCATCAGGAATAAACCATGATAGTTTCCAGGGGGGGAACCGCGAGGAGGTCGACCTGGTTGGGTATATTGCTAGCAATGGGATTCTCAGTCTCTATTACTAACAATCCCTTTCCCCCCCGGGAAGGGATTGTTAGTAGTGTGAACTACCAGTTATATTGCTAGCAATATACTCTGTTAGTGGTCCACCTTGGAAACCATCGTGCTGAATTCCTGGTGTATTCATCACGGTGGGCTAACTGACCTGCCTTTTCATCCTCACCTATCATCCCTCACTGGAGTCCCACCAGCGTGTACACACACACAGGCGGGGTTACCATTTTATTATCACCTACTAAAAAATCTTCAAAACAAATCCATACCCACCAGGAGTAAGGATATTTTAATAATGGGATTTAAAAACACCATTGCTAAGTCGACCTCCACGTGGTTCCCCCTGGGCTATCGATGGGCTAACTGACCTGTTTTCATCGTCACCAATCATCTATCACTGGTGCCTTACCAGCGTATACTGATAGTGCAAGCGGGGGTACCATTCCTTTATCACCCATTAAAAAAAGCCACCCACCTGCATTTTGACCCTCGCGTCGTCGACGTTGATGTTACACGTGAAGAAGGACGCGCCGATGGTGGGCGAAATGTGCTTGGAGAACATCTTGCCTATGTAACGCACCACGAGGCTCGTCTTGCCCACACCTGCCATTGTGATATTTCTGTACTTTATTTTACTGAACTTGATGTTATTTTATTTATTTACACGTTTACACACATTAAAACATGTGTACAGGGCGGTCTTAATGCCTGATGGCATTAGAGAATACCATCAGGCACCATTCAACCGTTACGATCAACAGAGAGAAGACAAGTCCAGACTGCCAGTATTTGAATCGTTGCAGAATGATTCACATGCTGGCTAACATACAAAAAGAAAGTAGGTTAAGTTAATGTTATTTATTATACGGTGTCAAAATTTGATTTAGTAATTTATATCTGGTACAAACTAAGATTGTTAAAGTTTTGTGCGCCCTGGTTGCCTTGATTAAAGAATTTATTTATTATTTATTATTATTAAAATGGCGGTGCATAGATTTAACTTAGTGGCGAATAAACTTAATAAATTTATTTTTGCGAATTATTCTTTATTACACACAAACATATTGATAAAAACACTTAATTTTAAAGGGCAAGTTTTTTTTTTAATAAGAGATTTCTTCGAGCAAACCTTTTCATGTCAATTAAATTGTTATTTAAAAATAAACGTAGACACTTATACGATTTGTGTACACTGCAATAAAAACATTTAAAATTATAAAATGTTAAGAAGCGCATTATGATTTATGAATGGGACAGAACTGGAATTTTACGACACTCATATATAGACACACCCAAGTGTTTACGCACTAAGTTATGCACACGCATACACGCACACACACACACACACACACACAGACGCACACGCACGCATGCGCGCGCGCGTGCACACACACACACATTCACACGCACGCACGCACGCACACACATACACGCATACAAACACCTATGCATATCCAAATTCACATTCAATGTCACATATTTAAATTAACCCTGTTCGCCGCACTATAACTGTCAAATTTCAAGCTTTGACTTGCACGAGACAGGCTTTGCCTAGTGTGGGCTCATAGTTATATTGTACTACAGGCTAATTTTGTTTAAGGAAATATAGTATATCTTATATATAAGTAAGAATATTTGTTATTTACATATATTTCACCAGAGGGAGACTTTGTACAAAAGTCGATTGTTTGGGTACCTCTGTCCCATTCGTGTTTCAACCGTGAAGCAGTTGTGTTTGCATGGCTGTGTTTCGGTTTGAAGGGTGGGATATGGCGTGAAATTACACGGTACAGAGGAATAACACCTGAGTCCTCAGGAATGGCAACACATGGGGGGTATCATGGGCGAAACAGTATACTCTGTTATGAACATGGTACCGCTCATGTCTATAGGTGATGGTTACCACTTTCCATCAGGTGGGCCGTCAGCTTGTTTGCCATTCTAAGTTGTATAAAAAAAAAAGTTTATCTGTTTATATATGTAATTTTACCGCATTCGTGTATTCTGACACTTGCCTACAGTTGACTGGGAGCGAATGCTTTTAGCATTAAGTCCGCCATGTACACATATATGTACTAATGAATAAATAAATAAGTCAGTATCAAAAGGAGTATACGAGTATAGCGTTCACATACAACGATAAGATTAACTCAAATACTTGAACCGAGGAGATTAACTGTAGAAAACCACTGCTCTTTATCTAGTAGTCCATGTGGCCATGTAAGGTGACGGACTTTTATAGATAGATAGATACTCTTGATTGTTTCCTCCAAAAGATTACAATAGTAAACTTATTATAAATATAAATAATTACAAGAAATAATCACAATGAGAAAACAATGGGCGAGCTTATCGCTAAGAGATCTCTTGCAGGCAACCTTTGGATGGAGAGGAGTAATTATAAACAATTTGGTAGGAGGCACGATAAAAAATTTTGTTAGTTCCAGATATGGGAGATGTAATACATATAATAATATAAAAATTATCCCTACTCATTATTATATATATATACATATATACACATACACACACATATACATATATATACACACACACATACACACATATACATACATGCATATAAACGCCTACACAAATACATAAAAATATATAAATACTGTTCACGTAAAATATGCAAGAAATAAATATGCTAACCAGACATATAAACATATTAAGGAGATGACAACTTGCTCAAATAAAAGTCCTTAACTTTTGTTTTAAACTTTGTTTTGTTTTAAACAAACTTTCCCTTCCCCTTTTATGGGGGAGGGGGGGGGGGTAATAATAATAGTGTCCAGTAGTTTTGTTGCTAGCAATATCCCCTATGAAGGGGAAAGGGATTGTTAGTTGGAAATTTTTTTTCAATTAATGATAATGTAATGGTGACCCCGCCTGGCGGGGCACCAGTGAAGGCTGATCGATGAGAATGAAAACAGGCCAGTTAGCTCATTATGATGAGTTCATCAGGAATCAACCATGATAGTTTCCAGGGGGAACCGCGAGGAGGTCGACCTGGTTAGGTATATTGTTAACAATGGGATTCTCAGTCTCCATTACTAACAATCCCTTTCCCCCCCAAGTAGATCAGTTGGCCTATCGCGACTAACAATTAATCAAGCACAATACTTTTTAGGGGGAACCGCGTGGAGGTCGAACTAATAGTGTATAGTGCTAACAATGAGATTGTAATTCCTATTACTACCAATCCCCTCTCCCCCCCGTTAGTTGGGAATTAACAACCCCATTGCTAGCAATACATCCCCTCGTACTGACGGCGGCGGTTTGGCAACCGCAGTTAGGCTTTGCTGATGTTTTGACGCTGCTTTCCATCCTTTACCCTCCCTTAGTCGCCTCTTACGACAGTTACTGGAAAGAAAGTGGTGGTCCATTCTATGCCGGGACCACACGGCGATATTATTGCAGTCGATTAAATTATGAAGTTGGTTAAAAATGGTTGCACAATATGAAAGAATACAGTGTTCCAACTGTAAAATAAATACGTAACAGATGCGTCAGTGCGTTAAAGCGTAACCGAGCATTGTAATAGCCACTTGTATGTTATGAAATGTATTGTCCTCTTTTTAAATAGTATTTTAAATAGAGAGACGTAAGAAATTCAGCAGATCTGCATTATTTGTCATCATGATTTCCTATTTTATGGACACTCATTGTTGTACATAGTTTCTTTGATGGATGGGCAGCAGCGTCCCTCTTAAAACATCTCCAAAGCCTAACTACCAGAGGCAAACTTTGTACAAAAATCGATTGCTTGGGTACCTCTGTACCATTCGTGTTTCAACCGTGAAGCAGTTGTGTTTGGATGGCTGTGTTTCGGTTTGAAGGGTGGGATATGGCGTGAATTTACAGGGTACAGGGGAATAACACCTGAGTCCTCAGGAATGGCAACGCATGGGGGGTATCATGGGCTAAACAGTATACTCTGTTATGTCCATGGTACTGCTCATGTTTACAGGCGACGGTTACCACTTTCCATCAGGTGGACCGTCAGCTTGTTTGCCATTCTAAGTTGTATAAAAATAATAACTGCGGTTACTAATTCACCTGCCAAGCGTGGCAACTACTGGCAAAACCCCTTTATGGGGAGGCTTATGTTCAACAGTGGACAGTTAAAGGCTGGTATGATGATGATTTATTCTATAATATAATTATATTGAGATTATCAGAGTAAGTTATTTGTTTCAGAAGAAATTAAAAAAATTAAATAATATATTTATATAAATACTAGCTTTTACCTACAACACCTATATGACTATTCTTGATGAATTAATCATGATGGGCTAACTGGCCTGTTTTCATTCTCATCGATCACCCTTCACTGGTGCTCCGCCAGCGTATCCCGTTAGCGCAGGCGGGGTTACCATACCATTTTCATCCATCAAAAAAAAAACTATGCATATTGGTCATTCAAGTAATCGTTAGGCTTTGTTCAATAAGTATTTTTTAATAACAGTTTTAAACTTATTAAAAGGTAGATCCAAAATATCCTTCAGTACCTTATTATAAGATTTAATCTCCATTCCCATAAAAGACCTATTAACTTTTTGGAAATAATACTATTATATATTATATTCATACTATAACTCCTATGGGACAGACAGAACTGAGGACCTCTATTCTTATACATTTTTATAATTCTTCACATGGATACACAGAAAATATTTTTTTTATCCATGTGAATTGGGAGGAAGGGATTGTTAACAATGCGAACTACCACTTGCTAGCAATATACCCTGTCACATTGACCTTCAGATGATCTCCCTGGAAACCATTGTGTCGAATTCCAGATGTATTCATCACGATGCGCTAACTGACCTGCTTTTTCATTCTCACCTAGCATCCTTCACTGGTACTTCGCCAGCGTATACCGTCAGCGCAGGTGGGGTTAATATTTCATTACTTTTTAAAAGATTTTGAGTTCTCCTAATTGTATGAAATATGAAACACCTACTGTATAACTTGAGTCAGTTTTAGTTTTAATGAAAGATTAACAGTACTTGTTGATATAAAATTAATTAACATAGATGTTAATTATTACTTGAATACATTAACATTTTTTAAGTGGCGATACATACCTTGGGATCCTAAAACAACAATTTTTGCTTCAATTACTTTCATTTTGATAGTTTAAACATACAATGCACTACATTTGTAAATAGAATCTTTACATTATAAAATAAAAATAAAACAAAAAAAATAAAAACAACAATTTCAACTTTGTTTTCTTTTACGGCAGTGGAAGAACATCACTGTTCAAAGCAACAAGTATACTAATAATTTTAAAATCACTGTGTCGAAACGAGTCACATTGTTTTTCAGAGTCTATCTAATTTGATGCGATTATCAGTAGGTTTGCGTGCTACTTTGCGCGTAGAGCGAGAATATCGAACAATGCAAGAAAACAAATTACATTTTCAGTTTGATATGGTTTGATAGCCAACAAATCAAAGTTCAATTGAAATGGGGTACAGAGTAAGTACAGGATAAAAGTAATAAATTCACTATCTTCTTTAAGAGTAGAAACTAGTTTATTCTGAAGAAAATTAGAAAATGATTCTATGCAGTGAAGTAGAAGTAACAATAAAATAATAGAAATGCATATTCATGTATTTTAAAACTATTTGTAACTTTATGGGAGACAGGCGTGACAGATATGTATGTATGTATGTTGTAACTTTATTTCCGTAAAATATTCATATCGCGATAGACAAGAGCTAGATACTTTATAGGAAAAACAGAAATTGAAATTCTGTGAAGTGGTTGCATAGGAACACAAAACTTTTTAGTTTGAAATGATGTATATGCAGTAAAAGTTACAGAGTAGTAATCATTTGTGACAGCTGATAAACTGACTGACAGTACATTGACGATGACAATTATATTTTATTTTGTGGGGCGTAGAAACAAATTGTCAATACTATCCTGAATCTATGTACCCCTTGAATAAGGGGTAATTAATAGATGGATTGATGGTATGACCCACGGGAAAGGAAGGGGTGGCCCATTCCGGGACCGCAAGAAAAAATATATGTATAATGTAAAATATATTTGTAGTATAATAAGAGTATTATATGTTATATTTAAATAAAACTTATTCAATTGCAATGATATATTTATTAACTTCAAAGAGAGTGAACAAAGGTGGGAAACCAATCGGAAAATCCGCTAGTACATACATGTCAACTAATGTCATCTGTTAATTGAGATGCGTTCCTTTTATACATATTTAAACTAGGTACGTTCATCTTCATTAATTAATGTACATATACATTAATTAATGAATTACTGTTTTAATTTAATATTATTCATCACGTTGCACTGTTTATTATATTTTCTGTTATTCCCGTCTACGGTCGACTATATTGTTACGGCCATTTATACTGTTTAGGTGTATTCTTTCTGTAGCCGTATACTCATGACAGAGTGGTCGTGTTTTTCATGATTATAGTTGATCGTCGATAAGGCTCTTTTTCGTGATTGAGGTTCTCGCAATGCGTCTCCATCTACTTCTGCTCACAGCCGAGCGAGAGCATTCCACAATAGACTGCTGTGTGGCCGTTTTGATGAGGTCAGTCCATCGCGTTGGTGATCTACACCGAGAACGTTTGCCTTGTACCGACCCTTGGCCAATTAGACGTTCAATACAGTTTTCATTCCGGATAATATGGCCAAAGTATTTGAGAATTCGTATTTGAACAGTTGACGATAATTTCTCTCTTTCTTTTAGTTCGCTTAGAATGGACACGTTAGCTCGGAAGCCAGTCTAAGATATTTGCAGTATGGTGTAATAAAATTTAATATATATAAAAATTATTTATTACATATATTATTCATTCTATTAAAACAATATGCCATTATAAATACGATCTCTATGAATGTAGCAATAAATCCGCCATTAAAAGCGATCACGATGGGCGTTCATATTTTACGACGTCGTAAAATCCCAATATGCTTTTAATCTCTTATCATAAAATGGAAGTGAGCGCTTAATTATGACTATGAAATTAATTATTAATTAATTATTATTACAGCGTATAAAATTCCCGTATCTCTATGTACGTTCACGCTAAACTTCGAACCCGCTCAATCAACTTGAATATTTTGTTTGAAACTTCAGAAGTAGTATAATTTGCAATAGACTATTTAAAAAAAAAAAGCTTTACTTAATGCCATCTGCATAGTCTAGGGGTTTTAAAAGAGGTATGCATTTTTTTGTGCAATTTAGAATGGCAAACAAGCTGACGGCCCACCTGATGGAAAGTGGTAACCGTCGCCTATAGACATGAGCAGTACCACGGACATAACAGAGTATACTGTTTTGCCCATTATATACCTTAATATGTTGCCATTCCTGAGAATTAAGGTGTTATTCTTCTGTAACCGGTAAATTCACTGCCATATCCCACCTTTCAAACCGAAACACAGCCATGCAAACACGATTGCTTTACTTAAATAAATCTTGAATCTTGAATCTTTACGGTTGAAACACTAATGGGACAGAGGTACCCAAGGTTTTGAGTTTCGACTTTTGTACAAAGTACTCTCTCTGGTAATTCTATTTCATTGGAGTACCTACTTCTAAAATCAACGCATAACGGGCAAGAAGCTAGTGTAATATAAAAAGATCTAAGTAAAGAAAACCGCTCAATGCAAAGTGCAAATAAATGAATTGAATTAGTTGAATAAATTATATTGATCTGTGGCAGTAACTTTATAATACCAAAAATTCTTTGTCTAAATTCTGATCAAAACCTAGACAAAATTAACATAACAAAATCCTTAAACACAAAAAGGCGGGAAATGTAATCCAATATGGCCGATTTGCACTCGCTTTCCCGGGGATTTCTGGCGCCATTACAATATTTGAGAAATCTGTTTTGCAAATATGCATTATTCTAATAAATAAACTCTAATGTAACAGCTGGAAGAGCGCTTTTCGCTCGTTCCGACTGTATGGTGGCTTAGACAAAGCAAGAGCCAGCCCGCCACAAGTCAAGTTGCAAATCGAAAACATTATACAGATTAAATTTCTAAAGAAATACACAGAGTTGTTGTTTAATTTTTTTTCTATAAATTTTATCTATCTATATATCTATGTTCCACTTACTTTATTAAAATGTTACTTTTTTACCAGAAGGAGACTTTTTTTAATGGATGACAATAGAGTGGTAGCTCCATCCGCGCTATCGGTATATACCGGCGGGGCACCAATGAAGGATGATAGGTGATGATGAAGTAGGTCAGTCAGCCCATCGTGACGAATTCAACAAGAATTGTTCACGATGGTTTCCAGGGTAAATCACAGGTGGAGGTCGACCTAATAAGGCATATTGCTAGTAATGGGGCTGTCAAACTCCATTACTAACAATCCCTTTCCCGTTGTATAAAAGGCGTTTTCCTGGAGACTTCTATCCCAGTCATGTTTTTGGCATTTTTAGGGTAGGATATAGCAATGCAATTACAGGGTTTAGAGGTATAACATCTTAGTCTTCAGGAATGTTAGGGGGGAGGGATTCTTAGTAATGTGGACTATTAGTCCCATTGCTAACAATATACTCTGTCAGGTCGACCTCCACGTGGTCCTCCCTGGAAACCTTTGCGATTAATTCCAAGTGTATTTGTGTATTCATGACGGTGGGCTAACTGACCTGACTTTTTATTCTCACCTATCATCCCTTACTGGTGTCCCGTCAGCGTATACTGTTCACGTAGGCGCGGTTACCATTTCATTATCATGCATTAAAAAAAAGTCCTCAGGAATGGCAACATATGAAGGGTATTGTGAGAGACACTGTATACTCTGTTATATCCATGACGTTCACGTCTATAGGCGATGGTTGCCACTTATTATCAGGTGGGTGTCAGTTTATTTGTCATTGTAAGTTGCATAAAAATACTTTTCTTATATTTAAAAAACAGAAGGGGGTTGTAACTACTCTCTATAGATTGGTAATGCAGGCCCGCCCCCAAAGAAATCTCATACAATCGGATCCACTACATAAGTATATTCTCGTTTACATAAAAAAGCTATTGCCCTAACGTATACAGCAGTTAAATCGAGAGGAATTGGCTGTTCTTTCGTAAATTAACTGAAAATCATTCTATATACTATACTAAGTTAGTTACAAGTAACTTAGTGTTTTAGTATAAAACTTATAATATAAATTTTAGACTAAAGCAAGCTGACCAAACAGCCAAATGACCAGCATAACGCAAAAATTAAAAATATAGATTGTTTTTTTTTCTGTGAATGACTTTTCCATAGAGTTCATCTTAGTTTTTGGTAAGATACGGGAAATATGGCGGGAACTTATCTTATAGGCGGGAAATTATTGAAATTAATAAAATTGTCTTTTGTTATAGCCTGACAATGTGTAATTGTTATGATTGTGGTGTAATAATCATTTCAAAAATAATAATTTTCGAGTTATGAGTCTCTTATACATGATGCTAACAGAAATAGTGGTAAAAATGGTGACTGATTGTGATTGAGTAAAAGAAGAAGGAAAAGACGAAGAGTCTTCCATAGGCACGGATTTTTTTTTATCTATCCAAAATAAACTTGACAGTTATGCTTTTTAAATCAAGGGCGTTATAAGTTTGAGGTTAGGTCTTGTTCTACTCAACTATTATTTTTTTTATTGAATCTTAATAGAATGATAACCTTGTATGTGCTATCGGAGCGCTAATGTGGAGTGGTAGGCGAGGACGACACCATGGCTCATCGTGACGAATTCAACAAAAATTACATATGGTTTCCAGGGTAGAACAGAGTGGATGTCCACCTGACATATACCAGTATGTCGAGGCATGAATATATGAGCAATGAGGGTTAACATCCTCATTACTAATTCCTCCCTCACACTGTTTATTAATAAAAAAACTCCTATAATAACACTATGCGTCCTCTGTTATCTTGCTATGGGTGGAGGGAGGGGTGGAGAATTTATTTAATTTTTACCCATTAAAAAAGTATGAGAAATGGGGGGAAAGAATTGTTTGTAATATTGTCCATATCCATCATTTCATAGTAATCCATTAAAAAAAAATTGTAGCTATGGGAGAATAAAAACATTTTGTCGTTCTAAAATCCATGGTTCTTTAAATAGTTTTAATGTTAGAACCATCTTTGGGATCGCAGTTATCGAAAAAATAGATTAATTGATGCGTATAATGGAACATAACGGCTTAAATATTTTATTTTCCCGCTCAAACACTGGCAATGGGAGTAGGAACTGCCCACTCAGCCTACAGAAACAAATTGAGCAAAAATCTTTATGATGCATTAGGGATATTACGATGGCGAATGTAATCCAAACAAATATGTTAAGGTAGTAAGTAAGAAATGAGACTAATTTAGCTAAAAGCCCGCGAAATGCGGACAAAGTGGTCGTAACAATAAAAGCGGCGATAAATTCCCTAACACTGCCATCTACACATCGAATGCTCATGT